TATTACACTATTTATTAATTATTTAGATATATTTTCTTCTAAAAACTTATAAATTCATATTTACAAATTTAAAATAATTATTTTTTTATATATCAATTATTTTATTTATAATAATTATTTTGATAATATAAAAACATTAATATTATTGAATTAATTATATATCATTTTTTTATCACATAATATTTTTATTAAAAATAAATATATTTATTTAAAATTATAAATTTAATGTAAATGTATATCATTAAAAATTAATCTAATAAAAATACATATGGTAATAATTTTTGTTCTTTTAAATTTATACTATTTTTAATAAAAAAATATATATTTTTCAATAAACTTGTCGTAATTCTTTACCAAATATTTTTAAAATAATTAAAATAAATATCTTACTAAATTTTTTCTAATTTTTAAAATTAATAATAAAATTATAAAACAATCTACCTATCGAAAAAACTCAACTAAATATTTTGAAAATAAAATATAAAATATCCTTAATTGTCATTATACGTATAAACAACTAATATCAAACCGCTATGTTACCAAACACTTTAATACAAACAGTTAATCGAATCAGCTAGTCAAATTCGCTAATTGAATCAACTAACAGCTAATCGAATCAGCTATCAGCTAACAGCTATCATCTAATACCAAACATACCCTTAATCTGATAAAAATATAGTATTTTTTTATAAAATACTCCATCGCTCCCGCGCCACAGATAACCTTTTTCTAATTTGTCCGTCCATTTAAAGATAATTTATTTTTATTTTTAATCAATTTATTCAGTTTAAATATATTTAACAAATATAAATTAATTTAATTAAATTTCTAACAATCTTAGGTATGGTCTATTCAACAAAATCTTTTAAAATTTGTCTCTCCTTAATAAACAAATATTTTTATTTATATTTAAAACTATTTATTTTTTATAAAATTAGTTTTAAGTTAATTATAAATACATAAAAAAACAATTTTTTATTTATTTATATTATATAAATTTATTTTCTACAAAATAATATCCATATTATATAGTATATTTTTATTTAGATATAATATTAAAAATTAATTTTACATTCAAAATATCATATCGATACCTATTTATATACATTATATAAGTATTTAAATTCAAATTTTTTATTCCCTTTGTTCCATAACAAAGAATTCATTTTTTCATTTCATTTCGTCACATATCAAAGTATTCATTTTCTTTTTTGGATGATTTCACGACCTTCCTATCTGGCTTTTCAGTCTAGACCAAGGAAGGTAGTCAATCTCGGTGTCTTTGCCAGTCGCCCGGGCCTGGTCACTGTGACCCCCTTTGTGAGGAGGCGCATTCTTGTACAAACCAGTGCAGACGAAGTAATACATAGTAACTGTATTATCTACCTAACATTACAAATACCCTTATAATTTACAATATATTACACAAATGCCATTATTTTTATATCACACATACTAATAAGGTTATTTTAGTCATTTCTACTTTATTTCTACTATATCCCAATATAATACTCCCTCCGTCCCAAACACCCTGCAACATTTTTTTTGGTATGTCTCAAACACCCTGCAACATTTCCAAAATAGGAAATAATTAATTATATTTAATCTCTACCCTTACTTTATAAAATATATATTTCTCTCTCCATCACATCACCTAATTTCTAAATTATCCTTCTTAATACTACCGACCTACAAACCCGTGCCAAAAGTAAACGTTGCACCTTGTTTGGGACGAAGGGAGTACTAATATTTCTAAATATTACGTGCAAAAAGCAAATTGATACTTCTTTATGGGACGAATGGAGTATTATTTAAAACTTAAATTTAAATTTCATACTTCCAACCAAATAAGCATAAACAAAATTAACAAAAGTTTTAAGAAAATATTCTCAATCCGTCCTAAATATAGTAGATTAAAGAATAGTGTTAGTATTTTATTAATTAGTGGAACTGTATAAAATTTTTTGATATTTTAGCATTTGACTTTATATATAAAGTAATTATACTTAATGATATGTTTGTAATTTAAATAAAAATTATAAATATTTTGATATCAATTAATAATTATTTTTTATAAAATAAAAAAAATATTTTAAAATAGGATAAACCAAAAATGATAAAAATGATATTTTGCATTAAAATAGTATATATGATAAAATAATGCATCCAATAATGAGTCCATGACACTAATGCACCGGTCTAAAACACGAAGGGCTCCTTTACTCGTGAGATTTTACTACTTATTTTATTATTCTAATTTATTTTTTTTTCAAATACATCAAATCAAATACTCAATTTTTACTTATTTTATTACACTAAAAATTTATTTTAAATTCAAAAAATCAATCAATACATATTTATATCACATCAAATAACTAATTCAATTCAAATTTTTACTATTCAAAATTAAAATTCAAAACCAAAACTTCACAAGTAAAAACGCCGGAATAATCTTACAGTTAATCTTCCAAATAAACTGTTGAATAATAATAAAAAAATTTCGACTACTAAGTTGGATGCTCTAGTTTAATACCAATGCCTTTAAACTTATTATTCCCCCGTCCCATACAAGGGTGTATTACTGTAGACACGGAAAATTTAGGTAAAGTATAATTAGAAAGTAATTAATAAGTGTATTAATAAAAATAATTATTGTATAATAAAAATAATTATAGAAAATTAAGATAACTAAATAATTTAATTAAAATTAAAAAAAAATCTAAAAATTAAAATTTAAAATGTGATTAAAGTGTATAATTATATTTTCAAAAAAGAAAATGACAAATTATGTGGAACAGACAAAAATAGAAAATATGGATAAATTATGTGGACCGATGGAGTATTAAAGATTAATCCTATTTTTAAAAACCACATTCATAAATAAATGTTAATAACAACAACAATAATGATAATGAATGGGTTTGAATTTAATTAATTTTGTTTCACAAGATAAATCTATAGAAATAATATTATGAAGAATGAGAATAAACAAAGACTAAAAACTTATAGTACTGTCTCTATTTCTTAATTAGATATGTATTTACTTTTTCACGAAGTTTTATCTATATTAATATGTCGTAGAAATAAAGTAGAAATGATTAAAATAATTTTATATTGTATAATATAAAAATAATGATATTTGTGTAATACTCTTTTCGTTCTATATCTATCTATTTGTTTACTTTTTACTATATTTATCTATTTGTTTACTTTTTACAGACAGTTTTATAAATATTAGTATTATATTGGAACATAGTAAAAAAGGTAAACTGTTTTTTTAGTCCCGTAACTTGACTCCTTTGTTATTTTAGTCCTGTAAGTGGAGTCTGTCGCAAACTAGTCACATAAGTGAAAAAAATTTGTTGTTTTAGTCCTCCGGCGCCGGAGACGCCCGAGTGGCTCGCCGGAGGCCACTTGTCTGCCTGGTCAGCAACACTTGGTGGACACGTAGATTTTATTTTTTTAAAAATTTTTTTAAAAAATTATTTTTAATTTGATTTGCCTTTTTTAATTTTTTTATTTGGTCCAATTGAAAAAAAAATTATAAAAAATAATAAAATCCACGTGTCCGTCAGGTGTCGCTGACCTGGAGGGACACGTGGCTTCCGGCGAGCCACGCGGGCCTCTCCGGCGCCGGAGGACTAAAATAACGAAAAATTTTCACTTATGAGACTAGTTTGCGACATACTCCACTTACGGAACTAGAATAATAAGGGGGTCCAGTTACAGGACTAAAAAAACAGTTTACCCTAGTAAAAATAAAGGTAAAAATACTAAACTAATTTTATTAGTATTGTATGATGTAAAAATAATGACATTTGTGTAATATATTGCAAATTGAAAGAGTATTTATAGTGTTAGGTAAATAGTACAATTACCAAAAAAAAAAAAAAAAGAAATAGATACTTTGTTATGTTACATACCAAAATGAAAAAATTGATAGATTGTTAAGGAACAGAGTGAATATATTGTAAGTTATAAAAATATTTATAATGTTAAGTATATATTACATTTACTAAAAAATAACAATTGATATTTTGTATGAAACACACTAAAATAAAAAAATAAATAATTTATTAAGGGACTGAAGAATTTATATAACTTTTGAAATATGTCTATATTTTTTTGTTAACAATCATGATATTTATAGTTATATATCTTGTGTTTTTTTCTACCAAATTTTGTGCTCTCACTTGTGCTCAACATATGCTCTCTGTAATAATATGTCATAGTCAAGAATACTTAAATTTCAAGAATAGAGTGTGTTAGTTCGGGGGATTGGATTAGATTTTTATTATTCATCCCTTTTTTTTTTCAAAAATATCAAATCAAACACCTATTTTTCATTATTTATATTATACTAAAAATCAATTTTACATTCAAAACATCACATCAACATCTATTTATATCACATCATACAACTATTCTAATTCAAAATTTTTACTATTCAAATCCCAACTCAAAATCCAAACCCACGAACAAACACACCCTAATGTCTTCTTCTTCATATTCATCTCCGCATTGCGGTCATTTGATCATTTTTATCACTATCAATTTTTTATTCTGGCTTAGTTGAATGATTTTTTTTTATCCATCTTATATTTTTATCTATATTTAAAATTCTCTATTCTTTTATAAATTAATTTAAGTTAATTATAAATAAATAAATAAATACTTTTAATTGTATTATATATACTATTTAAAAAATAATATACATATTATATATTTTATTAAAATATAATACAATAATATTTAAATACATACTATAAATTTAATTTTTAAAATACTTAGTTACAATAATCATATAAAAAATAATAAAATAATATTATTTTTTTTATTAATAAATCACATTTAACACTACGGAGAGAATAATATTTTTTAGAAAGAGTCATTAATGTATTGTTAAATATAATTAATAATTATATAACACACGTGTATTATTTATTTATTTATTTATTTTTACAGTGTGTGGTAGACCCCATTGTAACTTCATTTTCGATTTCGGAGGGACCGAACCAACGCAAAAGTACTGAAACAAACCCCTTTTCCCCTTCCCTTTCCCCTCTCCTCTCTTCTTCGCCGGAAAATGGACTCTCGCCGGGGTCCGCGCGCCGTCAGCGACCCGAAGGTCCGGCAGGTAGGTTTCTTCGCTCCGGAGGCGCCACGAAACCCTACATCAGCGTCGCCTCCGGTATCCGATCTCTCTCCTGCTAGTAACCACTTGTCTCCCGTTATGATCCCTCCTCCGCGCCACGCACCGGCCGACCAACCTCCGCGGCAGTTACCAAACGCACCGCCTACATACACGCTCCTCCGCCCCTCTGCACCTGCGATCGATCCTTCCTTTCCGGTCGGTAGTTATAATCCGGCTCCATCGGTGACGACGGAGTTTTCTGAGGATTCGCTTTCCTCTGCGTTAGGTGGGGACGGTAGCCCTCGAAAATTCGCTACGTCTTTGCCGTCTGTAGGAATCAATTCGGCTGCGGCGAATCCGAATGGTGCTGCGAATTTGCCCCAAGGTCGATTCTAGAATCACTCTCGGGTTTATTCTATAATTTTCGTGAAAAAGGAGTATTTCGTGAAATTAGGTTCGATCTGATTGTGGAACAGATAAGAAATTGCAGCAACAGAAGGACGCAGGCGGTGGAAAGCCGCTGAAGGAGAAGACTACAAAAGCAGAGCGGCGTGCACTTCAAGAAGCACAGCGAGCTGCCAAGGCTGCTGGTAAAGGTTTTCATCTCCTTCTTCTCTTTTAACCTTACTGAATTATTGACAAACTTGCAGTGTTACCGTTTCTGTTGATTTGGGGGTGTTCTATGTATTATTGATTCTTCTTCTGTTGGCTAATTCATGAAAGCTTTAAGAACCTCCTTCTATGTAGATTTGCGGTCTCTTTTACATTTTTTTGAACTATTGATAAGCTTGCATAGTTAGCTCTGACTGACATTTATGACCGTTCACTGTAGTGTTGGATTCTTCTATTGTTAGCAAATTCATAGCTTAGTTAAACAAAGGATATAGAGCAGGTTGAGTTTTGATCAAATTCAGGGTGAGTAAAGAGAGGACTGAACACCTCAGTGTGTCTTGCTTCCATACTTGCTGATAAATTATATCGACAATACTGCAGTGACATTGAATTTGAGGAATAGTCTGCTGTTTTTGATTGTTTTGTGGAGTACTCCCATGAATATCACTGGATGTAGTGCATTTGAAACTTCTGTAGGTTAATATGGCTTAAATTAAATGAATTTTCATAAGGATTTGCATAAAAATCTGTTTCTATTTGCTCGAAGTAAAAAGCTCATTCTTTAATGTTATAGCTAATAAAAGAGTGTTATGTTCATAGTGACAGGCTACAATCATAAATTAACAATTAATCAAATGGCCACTAGAATATATGCTTACAATAGCCCTATAGTCTATAAGATTAGATTAGTTGTATGGGGGTTTGAATTTTGAGTTTTGGTTTTGAACAGTAACAAATTTGAATTTAAATAGTTATTTTATGTGATATAAATAGGTTTTGCTGTCATGATTTGAACGTAAAATTCTCTTCTATTATAATAGTATGAAAAATGAAAAACAAAAGTTCGATTTGACATTCTTTGGGGAAAAAATAGGGAAGAGTAATAAACCTTCAAAAATGGTAGACAACACATTTGAGTACTCTCGTTAAGGTTTTTGCAAATAATGTCTTTGCAGGTGAAGGAAGTAAAAATTCCAATGTTGCTGCAAATCCCGGGAAGCCCGTGAAGTCATCTTCGCAGAGGAAAGACAACTCTTCAGTTGCAACCTCTGATAAAAAAGGTATTCATCATCAACCCGAGAAAGATCGAAAGAAAGATATCCCACAACCACGGATGCAATTTGATGATGAAAACAGAGTTGGGAAGGCAAAGAAGCGATCAGCACTGAAGCAAACAGAAGCCCGGAACAGAGTAGAACTCTTTCGGCATCTACCGCAATATGAACATGGAACTTTGTTTCCTGTCTTGGAATCAAATTTCTTCCAACTCGAACATGTTCATCCTGCTGTTTACAAGGTACATTAATATAGGACTGTATTTTGTGATTTTTGCTATTGTACAGTGTCAAATGACTTCTATTCATACTAATATATATATATATATATTATCAGGTTGGACTGCAATATTTATCCGGTGATATCTCCGGCGGCAATGCGCGCTGCATTGCTATGCTTCAAGCATTCAAAGAGTCGATCAAGGATTACTCCACACCTCCTGAGAAGTCGCTTTTCCAGGACCTGTTGACCAAAATCAATAATTATGTTGCATTTCTGATCGACTGTAGGCCTCTTTCGGTCAGCATGGGGAACGCCATTCGCTTTCTCAAAGCCCGAATCGCAAACTTGCGTTCCTTCAACCTCTCTGAGTCCGAGGCAAAAGCCAGCCTGACCTCCGACATCGATCGATATATAAGCCAGAAGATTATTCTAGCTAATAAGGTTATCGTGAAGCATGCTGTGAGCAAAATCAGGGATGGCGACGTTCTTCTCACGTACGCATTGTCCTCCACCGTCGAAATGGTGTTTATGCACGCTCACGAGCTCGGAAAACAATTCCGCGTGGTGATAGTGGATTCCCGCCCGAAGCTCGAAGGCCTGAAGCTAGTCCGTAGGCTCGTGGAAAAGGGTATCCGGTGTACATACACTCACATAAACGCCGTTTCTTACGTCATGCACGAAGTGACGAGAGTGTTCTTGGGGGCATCCTCCGTATTGTCTAACGGAACAGTGTACTCGAGGGTCGGCACGGCATGTGTCGCTATGGTCGCCCATGAGTTCCGCGTCCCCGTCCTTATTTGCTGCGAAGCCTACAAGTTTCACGAACGGGTTCAGCTCGATTCGTTCTGCTTTAATGAACTCGGTACGGTTTATTTACTACACTTTAGACGAATCTTTACTGCTCGGATCTGTCTAACTTGTGCAACTTTTTGCAGGTGATCCCAATGTGCTTTCGCAGGTGCTGGGTAGAAAAGAAATCAATCTTTTTGAGGGTTTGACTAATAAGGAGACGTTGCAACCCTTGAGCCTTATGTAAGTGAGATTATGTTACCGACTCTTTCTCTGTAAATCGATTGGATAAATGTTAAATTTGTTTGTTTTCCAGATACGACACAACGCCTTCAGATTATATATCGATGATCATAACAGATTATGGCATGGTAAGTTCGGTGAATAAATCCTTAGTGCTTTATTTATATAGATCGATGCTACAATGATTCTTGCCTATGCATCTATATATGCATTATACAGACAAAATTACTCGTAACTCCCTTGTGGTTTCGAAATTCAGCATAAATCTCCCATTTACTTCAAAAATTGTGTGATGCCCCCTTATACTTTTAAAAACGTTACATGAAACTCCTCTGTGATTTCGAAACTCAGTGTTAATCCCCCTTATACTTTCAAAATGTTGCATGAAACCCCCTGTCATGAAAAAAAAAATATAGATAGGAAATCATCTTTTCATCGTACAAGAAAGGTTTCCCAGCGGTGGAGTTTCATGCAACGTTTTTAAAAGTATAAGAGGGTGCTATGCAATTTGTAAAGTATAAGGAGATTTTACGCTGAATTTTGAAATCAAAGGGAAGTTATAAGCAATTTTACCCATTATATATATATATATGGTTTTATATTTGTATTGTTGCATTAAAAATCAAAATGTTGTGGTTCGATGATTTCTTCAGATACCGCCTACGAGTGTTCCTGTGATTGTGCGAGAGTACTGCAGAGAACAGCTGTGGATATAGAGAGACATACGCATACACACAGGTATGCCAAAATGCAATGCAATGGAACCCGGTAGGTTGTTTTTGCACATTGACAAGTCTTATCTCTCCATTTTTGTTACAATTACAAGAAGGTGGTATGTTAGATTTTAGGGCGAGCTGGTTTGATATTTTAGCCGAATCTTAATCTGATTCTGCCAAGAGCGCGAATTTTTCAGCCTCTCCGGGCAGTTTTTGTTTTCAGAATATGGTGAAATATGCGATGGTTTTGTTCTTCATAGACTCTTGGATATGACATGATTTTGCATTTTTATTATTGGGTTTGTTGGTTTCTTGCATGTTTGTTTGGGAGATTGGATTTTAAATACACTATTTATTTTTTTATTTTAGTTTTCAAAAAATATTAAATCAAAACCTATTTTTTATTTTTTATAAGAAAATCCAAACCCCGGAACAAACACACTTTGCAATAGCATTTATATCTTGACTTCCTTGTACCAAAGGGATTAAGAAAATTGTGAAGTTTTAGGCCAGTTTGGTTCACGGGTTTTATGTGATTTGACTTTAAAATCCTGTGAACATTCCATGTTTGGTTACTGATGAAATTTAAAGCATCTGAGAGAATGATTTTTTTAATACTGGGGAGGGTTACTTTAAAATTTCGTTTCTATTGTATTTTAATTTTATTTTAATTTTTATAACCACGTACCTAACAAAAAAAAAGGGCCCTATTGTTTCAATGTTATATAATACTTATATTTAAATTATATTTGATTGATTCTATAAAAATACAATACTCTCTCCGGCTATGAGGTATCATTTATCTTTTTATTGAACTTAACATTAAAAAAATATTAATATTTGTATAATTTTTGCACAAAGTACTAATATCACTATAATAGTATTATAAAATATTGTTTTTTTTTTTTTTGGTTTATACTAAGTTTTTATATAATAGTTAATATTCAAAAATCAACAAAAAATAATAACAATAAATGAGACCTTAGAGCCGATCCTAGGACAAAGTATCCATTTTTTCATTTTAGTCTATCTCTATTTTATTCCTACTACATTCAAATATAATACTAATATTTTTAAAATTATGTGAAAAAAAACACATGAATATTCAGTTATGAGATGTAAGGAGTATTTAGTTATAATCATTAATTTTATTTATATTTAATTATATTAATAATTTCAAAATTATTTGATTGGTGTGTTAGTTTTGTAATTTTAGTTTGGAGTAGTATTTTTTTTTTTTTTTGAGAGAGTGTTGGTAGAGTATAAAAATAAATTTTTATTTGAAATGTTGTGTTTTTTGTTGTATAAATTATATATTACATGTTTTGTATGAATTTGTATATATTGTATATTTTTAATATTAATCGAATATCATATCATATTTTTTTTTAAAAAAAAAATTATTAGGACACATCCAATTTGATAAAAAAAATAAACAAAAAAAAAAGAGATGGATCCTCGGGTTTAATTTATCACAAAAAAAAAAAAAAAACTCTTTATATGACAATTATGTTATTTAAAATATAAAAAATTCAAAATTTTTAACTAATTTGCCAAATAAAGTGAATTTGAAAATTATAAATTTTTGGATAATTTTACTATAAAACAAATCATAAACTATCAATCCCATAAAAACTGTGTACTAAAGGGATTAAGAAAATCATGAATTTTGATCCCGGCATGCCTCATGTATTTGGGAGGGGATACTCAGCATCATCTTCTCTCTGTCCCACCCTGCCCTCCACACACAAATATATAGGTGTCTATAACTTTATAGATACACACTTATGTATTTATACATGGGTGTATGATAATGCTGAGAGTGGAACAAGTAAAAGTGACGCTGAGGATCCCTTCTTTGCTCTTTAATTCTTTCAGCATTAATATATCTCTTGCTCTTTGCCTATAAAAAAAATTAATTAAATAATAATTAAAAAATCATGAAATTTGATTACGTGTTGTGGGTTCATGAAAATATTTGGTGGTTCTTTGTATTTTTATTTATTGTGTTTTACTGTTGAGTTTATGTTTTTTATTTTTTATAAGTAGAGCATGAGATGCATTATTGGAAAACAATTTTACTTATTCATATATATTTATGTGTTAAGAGATGGAAACCTGAAATTATTCAAAATCCAACCTTTACGAATTTTAAAAATATTATTATTATTATTATTATTATTATATATTTTAATTATTTTTATACAACTCTCAGAATTTAATATCTACAAATGTGTACGGAGGAGTAATTTATTTGTATAATTATTTTCTTTCATTTTAAAAATAGATATACACAAATATGATCTAAATTGAAATAAAATATTTTATTAAATAAACATTTAATATAAATAAATTTCCAATAGAATACTTCCTCCGTCCCAGATACCGTGTCTGGTACACTGTAGACACGGTATTTTAGGAGGGATATAATCAGTAGATAATTAAGAATATATTAGTGAAAATAATTATCCTATAATATAAATAATTATAAATTAAGATTAAGATAACTAATTAGTTTAATTAAAATTAAAAAAATTTAAATTAAAAAATTTAAAATGAGATTAAAGTGTGCAATCATTTTCCAAAATGAAAGTGACATGGTATGTGGAATGGATAGAAACTGCGACATAGTATCTGGGACGGAGGGAGTAATATATTTCGTTGTCTAAAAAGGGAAAAAATGAAAAAAGCTGAAATTAAACACACTAGTAAACAAAAACAGTAACCATCCAAATACAGCTTCGATCAAAATTCAAATCAAATAAATCAAACAATTGACCTTCTGGAGATAAATAAATGAAAATAATAAAAAAATTTCAATACGATGAAAATATAAACTGAGGCTAACGACAGTCAATTAAGGTCATGTTTAGTTACTTACCATTTAACATGAAGCAGAGACATATCGAAAATAAATAATCATACTTTACCTATTATGTGTAAACTTTTGCTCATATAGAATAAAAAATGAACTCTCGATTCGACTTAGAGAACGAGTATCGCGGGAGATTGAACTTGTTTACACAGCCGAATCGAGAGCTCGAACCAAATTTGAATCTAGCAACAGCAAAAGATATGAATAAATAAATAAATGAGCACCATTCTTATCATCAATCCAATTCGAGCTGGCTAGGTAATATACATTAACATTGGATCGAGCATAATCAGCACAACAATAAATCAAGTACTAAGAACTTAGCTTGTTTAATATAAATATTATCAAGCCGAGCTCGAAAACTAACATGTCAAGCCTAATCAAATATCTAAATAATTCGAATTAAATGGAAACACTAAATTCAATAATCTAAGCAGTAACCACCAGATAATGACAAATCGAACAACAATATCCAAGTTTCTTCATCCTTCCATCAAATGAGGGAGAATTCCTCAAAACAATTATGCATTTTCATTCGTTTGAATCTCTATAAAATGAGGTTAGAATCTCCAAAACAAAAAAATTACTGATTTCTCCGTCGCTTCTTTTTTAAAACACTATGCAATTGTGTCTCTAAGAACATCAGCTTTGGAATAAACAGGGGAGGTGACTCCATGAATGACAAGACCAGCCAAAACAACAATCAAGATACCTAAAGAATTCACTAGCATTGCCTCGGTCGAGTAACGAGTTATAATATGGTGTTTTTGAAGAAAAATTACCTTCTCCACGAACCCAGTAATGCACGTGGCCACGGCTAATCCATAGATATAAATGCCAAAATATACATGCCAAGGCATCAAACTGGATCGGCGGTTTCTTGATCCGCCAGGATACCAAAAGGTTGCGAATCCGGAGGCCCACTGTTAAATAAATAATGAAAACAAGAAAATGAGATTATTTACGGAAGCTAGGATGAGAGGTTCTGAAATCACTCTACCTGAATGCCAAACAAGAAAATGCAAAGGAGACCGAGCCATGAGTGGAGGCTATAGAAATTATCGATTCCTCTGTCAATGTGAAACTTCCAAACAGCCCATAGTCCAACAATGCTCGTAAAGAAAGCTAATGATTGCAGGGAAAGATGAACGATTTTTTTGAAATTTTTCGTCCCTGAGAGAGTCTTGTATGCTAGCATGGCTGCAAAAGTCAATGCCCTACTACTTAGAAACCAATTGACTACTAAAAAGTTCCAAACTATTAAAGATCCAATCTCAAGTGAAGAACACTCCCATTAACATCACGACTGAAAAGCTCGTTTCATAACAAAACAAAATGCATCGAACTCCATTAGGTTTGAGTAACAAAATTAAATAAATTGATCTATTTCTTACCGACCAAAAACCTGAATGATCGTACAATTTTAAATATAATCTATTCGCCGTTACCTATAAAAGATGATCTAACAATTTTCAATATAATCCATTCCTTGTTACCTATAAAAGAAGCAAACAACTATATAGAATCTTATTAATTAGATAAGACGTGGCCTGGCGTCACTTATTAATTAGATATATTGTATCTAATTAATGGTTTAAATATAATATAAATAATAATAACAATAAATATAATAATATTATTATTGTTGTAAAATAATTGATTAAATATATACTGACATTGATTCGAATTTATTTTGTGAGCAAAACTATGAGGATGGAACTCTGACTTCTACCTCGTAGCCTAGAAACCAAAATACGTAAGTTTTTCTTCAATGATAGAAATGAAATTATTTCGGCCTTTTATAGGAATAGAGAGGACCAATTTTCTTAAAAAATCACGTGCTATCGCTGAACAAAAACTCATTTATTTTGGTATCTAAGCTAAAAGGGAAAAATCAGAATTTCATCCTCATCGTTCTGCTCACAGAAATGAATTCGAATCAAGGTAAGTATATATTTAACCGATTATTTACAACAATATTGTGAGAATCACAAAGTTCAAATATATTCATGTTTATGCTAACAACAACATCAACTGATTTACTGAACTATTGAGATAATGACAGATTATTCACCTAAGCTAGCTTAGGACACCCTAGCCCTAGGGCTTTTCAATTTAACTCGATGAATTTTAAATCAACACACAGAATAGGTTTCAGCAACAAAAATTTTTCAGAATTAACATACGATCCATACCTTCTCCATTCATAACCACAAGTCCAACCACCATTAACACAGGATGAACCTGAAAATGACATAGAAAGCAGTTATACAAAAAGAAACAATAAAAATCAATAATCAATTTCACACGAAAATCATGCGCGCGCCAAATTCGTCCGCCATTCTAACGATTATCCAGCAACACCTCAAAAATAAATAAATAAAAGAGAACTGAAAAAAAATCAAACAAACTCACATTGAATATGAGAATCTTGTTCTCTGATGCGAGCGCCATTCCGCCTCTGTAACGTACAGCCCATACTAGCACGAGCGATGCCACTGCGAAGCCGAGTAATCTCGCCGCCGCGGAGATCTGGAATCGCACCGCCGGAGCAGACATCGGAGAAGAAGAAACGCTAACAGTAATCAGAGTTGAGAAGGATTCCGATTGAGAAATGAACGGAAAAGGAGGGTTTCCGATGGCATTGAGATCTCTTCCGCCGAAGAAGAGAAAAGAAGCGAAGAGAATTGACTGGCTGCTGCCTTTTATAGTGGAGCTCAGCTTTGACTTAGCAGTGGGTCCCACAAAGGAGTGTTTGGCGGAAAAGAAAATAAAATAAAATTGGTATAAATGGAACGAGTGGAACTTACAATTAAAGCAGTCACATCAATACTATTTTTGGATGTACAGTGTATAATAGTACTCCTGTCCAAAGGTGTCTACATAACTACATTACTGTACATGAATTAAAAAGTATGCTCCCTTCCTCGTCCCAACGTGTGGTCATTTGATCGGTCAAGAGTTTTAATAAAAGTAAATAATAATTATTAAAAAATTTATACAAAAGTATAATAATTTTTTACTTAAAAGAAAATTCGAATATTTTTCGATGACAACTCAAAAAGAAATATGAACATATATTTGAATGAGGAAGGGAGTAGTATATATAATTGATAAAAATAATTATTATATAATATAAATAATTAAATATTAAGATTAAGATAATTTAATTAAAATTATAAAATTTAAATTTTGATTAAAATATATAATTATTTGTTTAAAAATAATAGTACTAATTTTTTCCACTTTTATTTAAATGCAATTAATAAGTATTACTCTTTCATTCATGTAAGTGAATAATAGTTGTTACTTTTTTTTATATTAGAGATAGTGGTGCCAGAAGGGCTGATGTATAGACACGGTGGTACGAGTGAACTTGTGATCACGAGGTCGTGAGTTGAATTTTTTGAGATAAAATCTTTTTGATAAATGATAAAAATATAAAAATATCTAGTTAAAAAAACACCTTTAAAATGCATTGAAGAGCACACTTTTTAATTCTAAATTAATTTTGTTTTTAAACAAACGTCAATCCAACATTTTTTTAAAAGTTCATTATTATTATTTGAAATTCAAATATACTCTATCCATTTCAAACATTGCGCAACATATGAATTTGGCACAAAAATTTAAATGATAGTATTAAGTGGAGTTAATTTGAGATAATTTAGAGATTAAATGACATAATTAGGACAAATATATATATATATTTATTATTTTTATTTAAATAATATAATGAGATGAAAGAAAATATATATTTATATATATAAAAGTGTAATTAATTATTTTTAAATTTAAATATTGCAGTGAAATTAAACAAATATATATTGTGATATACTTGAGATAGAGGGAGTACTTATTTTAATTTAATTTTCTAATAATTTCATAATTTAGTGTTTTTCTTAATGTTTTAAATTTTGATATTTTTGAAATAAAATTACTGTGTGATGTTAAATACTGAATAGTAAAAGTTCCGATTAAAAGCACATTTGTTTGGTTGTGTATTTATTTGAATTTAAATTAAATATGCCTTTCGCCAGCCTCTGATGTCTCATTTACCTTTTGCATCACTGTAACATTAAAAATATCATTTTATTAGTATCATAAGACACTTGAAATATTTTTGCAAATTTTTCTTATTTTTGTACTGCATTTTGATATAACAATTAATATTCAAATATCAACATGCGAAAAGGAAATAGAACCCTTATAACTAGATTGGAGGTAGTAATTTATAATACTCCTATAATATTATGTGAAAACAATAGTAATATTTTATTGGAAGCAATATCAAGTAAATAGTAGGAAAAGAAAAATAATTTCAAATAGAAACCAAAGAACAAAAAACTTCTATAGTATCATCTATTTAAGCCATCGCATCTAATACTTATTCTTCATTCAATACTTGTACGTTCCCCCAAAACAACACAAATCATCAAATCATATCTAAACTCAAAATGCCAAAAACATAATTTGATTCCAGTGGCATATATAAATAATACATACGAAATAAGCAATACCAAAAGTAAAATAAAATAAAACTATCAAAACCTTACCCAACCAAATAAATGTGTTCTAAAAAAAAAAAAAAAACAAACAAACAGCATAGAAGAAACATCTTCTTGCAAAACTTAAAGGGAGATAGATATATAGAGATAGATTATTAGCAGCAATTCATGTTATAGTTATAGTCAAGCATGAAACAGATAGAATTACATATATATATATATATATATATATGGTTCTATCAGATAAGTATAGATAGATATTTGATGGAGGATCGAGCTAAGTACCTCTTTCTTTTTTTTTACTTGCTCATCATGATCTTATCTTAACCACCATTTCTGAACAGCGGCAAGAGGACGGTTGAGGAATGGGGCGTACCTATAGATCAGTGGATTCACACTCTGTCCGATCTTAGTCCATGCACTTCGATGGTAACTAGCCGTAGCAGGAATGTGGTACATGAGCTTCAGCAGCTGCATCAAATCAAATCAACACATTTTATATATATATATATACACGATTGCTTGATTGTCATAGATTTTCATAGTGCAAAACCGAAATTGTAAATTGATAAAACAAACAAGAGATTAAGGTTGTTCTTTTGTAGATTTTAGCCCAGGTTTTTTATTATTCAAATTCTTTTTTTCCTCAAAAATATTAAATCAAACAATTACTTTTCCTTTTTTATATTATACTACAAATTTATTTTATATTCAAAATATCAAATCAACGGTATATTTATATCACATCATACAACTATTTAAATTCAACTTTTTACTATTAAAAAATCCAAATCCGAAAACCAAAACCCACAAACAAAAACACCCTAAAATATTCAACAACTCTGATGAGGTTTAAATACACAACTTTGTCAAAAACTGAATCATGCAATAGAGCCTATATCCTAATTCCCACCATCACCCTCTCGAAACAATGGAGTAAACAGAAAGTACATGGAAAAGATAAAAATTCAAAAATCCCAATAATTTTGTTGACAAGAAGGACAAGAACTTTTATAGCCACAGATAGAATATAGAAAGAAAGTTGAAAGTTAATATTCAGATTCTATACATATGTGACAATTACCTGCCAGTACATAAATGCTTGTATTATATTGCGCTGCCACCTGCAGATTAAGAAAAGAATAAATAAACAAATATAAATGATAAAAAATTCAGCCGGCATTGTTGAAATTGAAAGTTATTGGGACTGAGGATAAAAAGAGACGGGAGAGTTACTGACGAGAACAGAGAAATAATCAGAAGAAACCCGAGTCCAATCTCAGCTTGTGATGAGAGGATGCTGAGGGTACTTGTGTTCGATTCTACCCAAACACAGGCCTGTTCCAAGTACTTCCTGTAAACAATACAAGGAATCAACCCCAAGAACAGACAGAGAAGTGCACGATTCATCATAAAATGAAAAGATTTCATTAGCTATTTTAAGAAATGTTCGAACATGTCAGTGTGTTGCGTGATTTTGTGGATAACCACTACAAACTGATGACATGGCTAATGAAGAAGTTTTCATACAACTCTATAATGCGTTTGAAGCAAGAACACTTAAGGGTGTGTTTGTTTGGGGTTTGGATTTTGAGTTGGGATTTGAATAGTAAAAATTTTAAATTTGAATATAGTATGATGTAATATAAATAGGTGTTGATGTGATGTTTTGAATGTAAAATTGACTTTTAGTATAATATAAAAAATGAAAAATATGTGTTTGATTTGATTTTTCTTTGAAAAAAAAATTGGATGAATAGTGGATTTAAAATCCAATCCCCCAGACAAACACCCTAAAAGAATAACAGATGTGCATATTTCTTACTGCTACTAATATAAGCATGCAGTCACAGAAATTAAGAAAAAGATGATAGCATATTTAGGGATAGCAGCAGACTGAGTTTGACAAGGGACCTAACGCTCGTAAAATGATCTTGTTCAGCCCACCATGAACTAGACTAGAACTTATAGGTTGGACCCACTAACCCATTAACAACAATTTTTATGCATAGTATCGCCCAAGTTCTGTCGAAAAAATAATTTTTATCATCTTCACTACTGATTGCTTTGGTGAAGTGAATTGCAAACTCGAGAAAATTTTATGAATCAATATATTATTACTCCCTACGTCTAGGATAATTATGTCAATTTTCTTTTTTCTATTGTCACCTAAATTTATACATAATTTATTTATAATAAATAATTTACTTTAACAAATAATAATCAAAATTGTCAATATTTTTTCTACTTATCCAATTATTTTTCTTTAATAATATATTATAACACCCCTCATTTTAATTTTTACCTGTCCCACTTTTATATTAAGGGTGCGTTGATACAGAGAATAAAATTGCAAAGAAACTAATAAAATATGAACACTATCAAAAATGGAATTAGTCTAGAGAATGAATATTAATTATTCTGTTTGATAAAACAAAGAATTCAATTGGAGAGATATAACAAAAATCAATTATCATTTATTTATGCATATGATATATACACAAATTAATAATTTCAAATAATGATAATAAATCCATCATAAAATTCTACTATTTATACTGTGAACCCTCAAATCCTGGTGGATGGTGTGATGATAGCAACAAAGACGAGATTTGAGGGGAAAATAATAAAAATTAATTTTATACAAAATTTAAAAAATGAGAGAAATTGTAATTTTCTCCCATAAATTCAATCAACTCTTCTGTATATGAGAGAAAAATAAAAATAAACAATAGAAAATGAATTATTTCTCAAACTTCAATTGCCAGGAGCAAAAAACAAGGAAAATGAATTCATTTCCCTTTCTCTGTTACATTTCTTTGTACCAAACATCTCTTAAAATATTATTATAATTTAATCTTTGTGCCCAATGAAAGTGGCATATACTGTCTAGGCCAAACTGAAACACCTAGTTAGTAAGATACATATGTAAGTACTGCAAACATATATTCTTACCTGTACAACGTGGATCTGCTAAAATTACGTCTCAGGAACTTTGCCATGTGTTCAACGACTTGGCACAATATGGGAATCAAAGCAACTGAAAGTGTTGAATAAACAAAGTGTAAACATTTGAGGAACTTAGGAGAAGAACCACACAAAGTAATATGTACAAAATCAGCAAATTAAGGACTAGAGTCGAGCTTACATTTGAGACACAGGTGCGAAGTGATGAAAGTAAGGCAGTAGACGGAGTTTATAAAATCCTTGGTAACTACCACAGATTGGAACCATACTTGCAGAGCCTGCAAGTTCCATGCTCTAGGTTTCTGCATAAAACAATTGGTTCTATCAAGGAGAAGCTAATTAACACAGTGGAAAAATATACGAATGAAAGAGAGGCTTACCCCATATTGTGAATACAAAGAATAGAGGGAACAACATGCAGTCCCTAAAAAGGAAAGGCGATATGCCCGATTGGAGAGATTCCTTGGCACAAGTGGGAAGATTGCAAGAGTGGACACAACAAATACCTGCAAGAAAATTTATGAATAGAATCGAATGACTGAAGGAAACTATCTCATAGCCGGTAATGAACACGACAACTGTATACATTACCGAATTCTCCAACTAAAAGAAATCTTTTTAGGCATTATTTGCACTAATACTACATTCTAATTCTAGTTAAAATTGTAATAAGAATTTAAAACTACAGTAAGAAGTGAAAGTTAAACATTTATAAATATTAAGTCATAATTATATTTGGGTAATTAAAAAATATTTTGGCCCTTAATGTAAGAAATAACAATGGAAGATATTAATGAAGATACATTAGTTTAGTACAGTTATATTGTATCTATTTGGGAAATCCAAGAACATACCAAAAGCTTCTTCTTTAAAAATTACTTTTTCAAAAGTATAAATGAAATTTATCATGAGCACTTTAAACTCTGCAAACATGTCTTGGTTTGATATCTAAATTAACATACCCAAGCATTCACAGAAAATAGGATGGTGTTTTTATCCCAACGTAGAGACGTAGAATTGGGAGGTGGCGTGGTTGTGGATGTCCCGGATGTCCTAGTAGTAGACCCTACAATACAGATTTCCAAATATTCAGGTCAAGGCTGAGATACTTTAATACAATGAATTAAAGAGAAACATCCACTCTCGAACGGTTCACAGTAAAAACTACGGTCTTGACTCTGGACCTGAACTTCTTTGGCGAGTAGCTGAAGATGATGACTGTGGTTGTGTTGCTGATGCTCTCGCCGCTGGCTGCGATGAGCTGCTGGTAGAAATTGGCTCTACAATTAAATCAGGGTCCTGAGTAGAACAAATGACATACACATAAAAGTTAGCACACAAATTAGATCTAAAAGAGAACCAATATGACATTTTTCGATAATTGAACACCTCTAATACTTCAAACAACAGCAGAGAATATCACTAAAATGAGGGAACCATATTATTAAGCGATTAATGAATCAACTCATAAATCTCCACAATAGTAGCAAAGTCTTAGCCTCATTAGCTAGATTAGATCTTCACAAGGAAATCCATATCTAGACAATTCTGAATCAACATGAAGTACAGATTGCAGTTTAAACATTGTAACGAAATCTATTCTCGTAATTAGTCGTTCTTCACAAAATCAAGACTATTTGGATGCATCTCGAAAGCTTCAATCGACTGACCAGTGACCTAGGGTTCACCGAAATCAACATAAATTAATTTTTTTAAATTAAAATCTAAAGCCCAACAGAAACTCCGATGAGATTCGATCCTGGCTTCTTCAATCAAAACCTAATAGATTCGGAATTGGGGAAAAGTCGAACTGGAAAGCAGAGTGCATACTATGAAGCGCTGGTAGAACTTGCGCTTGAAGTGGTCGACGACGTCGCTGCGGGAAGACATGCTTGGCGGAATTAGGACATTTGACCAGTAATCCGCCCAGCGAGAGTCGTTCTCGTAATCGTATGCCGCCGCCGCAATCCGCTTCAACTTCTGCGGATCCTCTCCTTCTCCGCCGCTCATATTGGCTAGTGTAATTCACAGGCAATAGATCCGATGACAGTATTGTTGTGTGCAATTGAATTGATTCAACTCACCGCCTCGCAAGAAGATGGAGTCTGAAGTTGTGGATTTCAGTGTTGTCGTCTTGGTTTGGTTTGAGTTCAATGGTCCGTTCGTTCGTGAACTATAATATAGCGTGCGGTAGCGACATTTTCATTTTTAGGGTTCCCTCTCTAACTCTCTCTATATCTATTCTCTCTCTATATCTATTTTTATGCATGCTTCTATTGTGATATTTTTATCTAAGTTTTTTTTTTTTTTTTTCAAAAATATACATATTTACATGGGAGTAATTTTATTTGATATTTATTTATTCTTCCAATTTTATGATTTTACGTTTTTTTTATACCATTTTTAATATATATGATTTTTTTAAAAAAAATAATATTTAATAATTAAATATATTTTTTTATATTAGTGATATAATTTTTTATATTAAAATTTAAATAAAAACACTAAATAAATATATTATTAATATTAAATTTATTTAATTGAATTTTCAACAACAGTAGTATCCAACAATTATATGAATTATCCAACATTTATCTTTTACTTCATTTTAATTAACATAAAAAATATTCGTAAAAAAATTTGTACAATTAATATTATAAGATACTAATTTGCAATTTTTTCTTAATTTACCATAATAAAAAATCTCATCCAGTTGATCTTTTGAACCCAATTTATAACGAATTGCCCCACATATAGTTCTTCAAACCAGTTCTTTTAAACGAATACGTTTTGATATAATTAATATTAAAAATTAACATGAAAAAATAGATGTAATTCTTAAAATCAATCGAGAAAAATAAGTATATTTTTATAAAAAATACATAAATATTTGATACAGTAAGCTTTTACTAAAAATTTGTATTTAATACAACTTAAAAAAAAAGTGATCCCAATCAAAATTAATTCAATAAAAAAAATATATCATTATCTTTTTTTATCTCACCATTGAAATTTCAAAAGTATAATTAAATGTACATATTTTAAGTTAACAAATATTTTACATATTTTTACTAGAATACAAATATCTATACTATATTTTAATATACCATACCAATTTTTATTTAAATGCAATCTATAAAATCAACGTTTATCATTTCAAATACTTAGAAATCCAAAACATTCCTTCCCATAGCCATAAATAAAATTAGATCAAGAGTACTTCTTCTTCTTCTTCTTCTTCTTCTTTCATCGTCACTATGGCAGCCAAAGATGAATCTAAAACCTACCTGCAGCTCCATTTCCAGAAGCCTATGGCGCGAAGCAGATTCTACACTCAGAGCTTCACAAAAGCTTTGATGATTCCCATCATTTCCCCGCCGGGAAATCGTCCGAGCAGCCCTCTCGCCGCAGCCGTCTCATCGAACTCCGAGATGTTGTCGCCGGCATAAGCCCGCCGGCAACTTCCGCCGCCACCCTGTCGGCTCGGAGGATCGCACGCCAAATCCTCACCCGGTTCGACGGCCGGAAGCGGGAACGGGTCGAGGGAAGTTTCCATCACTCGGGATCCCCCGCCGGCGGCGCCCACGAAATCTTCGAGACGGCACAACGAAAACGGGACCGGTTCGAAGCTGTGGTCGCCATACTCGACGGGAGTCGAGTGATCGCCGGTGATGCATATGTAGTACCGATACGCTCCCCCCGACGCTTCCTCCGCCTGCCACAGCTGCTTCGCAAGCTGCCCGACGGCACGGTCGACGGCTTCGAGTCCTCGAACTTTGAATACGGTCGCTTTGTCGTGACCTGCATCGTCGATTGCCTGCAATTCCATTTCGATAATAATAACATTAGGGAGAAATCAGCATCAAAATTAGGGATGGACAAATTTACCGAACATACAGAAACACCAACTTATCGTACCGTATTATGTCGAAAATATAAAAAATTTTGGTATACCGAAGTTTTCGGTATAGTATCAGTATGAATTTTCGAAAAATTCGATATGATACCGTACCGATATTATTTTTATTAATAATTAAATTATTTAATAAAAATAATAATTATTAATTTATTTAAATCATAACAAAAAAATATGCAGACTATTGAAATTTATTTTTTTTTCATAATATTTTTGTGGTGGAAAATGATGACATTTATTAATTTTTTAAAATATTTTGAAATTTAAAATTATATTTTCAGTATAATTGGTATATACCGGTAATTTCGGTATGATACCAGTATATACCGAATTTTGGTATACCGAAACTTTCGATGCGGTACCGATATGTATTTTCGCTATACCGAAAAATTCGGTACATTATCGCTATTGATCGGTATTTTCGGTATGGTATGGTATGTCATCCCTAATCAAAATTAACCATACAATGAAGAGAATTTGAAAAAAGCAACCTTGATGTGAAGGAACCCGAAATCATATCCATCTGACCGGCCGGGCTTATGTTCATCTTCCCCAGGCACAAATACATTCGGGCATGGATTGTAAGGAGCCGAGAGTGCTTTGGCTATTGCCGTTGCTTTCGATGTCAACAGGGTTCGGTAGTCCCCAGTCGCCCCCGGAGCTTGCAGGATATCAATGCCGAGAGATAAACCCAATCCGGCAATGATTTTAGTAGGAGCAACCATACACGGCCATAGACCGTGTATCTCTTCAAAATGAGGAACCTAGAAAGCGACACGATCATTTTAATAAGAATTTCCCAGAAGTGTAAAATTTTATGAATAATAGATTTTGAGAAAGAATCTCCCAAACAAACACACCCTTAGAAGATTCTTCCCAAAATCTACTATTCATCAATTTTTTTCCAACTAAAAACATCAAATCAAAAACCTATTTTTTATATTATACTAAAAAAAAAAAAATTTACATTCCAATTCAGAAAATTTTTACTATTTACATTCCAATTCAAAATCTAAACCCCCAAACACACCCTAAAATGGACACTTCAGTTAAAAACTTAACATCCTTTGTATGTATCTCATGTTTAATCAATCCAAACTAGCATCGACAAAGGACAATTTTAATGGAACACATTGTGGATTCGAATATGGAACTTCACATGAAAGGGCTTCAATCGATAGAATAATCGCAAGATTTTTTATTTTTTATTATTTGGTTCAGAAAAATGAGGCAAGGAAAACACCTAAACATAAAAAGATTACCTCAATTCGAATGCCACAGCCTCGTAGAAGGACTACATTAGCAATATTCTTCCCCTCCGCGGCTCGTTTAGTGTTCAATGGATGCGCAACCAATATGCGAGATATCTCCTTTGATAACTCGTTGACAACTGCAGCTGTGTTCTCCGCTTCCTCGGAATCATCCAGTGGTTTAGCTTCTAATAACAGGCGATTATCCTTCAACGGGTCTGTTCCTGAAATGTTCCCACTTAATTTCGGGCCCTTAACAACCACGCCGCATCTATGCTCAGTTGCATATCTAAAAGAAACATGAATTCAACAGATGATTAGCTTGAACATTTGAAATTCAAACAAGATCACTAGAATTGACTCTCAAAAACAAATAAAATATATAAATTTTAAATGCCAATCCATACCTAACTCGAACTTCGTATTGAGGAAAATGAGGCAGCTTCAATCCATCCAATGCTGCACAAAGAACGGGCCCTTCTTCCTCAAAATGCCGATCAGCCCTCCTGCTGGTAACTACTCCACTTTCCTCATCAAGGGTTGCAAAGTTTGACTAAAACAGAGGTAAATGCCCATCAAGAATAAGATAAAATCATCAATGCATAACCATAAGCAATATTTCTTCTCGAATAAGAAAGAAAAAAGAAAAAAAAGAAATCCAATACAGGGTTTGATGTTAAGAAGCTAATTTCACATAAAGAATGGAAACAATTTATGAGATAGAGAAACCATGAAAAAAGTTCAAAGCCTAAACATTCTACACCAAAAAACAAAAAGATGAGAAAAAGCATAACCAAAACAGATAAATTTATCAATTGTATATTCCTAAATCCTAATAACCATGACCCCTCATGCTTGAGTAATTTCCTCTCCATCAGTTTCTTACAAAGATTTCGATATCAAATAAAGACGATCTAAGCCTTTTATTTGGGGAAAAACAAGGAAAGCATTTTTTTGAACTTCAAATTTACAATAACATTTTCCTTACCACATCTTAAAGTCGTATATAAAGCCATTTAATTCAAAGTTTCTCACAGCCCTCAATTCTCCAATCACCTCACAAAAGTTTAATTCGATGTTACTGCAAGATTGAGTTCTGCATAAAACTTATGACAAGAACTGTAAATGTGCCGCATAAATCACAGGAAGATTTGCACTCATAATCTTTCCTATACATCGATACAAACTACAAGCAAAATCCTGCAAACAATTTTTCTTTAAAAGTGAAAAAGGGGACATACTTTAAATGCAATATCTCCAGGAGACATTGCCAGCCCGGCGCCCATTGATTCAAACGCACCTCGCCCACGGTAATACACTCTCGGATCATAGCCTAATAGAGAAAGGTGTGCTGTGTCACTTCCACAAGCCAATCCCACTTCGACAGGGTCCATTAAGCCGTTGATTCCCGCAGAAGCAATGGCATCCATGTTTGGTATATTGGCAACTTGCAAAGGGGTTTTGTAACCAAACCTTGGCAGAGAAACATCTCCCAATCCATCAATTAGCACAAATGCCACCCTCCTCTTTGGATTCTCTGATTTAACCATTCTCTGATTATCTGCAAAATGAATAAATAATTCTTTGATTCAACTCTTTTCTAGTCACTTTGAAGACTTATTGTGTGTAAATTTTCTTATAAATTTACCCATATCCATTATAATTGCTATTTCAAAAATCAACAGCATACTGATACACATAAATTGAGAGATATGAGAGTTTCCAATTGAAATTGCATAAAAAAATTTTACCGCCAGGAGATTCAAAGCAAGAGAAACAAATTATTAAAAAAACAAAAACAGATGAAAAGAAAAATCAAATTCGGGGCAAACAAATTGAGCTGGACAATACTCTTTTGAAGCAGCATTACTCACTCACCAGAAGAAATATAATATCAAACAATCATATACAAAACATAAATATACAAGAAAGTGACATCAATCGCCATTATCAGAGCTATTGTTCAGCGACCATACCTGCCAACAAAATTAAACCCTAACAATATCTAGAAATTAAGATCGACAGGTTCTTGACATCGAGCGAGGGGAATTCTGGAGAATCTGAAAATTGGTTCTTTGGTTGCGTTAATCTCACAGGCGTTCTTTCCCAGATGCGACTTGCCCATCCGGTTCGGAAGCGCGGGTTCGAACCGGACGTTATGGTTCAAACCCATTCCGACGGTTCAGTTCGGTTTGTGTATTTTACGGTTTGCGGTTTAAACCAGCGGTTTAGCCCTTATTTATTTATTTTTTTAACCAGGGCGGCGACGGTGGAATGTTGCAGGCTGGCGGGACGGAAAGAATTGGGAAAGAAGAAAGATGGAGAAATACCTGAGCGCGGCGGCGATAATAGTATACTCCCGCACGCATTTAAAAAATAATAGTATTTGCTGTAAAAATAATAATACGATATAAAATAAGAATATTCGTGAAAAAAATAAGATATTTAATAAAATATTTATTTTATAATTTAATGTTCCTAAATATGTATACTTTTTAACTGAACCGAAAGAGTGAATATATAATTAAAATTATTATATATTAGCATTAAATTGTTATAAAAACAAAAATAATATCAATCTTAATAAAATAAATAATTATTTAAGATATAAAAATAATAATAATATAATATTATTTTAAAAATTAATATTATATTTATATTTAGTATAATATAAATGCAATAATCGGTATAAAATATTATTCAAATATAAAAATATTAAATATATGACAAAAATAAATGAATCCTTTGTTAAGGTATTTAGAGAGTATATTTTTATTTATAACAAATAATTTTTAGGTACTTATTTTTGTTATGGTTATTTATAAATTCTATTATTTGCTTTTACAAATATTTTCTAAATTCTAAATTATGTTTACTTGTGTAACTTTGAATTTATTTTTACTATTCCAATAAAAAAAATTTATTTTACATTCAAAACATTACGTCAATACATATTTATATCAAATAATTATTTCAATTCAAAATTCTACGGTTCAAAATCAAAATCCAAAATCTCACAAATAAGCACGCCTACGTGTTTCTAAATAAATGTATTTATGTATTAAAAAAATAATAATAATAATCCACCAGAGTATTTTTTCTTTCTCCAAAAAAATATACACTTTTACACACTATTTAATTTACCATTCAACATTATATTTTTTCCAAATTATCACAACTAAATTATACACTCAAAGCAATCTAACAAAAAGAAATTACCACTTCGTTAACTCATTTATATACTTTTCAAAATGCCTCTATTTTATATCACAATCAACCAATATACCACGGTTAAAACCAAAACATAATTTAAAAAAAAAAATAAAAATAATTAAAAAAATAAAAACAAAACTTCCATACAACACCAAAGAGTTACTACATAGCTGTCAAAAATTAAGTTGCAATTCTCATAGCTAAATACGAAAAATCAAGATCAAGTGTGTACCCATAGCAGCATCCATGGCGGCCGGTCGGCTGACCTCGACGCTGCGAAATAATTACATGAACAAATCAAACCATCAGAGCCAAAGCTGGAAAGATAAACACAAGATAGCATACATAGCAAAAGGTGCAATGTTAAGTACCAATGAATATCTCATCCCATCAATAGGGCCGGAATTTCCGCGCTGCTCTCAACTGCTGTATCCGCTTCTTGTCCTGCTCGAATTTGCTCTGCAGCATCATAATCTCTGCATCCGCAATATTTCTCAACAATTCATGTTTCAAGCTTTGAATTTAAGTGAAAAGAATGTCGAATAGAATATATAATAGTTAATTTGATTATGATTCTGTAGTGAACTAGAAACAATTTGGGTTTGAATTAGCACATACCGTTCATCTGTGCTTCCTTTTTCTGGAACCGGTAGAAATTTAAACCGACTTCTTTCTTTTTCTTTTTGGACATCTTGTCAAGAACGGCAGCTTGGGCGACGGAACCTACAGCGACTCCAGTTTCGGTATCAGTTGTCTTTTTCCGACCTTTGTGGTGTACTACCACTGTCCAGCCACCTTCTGCAACTTGGGCTTCTCTCTCAGCTCTTGCCTGTATCAACAGATTTACAATTAGATGAATACAGTCGAGTTTCGATAAATTTAATGAGGACTGGGATGTATAGCACTTGTACAAATATAGTCCCAAATACACTCAAACTCCAAATTTACAAAAAATTAGGGTAAATTATATAAACCCCATGTGTTTTAGTAAAAATACACAAAATACCTTGTGTTTTATTTATTACGTGTCCAAAACTGGTATTTAGTTTTAAATAAATACCTAAATTACGCAAGTTTTATAAATATAAAAAAAAAAAAAAACACACACAAAATATCTTAAATAATTTTTTTGCATTAAATAAATAAATAAATAATTTATTAATCGTTCATTTTATAATTTTTGGAGACAAATGGTTGTCTGATTTTTAAAAAAATTATAAAAATAAATTATTGATCAATTATTTATTTATTTATTTATTTATTTATTTTATTCAAAAAAAAATTATTTAAGATATTTTACGTTTTTTATTTATATAAAACTTACATAAATTAGGTCTTTATTTCAAACCAAACATCAGTTTTGGACAATGAGGGTGTTTCATGCAAATTTTCCATTAACACAAGGGGATTTCACGCAATAAATAAAACAAAGGGTATTTTGTGCATTTTTAGCACAAGACAAGGATATGTTATATAATTTACCCAGAAAAGTAATAGAAAGAGCATGAATTCAAAAGATTTAAATTAGAGATCATTAAAGATGATTTTAAAAAAGAAGAGATGTAGAACAAAAGTATTACCTTCGCTTCTTGTGCCTCATGGTTCATTATGAAATCATCGATCCTTTCTTGCAGAACCTTGAGACCAGGCCGACTCCGATGATATTGGGAAATCCATTCTAATCAAAGACAGGATTGACTTAGTATCATAAACCAAACAAAGAGCAACATTCTTCAACTCAGTCTAACACTGGAGTATGCATTTTATATTATCCGATAGCTAAACCGCCAACATGGTTCATTTTGGTAAGTTCAAAATTATAACGTTACCTAGATATTTTAATCATCCTTTGTTCCAGCTTACCAAAAGCAACCCCTGTTTTTCAATGTTTGTATACATCCTAATATCTTTTATTTTAAAAACATTACATCTATATACTTTTAACTTACCTGTCGTACCCACTATTAATATTTACTATTTCTTACATATGAAGATTTCAACAATTATATATGTTAATAATTACTACCATGCACCCAAATTCAAGTTCTAATATATTCATACTCACAAAAACACAATATCCAATTCCCTAAAGGCTAAAACTAACAATCAACCTTGAATTCAATGACATCAATCTTTCAAAAACTATATATTATCAGGTATATATCATTTTAATTTTCTTTTTTAAAAAACACAATATATTGCTATTAAATCATCAAAATCTAGGTACCACAATTTTCACCAAGGCTCAATCATTGTAAAATTGACATAGAAGATTTTTTTTTTTTAAAGCATCAGTAGTGTTGTTAATGGGTGTAAGTACCATACTTGTCATTCCTTTAGAATAATCTTCGTCCCCAGATGACATCTCGTAGCAATCATCTTCTACGTCTTCCCCTTTCTTCTCTGCCAAAGTACCTGATGATAACAAATTTGTCAATAACTAATGCTCTTCTTTATTTCCTAATTTTACTTTCAAAGCAATATATATATATATATATAGTAAATTGCAAAAGTTGAAAAGCTACAAAAAGTTCAATGAAGTTTGTACAACTATCAATACCATCTTGTGTTCCAGACACATCGTCATTTTCAGTGTCAATATTCTCTCTCTTCTTTTTCCTCGACTTCCGCAGTTTTTTTGCCTTGGGCTCACTTTCAAAACCTTCTTCATTTTCGTCTTCAGTAGAATGAGAATGGCTGATTTCCTCGGCTCTGGACATAGTTCTAGTATTCTTTCTTTTTTTATCTTTCATCCTCTTACTCTTGTTGCTTCCATCATTAACATCATGTGTTTCATCTGCTGATAACACAAAGACTAAGCTGAAGTTCATCCATCTAGAGTAATGTCAATTTTGAAATCTTTTGATATGCTAGTAGTGTACCTTTAACAATGGCAAAGTTTATGGCATTAGCTCTCTCGGAAGAATCCTCAGAATATTTATTCTTCTTTTTATTGCTTTTCTTCTTGACTTTCTCGTTAGTTTCATTAAAGTTTCCCTCTATGAAAAAAACAAAATTATCAGCATATAGATAAGTGGAAATTGTCACCAATCCAAAGAATACTAGTAATAAAACATAAACAGAAATGAATGAAGACCTCAAAAGGTCATCTACAAGACCTACAGTGCTAACAAATATAAAATTACTATATTAGTTAAAACCATGTGAACTAGAGCCACATCTTCGATAAACGGTTAAAGTAAAGGATATGTAAATATTTGAATAAATATATATGTACATCTATATGAATTAAGTTTCAACCATCCAGCATGATGGGCTGATAAACACCCAAAACAATTCCATCAATTATGTCCACACCTCTTAAATATTCAAAAAGATGCAGTGTCTTGAAGATATACAATATAACACATTAGCCTATGTTAGTTATCTGGATCACAGGATATCAAGATCATACTTGTTAAGTATATGTGGTTCGTATTGACATTATACTTTCTCAGTTAACACCTTTTCTTTTTAATAAATTAATCAGATAAGAATGATTCCACAGTTTTCCATCGAAATGAATTCCGATCAAAAGTTACCGATCGTAAAAACTAACAATAGACTAATAGAGTTTACATTCACTGCCGAAGCCGCTATGAAAAACTCTTTCACAATCTTTTTGGAGAAGCATGTTATTTGTTATAACAACTTTTACAAAAATTAACTAAGACTATTCAAGCCCTAGGATAAACTTAATCATATGCTATAATCCCCTCATGCAGCCACCCCCACCCAAGGAAAACAACAAACCGGATAAAATATATATTATATATTTAAATAACATTTGGGCAAAAACAAAAGGTAAAGAGTATAAAATAAATACCAATTGGAGAAAACCCTGTCTCCGAGTCATACTTCTTCCTTTCCTTCAAAGTTTTCTTCTTTTTCTTATGCAAATCATCTGCAGCCATAGCTAACTTCCAATCTCAACACAAATGTTGAAGTAAGAAGAACCTGTAGTGGAATAAATCAAATTAGCACATTGGAAGTTATCAAAATTAAAAATACAGAATTTGATGAATTCAGCTATACAACTAGTAAGGAAATTTAGGATAATACTTCATTATTAACAGAAATGACAATGAAATAAGCAATAAACACATAATCAAAATAACAAATGCTAAAGATTCACAATTTCTTCTCTCGCAAATCCTTGCTGTGATAAAAATTGGAACACATGGAAGGCAAGCTGCACCCTCCCCTTTCATTCCATTATTTGTCTATCCATTAAAATTACAGTAAACAATCAAATTGCACTGTCAACTTGTTGCAACAAGGAAGATTACATCAAATCAAAATTTCTCTGCATATTCTCCAAAGATTCCCAGCCCTACTAGTTACTACACTTTTATCCAATAGGACTAAACTAAACTTACAGCGATGAGAAGTAGAATGGCCGCCGGTTTTCCCTATCTACTTTTCTGTTACTACTACTATTTATTTTAAAATTTCCTTGTAGAAAGTCACTACGAGGAGAGGAAGGACGGCAGACAGAAGAAGATGAAGAGAAGAACCCGGCGGCGGGATGAAGTAGCGAAGAAAAGAAGGATGAGGGAAAAGAAGGGGCGGCTCGGTAGGTTTAGGCCATCTAGACTTGAACATTCAGTTCCGAACCGCCGGTTTACGAACCGGAGGCTACGGTTCAACCGAACCGTCGTCCGGTATTTATTTGTCAAACCGTGAACCGCTTTTACTGTTTGAACCGGCGGTTCGATAAGAAGGAGGAGGAAAGGAAAGAATTGGAGAAGAAGAAGAACCTGGTTCGGTCTGCGGCGGCGGCCACCGTGGAAAGTTTCCGGCGGGCGGCGGCGGCTGTGGGTGTGGGGGTGTGTATAATGTATTATTAGGGCAAAATTGTGGAGTAATATATTTTATAATAATATTTATAAATAATACTCATTTCATCTCGTCTCATATGATTTATCAACATTAAATATCTATTTAATTAATTAATATAAATTAATTTAATTATTTATTAAGTTTATTATTCTAAGTATTATTATATTGTAATATTCTAATCAATTACTCCCTTCTTCTCACTTACTATATTCATGTTATCGTTTTTTGTGTGATGTCACTCTTTTTTTAAAATAAAATAATAATTACTTATTTTAATTTCATTTTAATTTTTTTTTAAGTTTAATTAAACTAATTAGTTATCTTAATTTTAATTTATAATAATTTATATTATAAGTTAATTATTTTCATTAGTACATTTTTAATTATCTACTAATTATACATATCCTAACTTCTCGTGTTTACCGTGACTAAATTATAAGTTAATTATTTTCATTAATATATTTTTAATTATTTACTAATTATACATATCCTAAATTCTCATGTTTACAGTGACCAAGACATACAATATGGGACGGTGGGAGTATTATTTACATGATTTTTAAACTTAAACATAAACAAATAATAAACATATTGTTAAGAGAAAATAAAAAAGAAAACAAATAAAAAAACAAAAGGTTTTACGTAGTTCGATGACGGTGTGTCAACCTATGGACAGGAATCAGAGATATTTTATTATACTGATTCTGAGAGCTACAACTAGGACTATAGCTATCTATTTATAAGTACTCAAAACACCCAAAACCCTAAACCTATTATTAGTTATGATAAGCCCAAAAGAAACCCGGCCAATTAAAACAACCTTTTCGTTTTAGTTTCGGATCGGGTAGACCGCTAAATCCAAATCATATTTCAACACATCTAAAATAATTTAAATAATAAAAAATTTGAATTAAAATAACATTTAATGTCTTAGATATAAAATTGATTTGTAGTATACTATAAAAAAATAAAAAAATAAAAAAATTTATTTGATATTTATGAAAAATAAAATAAAAATTCATGAATAGCAGATATTTGGAAGAATCTCGTATATGTTATAGATTGCATTTAAATAAAAATTAGTATGGTATATTATAACTTGTAGTATGAAGGATAAATGATACATTATAGAACATTTTTAGTAAATATATATAACATATATGTTAAATTAAAATATGTACATTTAATTATGCGTTTGAAATTTCAATGGTGAGAAAAAATAATAATAATAATAATTGATTTAAAATTCAATTATTTTACAAAATATATTTTTTAATTTATTCTAAAATTCTCACATTAGTTCTCGAATCTAGCCGGAACTCTAGCTCAGTTTCGGAGAAGCTTCATTCGAATCGACTCAAACTATTGTTAATAAAATAAATAGTATTTTATTTAATTGATTTCAGTATTTACGTGTGCATGAGAGAATTATTTTATACTAATTATTAAACGCTATATTTGATTAGGTTAAATACAAACTCAACATTCTTTTATATTGTGTTAAATCATACTTTCTCCGTCCCAATACAATAGTCTTGTTTACCATTTTTTTTCATTCCAAAACAATAGTTTTATTTCCATAAATAATCATATCACCACAAAACTACTCATATTTTTTCATTTTTATTACACAATTGTCATTACTTTTTACACTAATACACTCACAAGAGCAAAAAGGTTTTTTATTCATATTTTTTACCAACTACTAATATAATATTAATATTCCTTAAATCTCGTGTTTAACCCAATTAAAACTATATTTATGAGACGGATGGAGTATTAAATTTCAATAAAAAAAAAAAAAACTACCCATACTTTTTCAATAAATTACAATAGTTTTATTTCAATAAATAACCATATTACCATAAAACTATCCATATTTTTCATTTTTATTACACAATTGTCATTATTTTTTACACTAATACACTCAAAAGGATAAAAATGTCTTTTATTCATATTTTTTTACCAAGCTCAATCCAATTAAGACTGTATTTATGAGACAGAGAGAATATTAAATTTCAATAAAAAAAATATAGTATTTAATATTTTTCAGTATCTAAAATATATATGATTCCTAAACTCTCAACGATTAAATATGGAAACATAACTTTTAGCTCAATAATTTTTTTTGAAAAAAAAAAATAAAATATTTATCAAATACATTATTTGAAGGATTTTGGAGGATTTCCACTATTCATCCAATTTCCTCCCCCCCCAAAAACATCAAATCAAACACCTATTTTTCATTTTTTATATTATACTAAAAATCAATTTTACATTCAAAACATCACATCAAACTCTATTTATATCACATCATACAACTATTCAAATTCAAAATTTTTACTATTCAAATCCCAATCTAAAATCCAAACCCCCAAACAAACACACCCTAATTAATTGTAAAACCTGTGAAACAGTACGTTGTTGAATGAACTAATTGTCAACCATCCTTTAAAGAAGTTGAATATTTGATTCTCTATTTGACATCTAATTTTATATTCACTTTTATTCTTCTATTGTTAAAAAAAACATTTATATTTATTTTTTTTAAAAAAATATATATATACTAATCTTATACTTTTAAAATACTATCAAAAAAAAAAAAAAAGCAAAAAGTATACACCCAGTGCAGAGTTAGGATTATATTCGAGGGAGCGTTAATTTTAAAATTTATAAAATAATATATTTTATTTATAAATATTTATTTGTTATTCGAAAAAATTATCATTCTAATTATTATATTTTGAAGAAAATAAATAAACTAAAACAATAATAATAGTTATACACTGTATTATAAATATTTTTTTTGTATTTTTTTTTATTCAAAAAAGATATATAATTTTTTATTTTCTTATTTATTTATTTTCTCTATATTGCATATATTTAAATAAAAAAATAAATAAATTTTAAAAAGTAAAAAAAAAAAATTGGGATGAAATGGGGTGGGGAGGAGAGGGAGGGGCTGCAGCCCACCTTTGCCCTCACCTCAGTCCGCCCCTGTATACACCTATTTAAATTTATGTCCAAAAGTATGAATATACAATTAAATAAGGAAAGGTGTATAATTTTATTAAAATATAAATATATATTCTTGCTATTTATTTATTATTAAAAATTCTAAAATTATATATATATTTTTTCTTGGTTAGTTGAATAATATTAAATTGAAGACCAGTCAAACCCCGTATTGTATTCCGTGTGGTTATAATGTTATATTAATATTACTATTTTATATGGATGGATGAGCATTTCTAACATAAATCATTTTTTATTTTTTATTTTTATTTTTTTTAATTATCAGTCACACAAACTCCCATAGAAATAGCATCCAAACATTCTAATTATAGACTTTTCCAATCCTATAAATTACCAATTTTCCCATCACTTACAACAACAACAACAATTTCTTCGTTACAAATCTCATCAATTGTCTTAAAAACTTCTTTTTATTTATTTCTTTGTTTTTGTAAGAACAAAAGACATGAATAACTCTCAGAGCATGAGCTACCAAGCCGGCCAGGCCAAGGGCCAAGCCCAAGTAATTATTATTATTATAATTTTATTGTATTGTATTTTTAAATTATTATTATTTTTAATATTTTATTTTATTATTATTATCTCAAAAAATAGGAAAAGGGAAACCAAATGATGGACAAGGCTAGCAATGCTGCCCAATCTGCCAAGGAATCTGTGCAGCAGGTGGTTAATTAAATGTTAATTAATTAATTAATTGATCACGTGATTTAATAAATAAATAATTAATTAATCACGTGCGTAGGCTGGACAGCAGATGCAGGAAAAGGCTCAAGGAGCAGTGGACGCAGTGAAGGACGCCGCAGGGGCCAACAAATGAATGACGACCCTCCGTACAACACGACGTCATTTCGCTTCCAATATTACCATTATTTATTTATTTAGTTAGTATAGGGGCGTTGATTAATGACGTAGTTGTCATTAATTTTCCTTTTTTTTTTTTTTTTTAGTTTCTTGCCTGTGTTGGACAGATTAGTGGACAATAATTTGTTTTTCATTTTTATCAAATAAATACATATTTATTTAGGTTTATTTTGCTCAGTTTAATCTATACGGTCCTATTTTTATTTATTATTTTTTTATGTTTTTAACTTTTTATAATTTTGTTTCAAATAATAGTGTGAAAATCTCAACTATTATGCTCGCTTTTTAATTATTATTTTTAGTATTTTTAAATATTATTTTAAGATCAGTAATTGTACTTTGATTATTTTCTCATAGTGATAATTCCACTAATTTTAAGTTTCAAGTAAAAAAATAAAAATAAAGGGTTTTTAATATTTATTTTTTTAAAAAAAATAATTATTGAATATAATATTTTTCATAAAAATTAGTAGTATATTTTTATTAAAAAAATTATGATAGTAAACTAAACAAATTTATATATTTGAGTTTGATTTAAAATAAAATAATTGATTTAAATTTTTATTTAATAGAATTTTTTTTATTGAAACTCTACTGATTGAATAGTGTTTTTTTTTTTTTTTAAATATTACTAATATCGAAAATAGCAAATAATAATATTTAAAGGAACTTTGAATAAAAAGTAAAATAAAATACAACCACTTTTTTAATTCATTTCAATTGAGTAGAGCGAATTGATAGCTTGAAAGCAAAAGCGCGGTTGTGTCAAAACCACGATTTTACAAGTGGAGCAAATTTTAGAAACACGACTTGTCGCAGTCAGGGAAACTCGTGGTTCAGATTTGTAGTGATCCTCTCAAGTGTCCCTTAAATTTTCTTTTTGTCGACTTTTAAGTACTGTCATAATTTCCGCATTTAAAAATAATAAAAATAAATAATATATAATAAAATATTCACAGCCACAAAACTATAGCACAAGTTTTTCCACCCGCTAGTTTCGCGCCACGTGTCGCCTCGTTGATTCGGCCTATATGTACACTGCTTTCGCTCCACAAACTGTATTACCTAAATCGATCCAATGTTGACGGTTCACTGCACCGCCAGAGAGATCGCCGACGCCGCCTGGTCCCGCCGCTGCGACGGCTGCCGGACGGCGGCGTCCGCCGTCTACTGCCGCGCCGACCTGTCCTACCTATGCGCCGCCTGCGACGGCCGCGTCCACGGCGGCGGCGCCGCCGCCGGACACGAGCGGGTATTAATATGCGAGGCCTGCGAGCGTTCGCCGGCGGCGTTCGTCTGCAAGGCCGACTCGGCGTCGCTCTGCGCCGCCTGCGACGCCGACGTCCACTCGGCGAATCCCCTGGCTCGCCGCCACCACCGCGTCCCGATTTCGCCGATCCCCGCCGGCGGCGGAGCCGCAAGCCCTAGCCGGCTAATAATCGGACGGCCAGGAGAAGGCCACGACGACGGATTTCTGACCGTCGATGGGGAGAACAGCAGCTGCAGCGGTGGCGACGACGACGAAACGGCGGCGTCGTGGCTGCTTTTCGGCGCCGGCGCCGACGACGATAAGGCCGTGTTTGGCTCGGAAGTCGATGATTACTTCGATTTGGACGATTACACCGACGGAAATCCGTTCAGCTGCGAATACACCAAACAGGATCAATACAGCTCCGACAGCGTGGTTCCGATTCAGTTTCAGAGCGGAAATGATTGGCATCAATTGGCTTCAATGGTGCCGGAATCCGCCATGGCTGAGAGCTCCATGATTTCTCACACTAGGGCTTCGAAGGGCACAATTGACCTATTTTCGGGCCCTCCGGTCCAGGCCCCGGCTCAGCTGTCGACGATGGACAGGGAGGCCCGGGTGCTGAGGTACAGGGAGAAGAAGAAGAACAGGAAGTTCGAGAAGACGATACGGTATGCATCGAGAAAAGCGTATGCCGAATCCCGGCCGAGGATCAAAGGCCGGTTCGCGAAAAGAACCGAAGTGGACCGGCCGTTTTCTAAATCAATGAATGCATACGGCGTCGTTCCGTCCTTTGAAATGTGTTAAAAGCATTGAGCTACGTATATGTATGTGCATATGTATTATGTGTGTATTGGTGATGTAAATTATCAATTTATATATAGTGTTGGTATAATTATGTGTAAATTTTTTGATGAATTGTTGTTTCGTTTGTAAATTGAGAAATTCATTTGATTTTTCATAATGGAGGAATATATAATTCATTTTGATATGTTGAATTTAAATGAAACCGATTAAATTCCTCATGTTTATGTTGGAAATGTGTGAGTGAATGCCGGCCGTGTTTCATTTTATATTTTGAATGAATATGTACTCCCTTCGTCCCATAATAAAGTATTTATTTTTTATTTTAGTTGGTTTCATAACAAAGTATTTATTTCATTTTTTTTTAAGCAACTGTGCTATCTACCTAACATTACAAATACCCTTACAATTTACAATATATTACACAAATGTCATTACTTTTATATCACACTTACTAGTAAGGTTATTTTAGTCATTTCTACTTTATTTCTACTACAAATAAGAGTATAAAAATTGTGTACGTAGAATAAAATATTATTCTACATTATATTGTTGGTTTGTTATGAATAAATATAATGTATATACTATAGTATATTTATTATATTAATGTGTATTTATTATATAATACTCCTTCATTCCGTCTCACTTATCATGTTTATTTTTTTGATTATCTTTTGTCTCACTTATTATGTCAATTTATTTTTCTTTAATAAAATTATACATTTTAATTTTATTTTAAAATTTTTATTTTAAAATTTTAAAATTTTAATTAGACTAATTTGTTAGTAAAATCGTGCCACTAAATTGTACTCCCTCCGTCCTAAAAGAAGTATCTTATTGAGAGTTGGCACGAGAATTAATGGGTATAAAGTAGAATGTAAATGACTAAAATGCCCTTGTTCTTTGAAAGATTTTAAAGACTATGTTAAAGTAATAATTAGGGGTAGTATGGAAAAGTACGAATAATTTTGTTATAAAGTGGGGACCACAGCTATTAAATAATGAAACAAAATAATTATTTTGGGACGAACGAAAATGGAAAAACAAGACAAATATTTTGGGACAGAGGGAGTATTATTTGTCTATACTGATATGGGGAGCCACATGTGGTGGATTGACTTGTAATGATACGTGGTATTGGGTGTTAAGTTTATGATCACTAATTAATTGATGATTTTTTAAATTTTATAGGCTTATTTCTTCTAATAAAATATATATATATAATAAAATATCATATTAAGTTTACTAATTTTTTGTATTATTTTCATAATTTTTAAATAAAATTAAAACTCTTTAATCATACGGAGCCATAATAATTAGGTAATTTAATTTCAATATTACATAGTAAATTGAATAATTTAGTAAATAAGATCATTCAACAATATTTTTATAGTGTCTTGAATTCAATATTCTAATAAGGTTTCGTTAAGGTTTTATAAGTTTTGAAAAAAATTTAAATACAAAAATAAATATTTAATATAATATTTTATAAAATTAATAATTCTCTCTTTATATCGATAGTTTTTTTATTTTTTTATTGATAAAAGTATTATTAAAAGATTTTTTTGCCCTTATAAGTGAATTAATATAAAAAATAGTGACAATTGTGTAATAAAAAAAATAATAAGGATAATTTTACGGCAGTATGGTTATTTGTGGAAATAAAATTATTGTTTTAGGATGGACAAAACTGGTAAACAATACTATTGTATTGGGACGGAGGGAGTATTATTTTTAAAATAGTAATTTTTTATATCAGATGTTTTATATATTCGATCTATAGTCCAATTGACTCATTATGTATTTTAATTATTTGAATGTTTTAAAGTTATTTTTTTATGCGATAATTTGAATTATTTTTATGCCCTAGATAGATTTTTTTTTTAATTATTTTTTCCAATGCAACAAATTTGTTTGGAAGTTTGGATTTTGAGTTGGGATTTGAATAGTAAAAATTTTGAATTTAAATAGTTGTATGATCTGATATAAATAGGTGTTGATGTGATGTTTTGAATGTAAAATTAATTTTTAGTATAATATAAAAAATAAAAAATAAGTGTTTGTTTTGATATTTTTGAGAAAAAAAATTGAATGAATAGTAAAAATCCAATTCAATCCTCCAAACAAACTAAACTAACCCTTAAAAGTTATTGGTCAAATATCTATGCATAAATATTCAGCACTTTTTAAAAAATGTGAATGCGACTTTTCATAAATCCTAACAATCATCTCTCTTCTTCCACTCATAATTGAAATACTATTTAAGGTAAGGTTTGACATCCTCCCTTATTCAGAACTTGCTAGGAGTGGCAATATTGGATTTTTTTTCTTTTCTTTTTTTATTTCTTAATTTATTATTTTTTTTAAAAAAAATCTAAGGGTGTTTTCTGTTGAAGGTTTTTATTTAAAATACTATTTACTAAAAATTTTTAAAAAATATATCAAATCAAATATTTATTTTTATTTTTTATATCATACTTAAAATTACAACTACATTCAAAACATCACATCTACATTTATTTAAATCATATTATATAACTATTTCAATTTAAAATTTAGGAAAAATTGCTCATAACTCCATTGTAGTTTCGAAACTCAGCGTAAATTCCCCATCTACTTTAAAAATTGCATGATGTCCCCTTATACTTTAAAAAATAATGCATGAAACCACTTTGTTGTTTCGAAACTCAACATAAATCCCTATTTTACTTTTAAAAATTGCATGACGCTTACTTATACTTTAAAAAATATTGCGTAAAACCCCTCTGTCATGCAAAACATATAGATAGGAAATCATCTTTTTATCACACGAGGAAAGTTTCATGGTGGTGGAGTTTCATGCAACGTTTTTTAAAGTATAAGGGGGTACCATGCAATTTTTAAAGTACATGAAGATTTTAAGCTGAATTTCGAAACCACAGGAGAGTTATAAGCAATTTTACCTAAAATTTATATTATTCAAATTCTAATTACATTCAAAATATCGTATCTGCATTTATTTAAATCATACTCCCTCCGTCTCAAACAAGGTGCTACATTTAAGTTGGGTACAAGATTTTAGATGAGAAATATTAAGTAGGATAATTGAGTAATTAGGTGATGTGATGGAGAAAGAATTGTATATTTTATTTTTTTTATTAGGGTGATGTGATACGATAAAGTGTGGGTATATAGATTAAATATAATTAATTATTTTCTACTTTAAAAATATTGCAAGAGGGACATATAAAAAAGATAATGTTGCACAGTGTTGGGGACGAATGAAGTATTATATAACTATTTCAATTTAAAATTTTTAATATTCAAATCCTAAAAATATCACACCCTAAAACAATTAGTAAAATCTTAATTGAGGAATCAAATCCACAATCCAATAATAATAAATTTATTTAATCGGGTTGGGCTGAGCCTGGGCATGGCTTGGTTAATTGGCGTGCCAGATAGGCATGACACGAAAATTTTCAAATCTATTTTTTTTTTTTTTTTTAAGTCCAAAGATAGTTTTTTTTACCGGATCAGATTAAATTTTCGAATCATATCTATTTTTGTTATCTCTGACTGTGAGACTATCTTGTATCATCTTGGAATTTCGCATTTCTTTAAAACCATAATTTTAGTAGTTTTACATCATATTTGTGATTTTGTATCATCTTAACTTCAATTGTGTTATTTAAAAGGAGAATGAATTTTCTACAATTCTCTAAAAAGTTCGTGCTCTATTTTTTGTGAGAGAACGTGATGGTGTGTTCGCCGAATTTTTTGTTTTATTTGGGGTTTGATTTGGACTTTTTATTGAATATGAAATCTAAATATATGTGTTACCTATACCCAAAAATTGATTTTTCTCCTTTTTAACATAAAATGAATTTTTGGTGATTTTTACAGTGTATAATTGAGTTGGGGGTTTGAGCAAGTATTTTGATTTGAAGTATTTATTTGATAATGAGGTACAAAATTTTTTCTATAATATAAGAACAATATTCTATATGGAATGTTAGATTTTTATTTTTTTTTTAAGATAATATAATATATATTATTAGATTTTTAATGATCGAATATCAATTCAGTTTGTTAGAAAAAAGTAAATAATGACACATAATATGATGACTAAGTTCGATCATAATCGAATCTGTCTTTTGGATAGCCCGTAAATGTAACAAAACAACTTAAGTTTATGGAATTTGAATATTGTAATATACGATTATTCTAATTAATAGACTTTTATTCTCTCCTTATTTTCTTGTTGATGAGATTTTGCAAATTTTTAACAATGCCTTTATATTTTTGTTCAAATACATCAATTTTCACATAACTTAGCTTAGTAATAGGTATGTTTCTTTACACAATTTTTTTTAAATTTTATTATCTGAACTCTGCATTTTCTGAAAAAATATATATATATATATTATTTTATTTCATAAAACATCCTATCAAATATTATTTTAATATTAAACCGAAATAAAAATTTTTCAAATTGAACCAAAAAAAAAAAAAAAAAAAAGACACCATAGTTCTACGTAATTTACTGCTTTGTACGAACGCTCAAATTAAGCATAACAACGTGATGCAAAAACTAACATAACATATATTATATATATATATATATATTATAAATTGTATTGGGTAATTAAAAAAATTAGTTGGACAGACAAACCAAAAATATTTGCATAATTATATATAAATGTTATATGTCATTAAGTTGCGGTACCATACTTATTAGTCTTAATTATTACATACTCTCTCCGTCCAGTTAGAAAGTATACATATTTATATTTTGGGACGTTCAATTACAAAGTAAATATTTCATTAAATACCTTACTTTTTTTTACAAACATCATTACTTTACATCACATCATTACTTTTACACCAAAAAGCAAGGGCAAAAATGTCATTACACTACTTTTAACTACCCACTATAATTAAAATATTATTATTTCTTAAACACCGCACCAAAAGTAATTGTATATTTTATGAGTGGACGGAGGGAGTAATATATTGTAATATTTCAAATATGATTGTGGTTTGAAATTGATTTAAAATAAAATATTAATTTACATTTTTGTTTAAATAGTATTTTGATATAATAATATTTCTTGAGAAAAAATAATATATTGAAAACTATAATGAGTGAATATTGTTATTTTTAGTTTGAAATGATAAAATAACATTATATACTAATAATAATAATTCATTAGTACAATTGCATCTTGATATAATATAAATACAAATATAAATGAATAATAATGGATAATAATCCACATAACATATATAATTAATCATTATAACATATAATTATATGTATAAATTAAAATTACCCGATTTCATAAAACTTAATTAGTTGTGTTTGTATTTTTGGATGAATATATTTCTCGTAGATTAACATATGAATAATTATATTAATAATATAAAAAATATTTTATCCGTTTAAAAGAGTTTGTCTTATTATTTTATATTCTTGAATTATATGACTTTTTAGTGAATAAAATTATACTCCCTCCGTCCCAAACAAGGTGCAATATTTACTTTTGACACAGGTTTTTAGGTGAGTAGTATTAAGTAGGATAATTTAGAAATTAGGTGATGTGATGGAAAGAGAAATATATATTTTATTTTTTTATTTGGATGATGTGAGGGAATAAAGTATGAGGTAGAGATTAAGTATAATTAATTATTTCCTATTTTAGAAATGTTAGAGGGTTTTTGGGACATACAAAAAAGGAAATGTTGTAGGATGTTTGGGACGGAGAGAGTACTATATTATGTTACTATGATATATTATATGCTCCTTCAATCTCGCCTTACAAGTTTGGTTTTTTTTATTAATACGAAAATTTAAATAAAATTAATAAGATAACTAATAAATTTAATTAAAATTAAAAAATATTATTAATTATGAAAAGTAAAATATGATTGAAATTTATTATCATTTTCCTAAAAGAAAAAGACAATTATACGGGAGAGACTAAAATATAAATAGGTTGTGTTTGTTTGGGGATTTTCCCTCAAATACACTATTTCTTCAATTTTTTTTCTCCAAAACAATCAAATCAAGCAACTACTTTTTATTTTTTATATTATACTAAAAATAAATTTTGTATTTAAAACATCACATCAACACCTATTTGTATCACATCATACAATTATTCAAATTCAAAAATTTAACTATTCAAATCCCAACTCAAAACTCAAATCCCCAAACAAACACAACCATAGTATACAAATAAAGTGACACGAAAGAAGCTTTTCTCATAATATTCTTCTAAAATGCGTGTTTGTTTTGTGAAATTTTTTTAATGAAAATATAGATAATATAAAATAATGAGTATAATTTTTCTAAAAAAATTGATTGTGTTATTTGACAAAAAGAACGCACTCATTTTGAAAATTGTTGATAAACACAGCTTTGATTCAACAATAGTTCATACATGATTAGGCAAGTCACACACATATTAAATAAATGTAATTTACTTCATTCTTTAACTGAGTTATCTATTTTTCTATTTTGGTTAATTTCATAACAAAATATTTATTTATTTATAATAATTACACTATCTTCCTAACATTACAAATACTATTTCAATTTACAATATATTACATAAATGTCATTATTTTATATTATATTCTCAATGTACAAGCAAAAAATATACATTTACTTTTGGCATGGAGTTTAAAAAATAATAGTATTTTAATTATATTGAATAGCTAAAAGTAGTGTAATGACAGTTTTGCCCTTATTTTTTTGGGTATAAAAGTAATGACGTGATATAAAGTAAGGATATTTGTGAAAAAATATACTTTCTCCGTCCCATAACAAAGTATCCATTTTTTCATTTTAGTCTGTCCCATAACAAAATATTCATTTCTTTTTTTTTTTTAGTAATTGTACTATATACCTAACATTACAAATACTCTTACAACTTACAATATATTACACAAATGTCATTACATTTATATAACACACCATACTAATAAGGTTATTTTAGTCATTTCTACTTTATTTATATTGTATCTCAATATAATACTAAAATTTCTAAACTTACGTGCAAAGAGCAAATGGATACCTAGTTATGGACTAAAAGAGTAGAATATTTAATGAAATAATTACTTTATAATTGGACGTCTCAAAATAAAAATATATATATTTTCTAAATGAAAGGAAAAAAAAGTACAATACTAAATAGGATAATCTAATTTTTTTTACTTTTATTTATACTACATTTTAATACTCCAATACTAATATTTCTAAAGGAGTGAGAAAGAGGGAGTATAAAATAATTCCTCCGTCTCACTTACTGTGTCTGCTACACCAGTATTTTAGGATGGGTGTAATTAGTAGATAATTAAGAATATATTAATAAAAATAATTATTTTATAATATAAATAATTATAAATTATTATTAAGATAACTAATTAATTTAATTAAAATTAAAAAATAAATTAAAAAGTGACGAGATGGTATTTATTACGGAAGGAGTAACTTGTTAACAGCTAATTTATGAAATGAACCTTACACTCATTCTTCATCTATTCTTTCACAGACCATGATGTTCAACTCCATATAACACTATCTTACCGATCGAGTTTTAATCGACGGCCCAAATTCACTCGGGTGTTGCGATCCCAGGACTCTGTAAATATTTCAAACTATCTTCTCGGCCACATCAAACGTAGCGGGAAGAATCATCCCCATCAGCATGGCTCTCGCAAAATTCTGTGACTACAGAACCAAACTTTTCCAACCGATGGATCAACAGAGTCCTGGAAATCTAACGGTCCGTAAGATTCGGGTTCTGAAGTCCATGGACCTCTCACTAATTTCCTTCAACTGCTTTATTCTGTCTCAGTTCGCTTCTGACAACAATAAAGCTAATATTCATCTCGCTTTTCTATCTCTACGTATATACATACAAAAAGTTGTATATATATATATACTTGCAGATAAACAAACCCTAGCTTTAATTCACAGATTGGAATTGGAACTGATGAGAGAGAGAGAGGAGTGGCTGGAGAGCGAGAGAGACGATGATGCCTAAAATCCAGCAGCCGATCGCCGCCACTCCGGCGGCGGCGGACGGCAGCGAATACCAGAGGTGGAATTCTCCGATTCCGTACCTGTTCGGAGGTATTGCTATGGCGTTGGGCGTTTTGGCTTTGGCGTTGGTCATTTTGGCGTGCTCTTATCGGAACAGTTCGTCGTCGTCGTCAGAGAAGGCCGCCGGGGAGGAATCGCCGCCGGATCTGGAGCCGAGAATGGTGGTGATCATGGCCGGAGAAACTAACCCCACTCATCTCGCGAAGCCTCTCGCCGCCGCCGGAGCTTCCAGGCCTCCGCCGCTCCGACGAGTTTGATTTATTTATTTTTTATTTTTTGGATTTTATTTTATTTATTACATTTATTTAATGTGTTGTAAAATTTATTGTGCATAAATAATTTGAAAATTAAAATTACAATAGAACGTGGTAACTTGGTGCTGGCTATTGGTGTTTGATTTTTGTTTTGATTTTAAGGTTTTTTATATTAACAAGTAATTGTATACCTAATACTTCCTCCGTCCACAAAAAAAAATTGATTGTTCTATTTTTATTTTTATACATAAAATTTACTTTTTTTACTCTTATTTTATTTATTATTTTATATCTATATACAAAATAAAGTACTATTTTGTCAATTTACGATAAAAAAAAATTAATTACCTAAAAATACGTGTAAATATTACTTAAGACATTAGAAAATTGAGAGATATATAAAATTAATATTTTTAATATAAATTAGAGATGTGTTTATTAGTAAGATTTTGTATTAGTTTTATTACAATGATATTAAATTAAATATATTTTTTTTATTTATGGTAAGGGTATATCTCTTTTGATAAGTTTGGAAAAATTTTAGTTTGAGTTTGGTATTAAAATAATATATGATGAGATGTTTTGTGAGAGAAAAAAATATATTTTTTTTTGGAAAACGACATAGTCCAAATAGAAAATGATATTAAATTAAATATATTTTTTTTATTTATGGTAAGGTTATGTTTCTTTTGATAAGTTTGGAAAAATTTTAGTTTGAGTTTGGTATTAAAATAATGTATGATGAGATATTTTGTGAGAGAAAAAAAATATATTTTTTTTGGAAAACGTATAGTTCAAATAGAAATGTGGAATTTGATGACTAAAAAAACCTAAAATTTAATTTTACGTTCAAAATATTAAATTAATATATATTTATACTATATTAAATAATTATTTCAATTTTAAATTGTTCTGTTTAAAATTAAAATCACATAAATAAACATATTTGTAAATTTTGTATAAATGGAGTATTGTTTATATTTATGAAGCATATATTATACTCTGTCTATCCTATTTTTTGTATTTGGTTTACTATAGATATGAAAATTTAAGTAAATATAATTAATAAGTATTTAATAAAAATTATTATTGTATAATAAAATTAATTATAGATTAATAGTAAAATTAAACAATATAATTAAAAAAAATTATAAATTATGAAATTTAAAATACGATTACAATACTTTTTTTTAAAAAAATAACAAATAAAATAAAATGGAGGAAAATAAAAATAGTAAACGAAAAAAGTGTAATTGAGAGGGAATATGTTTTTATAATATCAAAATGTTTTGTCTAAAATATTTATTAAAAGAAGAAAACATTCAATCAACATTTTATTGTATTATAACTTACGGAATTTTAGAAATATTAGTATTATATTGGGATAAAGTATAAATAAAGGTAAAAAAAATAAATTAACCATATTAGTATTGTACGATATAAAAGTAACGAAGGTATTTGTAATGTTAAGTAGATAATACAATTATTAAAAAAAAATAGATACTTATGGAACGGATCAAAATGAAAAAAATAGATAGATTGTTAAGGGAGTATATAATAGTATAACATTTATTTTATCATAAAAAGTTAATATTCAATACAAATATATTATATTTTTATATTATTAATATAATTTTTCATACTTTATATTAAAAAATATTATATATGTCTCAATATAATTGATTCATTTAATTAGTAACACAATATTTAAATTAATAATGTTTAATTAATTAAGAATAGCGAGTAATAATATTATTATATTATTTTTATATAATTAATTATATTAATAGTTTTAGAATAAATTATATATGATTAAAAAATAGAATATGTATTTAAAAAATATTTTAAAATTATATCGCAATAAAAAGATATATGCAATATTAATATCATTTTGTAGACAATAAATTTTTTTATAGTATAAATAAATAAAAAATACGTTTATTTATTCATATTTAACATAAACTAATTTTTTAAAAGAAATATAACTTTAAATATAGATAAAAATATTTATTTTTTTGAAGAGAAAAATCGAAATAAAAAGGATTTTGAATGAATGTATGATATTATGTGTTATGTATTGAATTAAATTAATTTGTATATATATATATTTTTTTTGTTAAGTATATTTTGATTTAGTGATTTTTACCCAAAAATAAAAAAATGTAATTTAAGTTAAAATATTAAATGCAATTACATCGGAGTTTGAACCCATGACCTTTCGGTCTACGGGACCATTCCTTATGACAGTGAAAAATTGCATTCTTCGTACCCACATGAGACACAAATCAATGTGCAAATTTTGTCCCATATATTTTTTTATTTTTTATTTTTTGGTAAATTTAATTTTAACAAACATTACATCAATACTTTTTCTTTTTTCATATTCCATCCGTTCACAAACTAATGTCCTACTTTTTTATTTGGGACATACAACAATTATTATCCTATTTATTTTTTAAACATAAATTTTACATTTTTATTCTTCATTTATTTATTACTTTTAATCTCTACCATATAATAAAAGACAAATTTATCGATTCATAAAAAAATAATCATCTAAAAAATCGTACAAATATATTTTGGACAATAGAAATTTAATGGAGAGTATTTTTTAAAACTTCAATATTTTCAACAATTTCCTTCTAAAAGGAATCATGATATTTTAAGGAAATAAAGGAGTATATAATTTTCATTTAAAATATATTATAAATAATTATAATACTATAAAGTAATTTCTTAATTTTGGGTCAGATGTTAAGAAAATACGATTAATAAGTAATTAATAATAAGTGATTATATTATTTTTATATGGATAGTATTGTAGGTATTTTAAATATTTTTACCATTATATTTCAATATGAATGTTATTTTTGTAGATCATAAAATTTAACACTCCCTCTATCCAGTACAACATAAAATTTTTAATATTAATATTATAATGGATTATAGTGGAAAAGACGAAAATATTCCTATTAGTATTGTGTAATATAAATAAGTTGGAAGAATATTTATTATGTTAGGCATAGTACAATTACTAAATTAAAAAATAGTAATCTTGTCTTGTTTTGTAACAGACAAAAATGAAAATTGACAACCTTTAATGGGACGAAGAGAATAATATAATAAACAAAAAATATATATTCATTTATAATTAATTTAAAATTAATTTTATAAAAAATAAAAACTTTTAAATATAGATAAAAATATTTATTTTTGATCCAAGCATAAGAAGTTTAAGAAATAATTAAATCGATTTATATTTATTAAATATTTTAAAATAAATAAATAAATTTAAAAAAATAAAAAGAAATCATCGTTAATGAGAAAAAAAAAGAAATGAAAAAAAAAAAAAAAAAAGAAAGAAAAAGGTCGTATCAGGCGGGAGGGAGGGAGTTTTTAAAACATAGATAGTGATTTTTTATTTTGTTTCATTTGATAAATCAACAAAACAGAATTTGGGGGAATTTTAAAAAAAAAAAAAAGAAGGTTTTTTTTATTTAATAAGCGTGTTAATAGACATTGATGCATTTGCGCTTTCCGCATAAAAATGGCCGCATGGCAATTCGCAAACGTACTGGACGGTGGCAGCTTCACTTCTCTCGGTGGGAGGCGCGCGCCATTGCCAAGAGCATCCCATTCAAATGCGTGCTACTCTACATTTTCATAGCAAATTTCCGCCTCCCACTCCGTCCCGTCGTTAATTTATCATTTTCAGAAGTAAGAACCTGAGTCATATATATGCTATAAGCTATGCACTTACTTTTGCGCAATTTTGCTAATTACGGATGCGCTATTAGTTTTTTTTTTTTTTTTAGCGTTTATATATGTATATATCTTTTTATGTGTGTGTGATACCGGTGCTTCTGTTTTTAATTTCCGCATTTGCGTGTTAGATTGTTCGTTTGTGCATTGATGAAAGCACACAGATTACAGGAGGATGTGGAATATGTTTACAGTTAACGAACACGCATAATGATATCCGGCGACCTATTTTTTATTCATGGAATCGATCAATTTAGGAATTTTGTTTTTCTTAAACCAAGGCGGAAGTCAATGGGGGAAAAGTAATATCGATACAATAGTTACGCAGTTTTGATCATTAAACCTGCCTCCTGAAAATCCCCTTTCCGAGAACGGCGTTTGTAGGCATGTTAAATTATGTTATTGAATTTTTTGAGTGTTGTATCATGGATTTTGTTTATTATATATTGGCTGATTGATATTATCCTTAATGCTCTGTAGGTATGCAAGTATTGTAGATGACTATGGATGATAATTGTGCATACATGCAAATTATTATCAGTAGTCTATTTAGCCACTAATCAGCTGGTAAGATCCAATCAAAGTACATCAAATTTTATTGGTAGAGAACCACTGAGGTTCAGCTAGACTGCAGGGAGTAATACACTTGATGGAATCTGAAATGTGGAGTATGAATGTGATTAGAACAGAAACACACATCTTTTTCCTGGTAGTTGCTCTTTCATGTACTCACTAATTTGTTTGTTCCTAATATAATGCCTGTAAGGATAGTCCAAAGTTATACCGGAAGGTTCGTTCTGCTTCTATTTTCATTAATTACATGTTCAATGCATGTACAGAATACAGATGCACTAATGAACCTTGCCTCAGTGTCTGATCCTGTATAACTTGAAATTAGGTCATGGAAATAGAGATAGACTTCATCTCATTCAAAAATTTAACATAAGATTATATTTGCATCAAAAGTGAAACTGCTACTGCATTTTTATATGCAATTGTACTCATGTGTATTATTATTAGTTTCTTTTTTTTCTTAATACTTGTTACTAGTCATCATGAAAAGTTTGACACAGATAATCTTAATTCATGCTGGCAGTCTTTTTTTGCCAGTTCATTAACTGTGGAATGCAGGTATGAGACAATTAAGCAACTTGCCCGTTTATTTTATTAACTTTGCCTTTTGCTCATGGAGAACTTTATCTTTGCAAGTGTAGCAAGTGTTTTTGACAACATCTTTCATGAATAATCAACATGAGATTTTATATTGAATACTTTTATCTCATACAAACAATAATTGGATATTAACAGTAGCGAGAAGCAGCAAACAAAAGTTCAAAGAAAATATAGACAACAGTGGTAACTTAGAGAAACTAGTTAAACACTTATTCAGTCTCAAGATTGGTGACTTCTTCTGGTGAATTCACATCAAGCTCTCTTTAGTTAAAGATGTAGATTCTTGAGTTCTGAGTTGCATGTCAGTGAGCATCTGACGAAGTTCCGAAGTTTCCTCTTTAAGCTGGGCATTTTCTTGGGTAGCTTGGTCATGGCACTCTGAAACATGGTTCAGCTTGTCCAAAAGTCGTTGATTTTCATTCCTAAGATAGACAACCTGTGACCAAAGCTCATCTAACTGCTTCTGCTTGCGCATGCGTGACCTTCGTGCGGATTCTCTGTTTGACACCATTCTTCTCTGCTTCCTCTCATTTATTATGCCTAATAGCTGATCAACTCCTTCATCTGATGTTGACTGAGGAGTATCAAGCTGTTGAACTTGGGGAGTGATATGATGAACTTCATAAGATGACGAGTCTAAAGATCTACGAAATTGATGTATAGGGGAGTAATCACTGGTAAATCCAAGCTGGAAATAGAATTCAGTTAGGTTTGAGTGTGATGGGTAATGAAGCTCAGTAACCTGTGTGTTTTCCATTGATTCAATGACACTAGGTGGGTGGGTAGGATGAGATAATTTTTTGGCAGTTGATGAAGATGCTGATGGGAAACTTGTGGGGAGGACTGTATTTATAGGATGCAATAAAAGGTGGTGCTGTGGACCAATTTTTCCCATTTAGAGCACAGTATATTTCCTCGAAGATTAGACCTCAGGACTATTCTCCCAAGTATAAGGATGTAGTGAAGAGTATTTCAACTGTGCCTTAACTGCAATTTATAAAAATCAATTGATCTTAACTGCTTACAGTTCCATGTTTGCTTGCAGGGTATTTTTAGTTACATGAAAACCAGGGATACTCATTTAATATATCCATTTAATGATTTTCTATTAGTTGTGGATAATCTTGAAACTATTCAGCAACCTTCTTGATGCTTACATCAGAGATAGAGAGATTATTAAGGGCGTGGGGCATCAATTATTTGATTGTTGTTTAAGACAAATTGTGGACTATATCTGAAATATGGTGTTGTCAGCTACGGGAAAATATTTCCTTTTTTTTTTTTTTTTTTAACAATGATTTAACTGCTATTTAGTGAGATAAAGGAATAGAACTATTGCAGAATCATGTAATAGGAGATCAGGCATGGAAATTCCTTAAGGAGTGAGAAAAATTGAAGAAAATGAAGTGGTAAGTTAACACTCATTTACTTGATCTTACTTTTCATTAAAGTCTATTTTTAGGACTTTTATTTTATTTTATTTTATTTTAAATAATATGAGAACAGCAATCACTACTCCTCAAGTGAAAAGGAGAGGGACTGCTATTATCAGTTGTTTGTAATAATTTTTACTAAAGTTGGCATTGTTGATGAGCTCGAAACAGTCGGTGATTATTTTCTTTTTCTCCAACAGGTTAAATTTAAAATTGTACTTGAATTACGTAGGTAGATACATATATATATATATATATATTGAAAATTTATAGGACACCCTTGTCTACATCACTTTTGCAAAGTTCATGTCTCATTTTAACCATACAATTGACCAATATTTACGCAATTTGAATATCTGGTACGATTATTGTAGTGAGGGTCGAAAGATAAAGATGATGAACGTGTGGATGTACTTTGACATGCACTTTTCCACTATACAAAAGAACAAAAGGAGGCTCCTTTTTCTTGCATCAACATGAAACAATTCTGATTGAGGTAAATGCTCTATTTTTACATTTTGGGACATGCTTAGTGACCATTATGGTCAACATTATCATTATACATTGACTCAACTTTATCTTTTTTTTTTTGCACTGATTTGCTCATTCCCTGTGCCTATATACTTTTTGCTTGCATTTTCTTCATGTTCTACAAAGTTCTTGAAAGTCTGAATATTATGAACATAGTTATATTTGTTACTTGTAGAGTTGTAGTGTTATTTCCTCCCAATCTAATTTTGGACATAACCTGTCTGATTAATAACTAGAAAGTTATTTAGGATGACCAGTTCTTAAATGTCTTGAATGAGTACGAAGAGATCTTCCCCACAAATCTCCTAACCTTTTATATTTGTCCAAACAGAGATTAGTAATCTAAGTGTAATCAGTAGGTAGAAAGTGGTGGATTGCCCACCAAATATGATCTTCATGAAGGTTCCAACTTTCTTAGATTTTTATAATGTAGAATTTCAACATAAAGAAATAGTTAAACACTATTTTAAGTGATGCATTAGGACACTTTATTTGTACCTTAGTTACACAACTTGGCTTATTGAAAATATTACACAAAGGCTTCCTTTTTTCTTAATCTCATGTCTTGATAAAGAAACATGTATTGTAGGTGAGGGGAAAAAGAAAAAGTTGGGGTTGGCTGAAAACCCCTATTTCTCTTGATGTGAAATAAATGATAGATATTCTAATTCACCCACTTGAGGCACATACCTTTGTCAGCAAATCTTATCCCTTTTTCAAATTTCATGCACGTATCTCATCATTTTTTCCATTAGGACCTTATTTTGTCCCAAACCCCTCTTCATGACAAACCAGAATATATTACTCTTAGCAGCATTTATAAAATAGAAATTGGCAAAAGGGATGCAATAAACAATACAGATATGTATATTTAAAAAATACTTATTGTTAATTAAAGTTAGGCAGAATAGAAAAGTGCAGCCACATTATGGAATATTGATTACCTCTCTTTTGGCCCTATCCCAAAAAGCTTAAGTGGCTCCCCCCCAATTCCACCTCCTATTGGCTCTCTCCACTTCATGTGTTATTGCAGCATGAACTAAGTTGTAATTAGTTAAAAATATCATTAGAAAACTCCAAATAATTACCATGTTTAGGAAAAATGTTCTTGTAAGAAAATTAGGTGATTATAGAGATATGAACACTTTTTTCAGGTGCTATAAGGGTTTGCAAATATTTGGCCATGTCATACATAGCATTATATATATATATGTAAGCCAACCATGTTCCCCACTCAAGTAAACCTTCACAAAAAGTTTCAACTGTCACTGTTGGGAAGGAAAATCATTTCCACATGACAATCATGTTCTGATCTACAATGAAGTTTTTTGTCTGAACTGTTGTGGTTGTTGTTTATGAGGATCTCTTTAGTTTATTTTCTCCCATTTCTTCACCTCTTTTTTTTTTGTTCCTGGTTGTATTTTTTGATTTAGAGTGTTCCCAATTTTGTTTTTGTTGATTTGAATGTTAACTATTTTAACCAAAAGAACTGCTCTTACATTACTTAATTTTAAAAGTATTTTTAGCTCAATTACAATTTTAATCGGTTCCATTTTATTTATTTAATTATTGTTCTGTGTTTAGCTTGTCTTGCTTGGTGTCAGGTGACTTGTGTTGATGTAAGATACCTTTTTTGCTTTACATTTATTTGTGTAAAAAGATCAGCAGCACTTATTAAAGGAGAATTTAGCAAAAGATAACTATAGTGCAACACCCTTCTATGCATTGTAGCCCACTTTTCCAAACAATGGTACATTTACTTTCAACAGAAATCATCCAACAATATATATATACACATTATTTTTAGTAATTCTATATTTACATAACCTTCTTGCTCATATTCCTAAAACTTAGGTTTGTCTATGGTGATAAGATTGTGAGGTTCTTCTATGACGAGGCTCGAGACCATAAAATCGGACTAGTGTTTAGGTTTGTTTTAAATACTTATAATAATTTGAACTTAACTGGTATTCGATTTTGAAATATAGAGTATTATTTTTTTACTTCAATGTTGGTGAAATGAATGGTATTATACCAAACTTGGAGCAACATTTGCTCCATTTTTTAAGTTGTTTCAAAATTTGGAGATTGTAGTCATATTTTTAAATTTAGAGATGTTATTTTTATGTATATGTTTATTTATTTATTTATTTTTCGTAATTCATAAGTAGCTAGGATTACTGGATAAGTTCGTCATCAGCTAATAATGCCTTCTCCAATCATCTTCTATCCCTTATCTAAAAAATCAGTACAAAGTGAAGCATAATGTTTATTTCAATTTGCTCAGTTGCCATTTAGGTGCATTGAATATAATAATATATTTTTATTTATGTAATTATTTATGTAGTGTGACAGTTGGGTGGTGCATTTATTTTAAATAATTGCAGATTGACGAAAAATATTAATAACTAGTGTGTGGTTGCTTATATGTTGTTGACCCACTACTTACAATGTGCATGACAAAAGGTGTTTTGTTCTTTAAATCAACTGGGGAACCACTACTACTGCTACTCTAAATTTGGTAGTGTTGGCAAAGCAATTTTATTTATTTATTATTTTTCATGATTTTTTTATTTTATTTTTATTTATTTTTAATGACATGAGACGAAGTAGAGACTATTTTGGGAGTTTGAATTTTGAGTTGAAATTTGAATAGTGAAAATTTATGATGTGATATAAATAGGTATTAGATGTGATGTTCTGAATGTAAAATTAATTTTTGATATAATATTTAAAATGAAAAATAAGTATTTGATTTGATACTTTAAGAGAAGGAGGAGGGGGGGGGAGGGGAAGAATGGGATGATATTCTGCTTATGTCATGTCTTTTATAATTAAATTGGAATACATGACACATTATATTATATAAATTGTTTTTGCAATTTATATTAAATTTATTTAAAATATATGAATACAAATAAAATTTAATTTTATTAAACAAATTGTTATTGACACAAAATAATTTAATTTATTGAATAAAATATATTTATGAATTTCAATAAAATCAAATAACATTAAGTTTGTTGGATGAATAATTTAAGTTATTTGTTTTATTCTTATTTTAAATATTTGTATTGTAGTATTTATAATGTAATGTTTCCTTAAAAAATTTTAATTATTATTTTTATATCTTATTTTGTCAATTAACTATAACCATAATAATAATAATAAAAATACAATACAAAAATAATTTAATAATATAATTAAAAATTAAAAATGAATTAAAACTAAACTGAATTAAATAATAAATAATACTACTTCCGTTCCAAACACTGTGCAACATTTGTGTTTGGCACGACAATTTAGGTGGGGAGTATTAAGTATGACAATTTGAAATAATTGAGATATTAAGTGATGCTATTGAAGAGAGAAATGATTTTTTATTTTTTTTTATTTGAGTGATGTGATGGGATAAAGTGAAGTGTATATTAATATATGTATAAAAATATTATTAATTATTTCTAAATTTGGAAATATTGCAGTGAGTTTGAGCAAACAAAAAAGAAAATGTTGCTGAGTGTTTGAGATGGAGAGAGTATAATTTTTTGTTTCCATAAATTATTGATAAATCAAAATCTTTAGAGATAATAATAATAATATAATTAAAAAAAATATATGTATATATATAAATATGAGAATAAAAATTAATAAAAAAATTGAAATGATTTTTTTTTGTTGTTGTGAGCAAAAATAGAAAAGAATATTCCGGCTGATGTGGTAGAGACACAAATAATAAAGATATCCAAAAATTTTATGAAATTGATACAACCAAAAGGATATCAAAGATTTTGAGCCTATAACACTACGGTCCGGTAAATTATGTTTCTTTCTTCTTCTCAATTTTATTTATTATTATTTTAAGATAACAACAATGAAATGGTAGAAAAATAATAATAGTGATTCAATCAAGAAACATAACATATAAATGAACAATGAGTACTTAAGTTTTATTTCTCTGAATTTTTTTGTGCATGGAAGATAAATGAAAACTAAAAATCAATTTTGATTTTTCATACTCAAATAAACAAAAAAGAAACGTAAAGATAATTTTATTTTTCTATTATTTCCATTTTCCGTACAAAACATATACTAATACATATTACCTTCAAAAATATTTTTTTTGGGCTAAAAGAGGTCACCAAGTGGAGCTCAGTTGCACTTGCCATAGACTCCCAACCCAATTGTTAATTTGTTGCAAAATTGGGTCAAGACGCATATACTCTCTTCCTCCTATAATAAAATATTTATTTTTTTCATTTTAGTCTGTTTCGTAACAAAGTATTTTAGTAACTGTACTATCGGCCTAATATTACAAATACCCTTACAATTTACAATATATTACACAAATGTCATTACATTTATATCACACGTACTAATAAGGTTATTTTAGTAATTTTTACTTTATTTTTAATGCATCATAATATAATACTAATATTTCTAAAATTACGTGCAAAAAGTAAATGAATATCTAGTTATGAGACGGAGGGAATGATAAAATATAAAGATCATTTGTGGCAACAAAGCCGATGGTCATCATCCAAATTCCTTCCAATCCAATTCCACAATATTTTTAATCTATTTTCATTGCTTTTTGTTATAATTTTCTTTTACTACATTCTCAATATCCTGGCAATATTTTAAGCGAAAAACCTAAGTATATATAAAGGGAAGGATGGATGGAGTATTATAGATTGCTTGGTAAAGTTGAATGTGGTTATATGGTGTTTACCATTTTAGGGTGTGTTTGGTTCGTTTTCTTGACCCGGTTGCTCTCAATTTTTATTTTTTTTAAAATATTAATTCATTAAAAAAACTTTACTTCTTCTTTTCTTTTTTTTTTTTTTTTTTTTATTATCTCTTTTGAATAAATAAATATATTCATATACATTCAAAACTTTCTATTTATTTACAATTTAATTTATGTTAATCATAAACAAAAATTTATGTTTCTTATTTATTTATATTATATAAAAGTTTATTTTATATATAATGATATTCATATTGTAATAAATAGAAAGTGAATATTTTTTTATAGACAAATGAAAAAAAATGCATATATTTTAATAAATAGAGAGAATATAATTTAAAAAATGTATTTTTCAAATTGATATTTTAATTATATTTTTTTAAATTAATAATATATAAATTAATCATTACAATTTTATGGATTATTTGCTTAAGAAATTCCCAATGCATATATTTTATTAGCTAACAAAAATTTAACATTCAATATAAAATATTACAATATTCCATAACTTCACATTAATATATATATATATATAACTAAATCAAACTACTAAACAAACAAATCCTATATTATTTTAATCCTATATTTTAATATCTTTACTACTATATGAACTAGATTGTATTGGATATTGAGTTTTATATTATATTTCAATCTTTTTATTTTCTATTCTATATTAAAATTTTATTTTATTTTTAAAATATCACATGTCTATTTATATGTTATAAAACAACTATTCAATTTTTTTTTATAATTTTATTATTAAAACTCAAACCTTAACACAGAGCATACAAACAAAAACGTGCAGGATTTCCAATGAATGTCACAATCTAAAGAGGACCATCCACCACCTCCAATCTTAGCAACTTTATTATTCAATTTAAATTTTGACTTCAATAATATTTTCACATAATATTTTATAAAAAAAACAAAAAAAAAACAAAAATATATTTTTAGAACATACATACTGAACAATGGTAAATTTAATTTAGTATGCAAACCAAACACATTCTATACATATATTCAATAGTTTCTTATCTTTGTGATGCAATAATTTTTTATTTTTTATTTTTCATCCTTAATGAATACAACAAAACTTCACAATTCTGAGCTACAAGAATAGTAATAATACTCACTACACACATGTTTCATCATGTACTAAAATAATTATTTGGTGAATTGATCAAATATGACGTAGCAAGACATGACCGGAGAGCAAAATGATCTCAGTTACCTAAGTTCGTGAATAGTGAACATGTGCGCCAAATATCGAATGTAACTTAGCTAATTAGGACTCGCAAACTTTAAGATTGCCTCGAATGAACAAACATATTACAACATTCACACATATTTTCTTCAATTTACATCTATTATCGAAATTCTAGGTTAAGTACTTTTCATTCTTCTTCCTTAAGGTATACCTAACTAGTCGGAGATGAAGCTTTGTCTCGTTCACATCTAAAGATGAAGAATACCTCTAAGGTATACCAAACAAATACGTACATTATACTTTACCATATGGAAAAACCAAACCATCTAAAGTAGAGTTGGAAAAGATATATCCGGATGGACTTAAGATCCATTATCGTCTTCTTGATATATTTAACACAGAATCTTGCAACAAATTCAAACCATTTTAGACGGCTACACGGTTGATTTTCAATCATTATACATAGCAATATTCGCTTTTCAGCACATCCCACATGAAATCTCGAAGAAAGTATGCCCTAGCATAATAGTTATATCTCATCAATGGGTTTTTTCAATGGACTATGTTGAATCGTATTCCCACAAAGAAACATATAGAAATTCACCAAGAGATAGGAGAATGGTGCGCGACAAATATATTTTTCACTATTTGCATAAAAAATGTTTTCGTTAAGATCAACAGCTAGATCACAAACTTTCAATATTCGTTAAATCAACAGGATTCATTCGATCAAGGAATTAAAAGGTTTAAAAAACGATGTGCGTATTCATTTATTCAAGATCAGAACTATCCCAATATCTAAATACATGTCGGAGATGACAACAAAACTGTACAAGAACATCAAGGCACAATCAAATCTATACAACCTAATTTCAAGGACTTCATACAGAGTTCCATAATTGCTCGATTATCCAAAAGGTAGCAAACGACGTGATTTGTCCACACCATACCCACTATTTATGAGGCATAAAGCCTCAGCAAAAACCATTCCAGGCTACCGAATAGAACTATGAACTTATCCCATCTTCTAAAGGATCTCAAGAACCCATCCATTTATTAAGCATCAAGTCTTTACAAGAATAACCATAACTAAAAGTACACCAACACCATATCGTATCTTACCAAGCATTCACCATTTCCCAGCTCTAGATTTCGCACTAAAATATTCTACAAAAGCAACCATTAATATCTCCAGCCAAGTTGTTCCAAATAAAAAATACTAGAACAAACATTACACGTTTTACATACCAAAAGAAACTTAAAAAAATTATATCATCCCCACAAGACATAAGCTCATCTCTACCATTCTTTTTACGGCAAAAGTTCAAAGTTGTACCTCAATTCATCGCTGTCGCCCTCACTTCTCCTCCTCTCATAATCTGCATTATCTGTAGGCAACTCATACCGACAAACAGGGCACGTGTTTCGAATCTGAAGCCATGGAAGAATACAATCCTTGTGGTATAGATGGCTGCAAGGAAGCCTAGTTGCCTTCTCTCCAACTACACCCTCATCCTTGCAAACTGCACAGACAACCTCCGAATCGCCATTCTCCCCAAGCTCATCCTTTGTCAAAACCATCACACGCAAATTCTCCACCACAGATTTGGCAGCTGGAGGACTTCCCCTTTCCGAATTCCCATTATCTGTGAGTTGCCCGAAAAAATTAGTGCCGTACTCAAGGTTCATCAATGCAGCTTCATTAATATTTATATCATTGTCGATATCGTCGGCGGCTAAGAGCACTTCCCACTCGATATTCCTCTCTTCCTCCTCGAAATCTTCGTCCCTACCCAACCCCAAACTGTCCTCAATATTGGATGAAATGGAAACCTCATCAATGTGATCAATCACAGAGATCAAAGCATCCCTATTACCCAACCCCAAATTGTCCTCAATATTGGATGAAATGGAAACCTCATCAATCTGATCAATCACAGAGATCAAAGTATCTCTATCATCGTAGAAGTGAACTCCATCAATCACCTCTTCGATGTTCGATTCCATGGAAATTTCATCAATTCGATTAATCACAGAGTTCAACGTTTCCCTCTCATCAAAGTGGATCCTCTCACTCACCTCTTCCCACTCGAATTCGTCCCTGTCGTCGACGCTAATTTCGAAGCTATTAAAAACCCTATTCCCACCATAGATAACATCAACATCATTGTGCACAAGCGGCGAATTTACCTCGAAATCCTCGTAATCAGAGTCCGGAGCGTCCGCCCCGATGCCCTGCCCGATTCCGAGTTCCAGAACGGAATCGTCCGCCCTGTCGCAATGAAACTCCAAAAACGGATCATCCGACAAAAGACTTTCCCGGTAATCATACAGATCTGTCACGAAATTCATTTCTTCTTCCTCGTCGCTGAAACAATTCGAATCCTCGCACACAGATCCGAGATTCCCCGGTTCACCATCCAAATCGAACGTGAAATCGAACGACGCCGTGTTGTCATCTAGGAAGGAGGGACTCGAACAGCCATTGGACGGGGAGCAGAAGGTTTCGAAATCCACGAACGCGTTGACAGCAATGAAGAATTCCGGCTCCGGCTCTGGTTCAAATTCCTCCTGGTGGCGATTGAGGCTGTGCAAATTGGAAACTTCCGCCATGGCAGCGTTTTCCGACCAGGCTTCGCCGCTGGAGAAACGGTGGGGAATTTGCCGAATTTTGGTCCTTTTTTATCAAAGAGACGAGATATTGATATTTGAGATAGTCCTGTGCAAATCTCACCGTTCATCTGATTAGATCTAACGGTCTAGATTTCTTAATGTTATGGCACTCGAAGTTTCACTGCGGCTAGACTGATTATTGGGCCTTAGGCCCAAAAAAAGCATAATATGATATTGAAATAGGGAATGTTTATTAAAAAATTAAAAAAAATAGTTAAAAGTATTTTTAGAATTTTAATTAGCAATTTTTTTAAAAATGTATATAATAATAATGAAATAAATAAATAAATATTTAATAAAATGTAATAGTTAATTTATATTTTTTTTTGTGCCAAAATTGATACTAATAAAGTAAATTTAACAAATAAAAAGAAAGAAATGAATTTGAAATAATAAGACTCTATTCTTTCACTTATTTCTTTTCACATCTTTTTTAAAAAGAAAATTAGTCTAAGTCTATCCTATTTAATTTATTTAGTTTTCTATTAGTAATTTTTTCATTCATTTTTTAAAGTATAATTATATACTTACTCACGTTTTAAAATTTATAATTTATAATTTATTATTTTAATTTAATTAAATGTTTTAGTCATTTAAATTTTAATGTATAATTACTTTTATTTAATTATAATTATTTTCAGGGATACAGTTATTTATTACTTAGACAATACAAGTCCTTGTTAGACGAAGACAAATTAGTTGAGAGTGAGAGATTAATACTTTATGGGTCTTCATTATTTTTATATTATTTACACAATTTGTTATACTTTAAAAAAATAATAATAAATATTTTCAACAATTTCATAAAATAAACACTCTCCCAGTAAATAAATAAAGTGATATAATCATGATAGTATTTTTAAAATTATATTTAAAATATTTTATATTACATAGTTCAATGTTTTTAACTTAAAATATTATATCAACAAAATTTATTTTCAAATAATTTAGGGGGGTGTATTTAACATAGTATTTATTGGATTTCATTAGATTTTTAAAATTTAGGTGTATTCAATCTAAATTTTAAAACGTCTTTTAAAATTTTTGATCTATTTAATTTTAAAATATGAGTATATTCAATTAGATTTAAAAAAATCTTTTAAAATTTTGGTGTATTCAACGATGCTTTAAAAATCAATGGATTTTGTTGGATTCTTTAATAAAATTATTAACAAATTACACTTTATAGAATGTTTTTTTATGAAGTGAAATTTCAATGAATTTTTAAAATTAGTAAAAAACGTACATATTATTTTATTTATAGCATTAATAACTATTTATTATTTAATATATATTTATTATTTTATTATAATAATATCAATAAGATAAAAAAATTTAAATATTTAATATAAAAATTACAAATATTTTAAAGTTTTGTATATTTGAAATAATATTCAAAATTATATATATATAAAAGAACAAATAAATTTGCTCGAATGGTTTGAATTAAAATGATCAATTTTAATGTTTGAAAATGTCAAATTAAAATTAAAATTTTCATAATTTTAATTTATATTTTATTATTTCGATTTCAATTCCATCAATTAAAAAACCACTGATTATATTTGGCAATGTTAATTTATATTTATTTCTTTTTAATTATTTTTATTTTTAATTTTAATTAATAAAAATTGTAATTTTAATGTGATTTTATTTATAAATATAATTTTTAATACAAAATCATATAAATAATAATAATAACAATTAAATAGATTGTTACAAAATAAAAATTAATTACACTGAATATATATAATATAATAAATCCGATCAAAATAATACTATAACAAAAAATATAAATTTAAAAATATTATTATTAAAATAAAATAAAAATGAGAATAATAATAAATATATTTTTTTGAGAATTAATGTACTTTTAATATTTTTTAAAATATTTGAATTTTTTTTATATATATACAAGTGTATTGTATATATTTGAAAATTTATAAATCAATAAAAAAATATTTAATTTACAAATTTATAAAATCTAATGAAGTATAGGGAAATTAATAAATAATTCAATCAAATCTATAATTCGTATAAATCAATAAACAAAATCAATTAAACTCTACATAAATTTTATAAAATTTATAAATCAACTCAAGAACTTTTCAAAATCCAAATAAATCCATTAAGATCATCTGCAATGGGTTGGCGGGGGCTCCAACCCAACCCCATTTTCTCCCTCATTTTTGGGGAGAGCTACAATATTCCACTCCATTTTTGGAGCGAAGTATTTTGTGTATTTTTTAAGAAATAATATATAATTTATTTTTTAAAAAGTGATATATAATTTTATAAATAAAATATGAATTATATATTTTTAATGATAATGTAAAAATAAATTAAAGTTATAATGTAGTTTATAAATATGAAAAGTTATATAAAATAATATTTCATCCGTCCAATTCAAAGATTATCATTTTTTATTTTCGTCCGTCCCAAAAACAAGGTTACTATTTCCTAATTTAGTAATTGTACTACCTACCTAACATAATAAATACCCTTTCAACTTACAATATATTACACAAAATGTCATTACTTTCATATTACATCATACCAATAAAGGTATTTTTATCTTTTTCACTGCAATCCAATATAATATTAATATTAAAAAATCTGCGTGTAGAAAACAAATATCACCCTTTCAATAGGACGAAGGGAGTATAAAAAAAGATTATATAAGAAAATATATATTTTTTTTTTTAGAGTAAAAATTAAAGTTTATAGTTGGAGGAAAGTTACCGGTACACCAACTGCATTTTTAGCTGCAAAAAATAAGTAATGGCCTAAAATTCTAATTGTATACACACCTAAACTTATAATTTGAAAAAAGAAATTGGAAGTTTTATGGGCTTAATTAAAAAGATCAAAAGGCCCATTAAGAAAACAACACCAAAAAGCCTATAAGCTAAAAAACAAATAACCAGAAAGCCCAAGCGTGACCAAGGCCGCAAAACGACAAAAACATGGTGGCGCAATGGGGATGGGGATGAGGATGAGGATGGCGATTGGCGAGGCGAGGGAAGGCAAGGCGAGGCGAGGGTAGGAAGGATCAATTAACGAGGCTGTCATCATCCATGCTTTGGCGCTGTTCGATGTAACCATCGCCGTATACAGGCAAATCAGCACGCAGCACTGTCAGAAAGTTCCAGCACTGAGGGCCGCCGGCGTTAGGGTTTATCACAACTGGCAAGGGATTTCGGAATTGTGGGGATAATTCGGATTCGGAGAACCGCAAATGGTCAGAACTGTAAGAAGCCGTGCAGACGACGAAGAGACTCGCGAAAGTTCTTCTCCGAGTGGTACATGGTTTCTTCTGCATTCGTTAGGATGTCTGTGTTGTTGTCGTTGTTCTCTTTTTCCTGTGTTTGTGCTTTTTCTTTGGTTCTATTGAGCTTTGCTGCTTATGCAGATTCAGCCGAGAGAAAGGGGGTCGATCAGAAGGGGAACGCTTCGCGTTCGAAGCATTCGGAGACGGAGCAGCGTAGAAGAAGCAAAATCAACGAGAGGCAAGCTTTAAGCTACCTGACTTTTTTTTTTTTTTTTTTTTTTTTTTTTTCTGATGCCCTAATTTGACAATATGTGGCGATGAGCCATACATTAGGGCTCCGGACTTCGAATTCAGCCACTGTTCTGCATTGTAATTTAGGCCCTTCTGTATGCACATCGTCATTGTGAGTTTTGTTGGTGGGTGACTTAAATCCCTATTACTATGGCTCTGAGCGTTTCTTGAGACTTGTGATTATATATGAGTTGCAGAAGTTGTCTTGTATGGCTTCTGAAATTGAGCTGGCTGTGTGATTACTCTTTATAAGAGTCACAAACTTGAGGTGATTGAGCTATTGCCCTTTAAAAGAATCACAAAATTTAGATAGTTGTGCGATTACAGTTTTATAAACGTCACTCCAAAATCCCTTTTGCTGTCATTTATACAGCCCTAAAATTCGGAGTTATCTCATCCCTTTATAGCAGTCTCCTGTGTACTCCCTTTTTTCTATTTAGAATGAAATTAGTGTTCTCTTGCTTGTGGATACGAGGTTAGGATCAAACTATGTTGTGTCTCGTGTTTATCTTACTTCTTGTTAATATATGATTATCTTTAAGTGGAGCTGTTCTGCTGCTGCTCAAAAAGTTCCAATATTAGTGTTGTCTGTTGAATCAAGAAATTGGGCAGTTTTTGGGTTGTTGGTGAAGCTCAGTTTGAAGTTTTATATGTGTTGCAGATTTCAGATATTGAGGGATCTTATACCTGAAAGAGATCAGAAGAGAGATAAAGCTTCATTTCTGTTGGAGGTAGGTGATATATTATACCATTTTGACCTCTTCTGTTTTGTGATTTACTGATTTAGAACCTTCTTGCTGAGTCGTGCTTTTCCAATTCAAATTGTAAGTTCATCCTAATGCAGGTTATTCAGTACATCCAGTATTTGCATGAGAAGTTGCAGATGTACGAGGGCCCTTGTCAAGGTTGGAGTCCTGAGTCGACAAAGTCTCTTCCTTGGGTAACCTACATAATCTTTGCATTTCTTGCTCAACACATTATAGTTTTCATCGCAATATGGACAATTATAATTAAGGTTAAAAATATTATATCACTATATTTAATTATGAAGTCACATTTTTCCTAAATAACTGGAGTTGATTTCTGGATTTGATTTTATTTACAAGTAAAGAGCACAAGCTTTTGTAGTAACTGCCTTACTCTCTCTTTTATTGTTCTAAAATTTTATTGTGTTATTCACAATGTCGTTTGATATTATTTGTTGGTTGCACCGTTCAATTTTTTTTTAAGATCTATTTATTATTCAATAAAGCTGGACTTGATGTGGGATGCATCCACTTGTTAACAGAGAATCAATTCTGGGCCAGGGGAAAGCTTTGTCGATCAACCTCAACTTGACAGGGGTCTAGCAGGTAATGAAGATGGTAATATCATCCAACCAACTCTTTTAAGCAACGTTCAGAACTCAGTTGAGTCCGACTTGGCGGAAGCTGCCTTCTACACTGCAACAGACAACACTTCACTTTTGACAAAAGGACTTCCTATGAACATGTCATTGCAAGGATCTATATATGAGGGGTTGACAGCCCATCCGCATCCAGGATCATTTCATGATGCTGATCATTTAACGGTCCATCAGTCCCAATCTCACATTTGGCCAGGGAGATCCAGAGGAGACGATTGTTCCATTCCTATTAACGCTGCAAATGAGGAATTACTGAAGACTCAGAGTGGAGAACCAAGCATCTCGAATACCTATACTCAAGAGTAAGCATTTGCTAATATCAATAAATGTTTAAACTTGATTCTGTCTTGTTATATGATTCGGGCAAGTAAGTGTTTTGTTAATCAGTTGACCTGATGTCATATCATATGGTTCTTTAAAGTTAAGTATGCTTCAGTGAATCAGTAGTTCAGTTAAGTAATACTTTTAAAAGAGGGATATGAACTTTCTTGTTTTGCACTTACTTTCTTCATGAAGGTAATAAAGTGAATAATCCTTTTTGCATTATCAATCTTCAATTTTTGCGAGCTCGGCTTGGTTAGGTTCATTAATCGTTAAGAGGTTGTTGATAAATTTGAGCGACAAACTTGAGCTTTGGTTGTGAACTTTCAATGTTGTTTCTTAAGGGTAAATGTTTCATTCGTAGCTTGTTTAGATTGGTCGCTTAACCTGCATTTAGCTGAAAATTTGTTTATATGAGCATGTAGAATTTTGCTTTTGTAAATTTACTTTGTGTCGGATCAACGAGGCTTGGATTAGCTGGTCTTTCTCAACTGTGGTGGAGTCTCTCTGAGTGAACAAGAATTCTACTATGATTTTTGTTCTTATTTCCAGAGTGCGGACTATGCTATAAACTAATTATAAACCCAACTCTTATGTTTTATTTTTTATTGTCAACATTGCCATTTATTACATATGTGAGGTGAAAGATGTTCGGTTGCATTTCTTTTCTTTCTTTCTTTTATTTTATTTTTTGTCAAAAACATCAAATGACAAGTCTATTTTGTGAAACTTTATTGGGAGTTTCTAGCAGGGTCTTGAATTCTTTAACGAGTGCTCTGCAATCATCGGGAGTTGATTTATCTCAAGCCATTATTTCCGTCCAACTTGACGTAGGAGGAAAACGGGCAAGTACTGTAAGTTCAAATACAGCATTTGATTTCAAGGTTCGCTCTCTTCCTTTTCTAGTTATTACAAATTTTGATAAAAAAAAAATAATACTCTTGTTTGTAAGAAGTCATTAGAAACATCACTGCCAGAGAACCTTGTGAGAATCGGGTTCGACTAACCAAAACCATTTGTATAAAGTTTTGAAGCAATTGTTCTAGAACCATCCCGATGTCTATTCTATTCTATTCTACCGAAAGTGATATGCGAAACATTCCAATTGCTTATATTTTTTAACAAATTGATGATTTAGGATGACTTGAAAGCCTCTAGCCTCAACTACAGAGCTCCTATGAACGCCAGCTGGAACAATGATCGTCTTCTCAAAAGGTTCAAACCCGATTGATCCTATTTTGTCAGTTCTCGACCAACCTGCTCTTTGGATTCTGCTGTTCCCTTTCTGTTTTTACTCGAAAGGGATTGATTGACTCGATTTTTTAGCGCCGTTCCATCTGCTGTGGATTTTGCTGATCGTAAAACTATCATGGATTTATCGATGATCGCCGAGGAAGGTAAAGGTTACAGTGTTTGTGTTTTACATAGGAATTTATTGAATTGAATTTTGTGTTGTAATTATACAAGCGAGAAAATTAGTATTATTAGTAGAAGTTGAGAAACAAATGGTTGTTTTGCTTTGCAGCAGTACACATATACACTGTACTCTCAATTTTTATTTTTTATTTTTTATTTTTTTATTTTTATTTTTATTTTTTAATCTCTACTGTTTTCAAACCCACTTGTAAATTGTGGGCTTGTTTGGTTTTTATTTAAAAATTAGATTTTTTATTTTTATTTTTTGTCGGACTTTGATTTAAATATTATTTTGGTACATTAATGTATACATGTTTCTTTTTAGTAATGGCGAAGTCCACTGTTTAATAAAAATAGTTTTACTATTTTATATATTTATTATTATATTAGTTTTTTATATTTAAAATAAAAGTAAAATTGTATTTTATACTATTTTTAACTTCATGTGTAAAAAATAATTGTATATTTTAATGCGGGTTGGAGGAAGTATACTTTTACAGGAATCATATAAGAAAGTATATTATTATCGGGAATCATATATATGTCATGTTACATCCGGTAGATTTTAAAATTTAAAACATATATGTTTATATACATTTAAAATTTTTCATATTTTACAAACTAATTTATATCAAACATATAAATATATAATACATTAAATTTATACTAATTTCTAACCCCCCAAAAAAAAAAACAAAAAAAAAAAAATCATTAGTGGCAAACCAATCGAAGAGACTAATTTTTCAAAAAAATAAGATAACACAATTTATTTATATGCACCCATGCTATTGAAAATCTTTAAAATTATTACTGTCCGTTCCAGATACCATGTCCACGTTGCCGTTTCTGTCCGTTCCACTTACCATGTCACTTTCTTATTTTGAAAAATGATTACACATTTTAATCTCATTTTAATTTTTTTATTTTTAATTAACTTAATTAGTTATTTTAATTTTAATTTATAATTATTTATATTATAGGATAATTATTTTTACTAATACATTCTTAATTATCTACTAATTACCACCTTTCTAAAATACCGTTTACAGTGTAGCAAAGTGGGACGGAGGGAATAATAGATAACAAACTATAATAATAACCATTACAGGTACAAATATTTATTTTTATATTGTTTAGATCAACAAATAATACAATCTCTTTTGAGGGTATGCTCGGTTGTGATATCAAATAAAAATACTAACATTATTCATTTATCATATTTCTCAATAAAAAATATACATAGTATATTTTTTACAAAATATTATATTAAAATATTATTTTTAAAAAATTCAAATCTAACACTCTATTGTCAAATTAATTTTATTTTGTTATCCAAACTTATATTTGAACTATACAATTTTTTAAATATATATATATCTTTTACAAAATATTCTATTAAATATTATTTTAATATTAAATTTAAATCAATTTTTCTTTAGATTCATCCAAAAAAACACTTCAATTTTTATTTAAAATTTTAATTTAAAGTATATTTTTATAAAAACATTTATATGTTTAAATAATAAAATATATGTAATACTGGTATTTTGTTAAATGAGAGTAGATACAGCCGTATAGGTTATATCTCTTTTAATTTTAACTGAAATCGGTAAATATATATATATATATGGATAAAAATACCTATGCTGTATCTACTCTCATTTAACAAAATATCAGTATTATACTCCTTCCGTCCACACAATAAGTATATATTTACTTTTGACACGTAGTTTAAAAAATAATAGTATTTTAATTATAATGAGTAGGTAAAAATAGTATAATGACATTTTTTTTTTACTTTTTGGTATAAAAGTAATGATGCGATGTAAAGCAATGGTATTTGTGAAAAAAGTGGAATATTTAATGAAATAGTTACTTTGTAATTGAACATCTCAAAATAAAAATATGTATACTTTGTATGCGGACCAGGGAAATATATACTTTATTATTTAAACATAAAATGTAATATAAAGAATAAATCACAACCCAAACACACCCTAATTAATATTAATAAAATATAGATAGATCCCACGTCACTTTCAATATGCCAAATAAATTGAAGTTTAACCAACCGCTAAACTCCTTACCAGATTTGTCATCTTTTCATTTTCATCTCACTTTTTCCCTTTTTTTTTTTTTTTTTTTAATATTATATATATAATTTTATTTTAAATTTTTAAATTTATAATTTTTAAAATTTTAATTTAAAATTATTTTTATTAAATAATAATTATTTTTATTAACAAATTCTTAATTATTTACTAATTATTTATTTCTTAACTGCTCGTGTTTAGAACAAAAGTACACCATATCGTGTATGGAAAGAGTATTTATATTGTTTGGCCATATTGTTTTTTATACGATTTTTATTTTATATTTTATATTTTATATTTTAATAAAAATTAATATTTAATATAAAATATTATTTTAATATTACCGATACAATTTTTAAATTTTATTTTTTTATAAAAAAAATAAGAATAAATCAAAACACTAAATAAATAAATTTATATATTATTTTTCACAAAATATCTTATTAAATACTTTAAATACCAAACTAAAATTAAAATTTGACTAACTCAAATTAAAATAATACCAATTTTGAAAATAGTAAAAATTTAATATTTAGTGGTATAATATTTTTTATATACATGATATTATATTTTTGAAAAAAAAAATTAAATAGTACTAAAATTTTAAAAATATTATGTAAAAAAAAAATATAAAATAATTTTGATGTTTTTACTATTTGATTTTACATATATGTAATGATATATTCCCTCTGTTCCGTGTCATGTGCCTATTTGATTAGGAACACAATATTTTAATTGGTGTAGATTAGTAAATTATTAATAACTAACTTATTACTATTATTTTATTATGCTTTTATATGAATATTGTTGTTAGAATTTTAGATATTTTAGCTATATCTCAATAAAATATATATAATATGAATATTATTTTGTAAATAATAAAATTTTTGGAGTATATAATACAAATAAATAAAGAAATGTATTTATTTATATTAATTGATGAAAGAGATAGAAGTAAAAAGATTTTGAGTTGATCTTACGTGTAAAAAGTTAAATTTTTTAATTAAATTAATTTATATTTATTAAGTTTGTTTAAAATTAATAAATTTACTAAAAATAATATAAAAATTAAGGGATAATTTATTGATGGCAATACTTATGTCTAACATAACATAAGTATCAGCACCCTAACTCGTCCAAAAAATTAAAAATATTTTAGTATTTATTTGTGAATACAAATAGAGTTTTTTGATATGTAGATGTTTTATCAATTGGTATTAATAGTACAACCAATATATAACACAAAATTTTAATTAACAATAAATAATGTATATTTATACTCTTTCCGTCCCAAAACTATAGTATGAGTTGGGTTTAACACGAAATTTAAGGAATATTGATATTATATTGATAGTTAATAAAAAGTACGGACAAATTTTTTTTTTTGCCCTTGTGAGTGTATTAGTGTAAAAAGTAGTGACAATTGTGCAATAATAATGAAAAAGTAACAGTAGTTTTATAAATATGAGACTATTGTTTTTTAGACAGACAAAAATAGTAAACAAGACTCTTTATTGGGAACGAAGAAATATAATATTTGGTATGATATGTATATACGAATAGACAATTATATCACTTTTAATTATTATTTTTTTAATCCTATAAGTTCAAATAATTTTAATATTTTTATAATTATTATAAAAATTATACTATACCATCATCACAAATTATATAATCAATATCTTAAAATTCATATGTATTTATTAATAATAAATATTATTCATAAATTATTAGATAATAAAAAATATATATATAAATAAATAAATAAAAATAGATTTTATAAAGTAGTAAGTCTAAAATAATGATATTACAATGATTGTTAAAAAAAAAAAAATACTAGTTTAAATACTGAAATATAATATGTATGAAAAAATAATAATAATAATAATAAGAGATTAAAATACTCACTACAATAAATCTTCTTATAAAACGTGAATTGTGTTAGTTGATTAGAACTAATCATCACTCTAATAATGCAATGTCTAAATAATAGTTACTTGGTTTTATTTATTTTATATATATTTTTTTAAAAAAATAATTATTGATCAATACACCCTCTGTCCAAAAACTAATATCCTATGTTAAGTTCAACAACTATTATCTTATTTCATTTTTCAAATACAAATTTTACATTTTTACCCTTCATTCATTTATTACTTTTAATCTCTACCATACAATTAAGACGAATTTGTCCATTAATAACAAAAAAGATAATCACTTAAAAAAAACTGTGTAAATATATTTTAGGATAATAGAAATTGGACGAAGGAAGTAATACTTAACATCAGTGTTTTGTGTTATTATATTTAACATTAAAATTATTTTTATATTTGTCTTTTGTGTTATTATATTTAACATTAAATATATTTTTATATTTGTATATCATTGTATTTGTATTATAAGATACCATTAAAAATATTTTTGTTATTTTATATTAATTTATATTTTTTATTAATATAATAATTAATATTCAAATATATAGTCTCGCAACGGAGATAGTAATAAAATTTTTATCTGTATGTAAAAATAAAATTAACTTTTGAATACATTTATGTTTTAAATATCTCTGCTTATTTTTCACAGAAATTTTATTTATAAGTGAAATCGAAAATGAAATTAAAGATACAAATAAATATGTCTTAAATTTATTACAATCATTTAATTATAATTTAGAATGTCAAACATGTTTAATGATTATTGAATTATAACACTTCAGTTAAGAAATTTTCATATTATTATTATTATTATTATCATTATTTTATTATTATTATTATTTTATTTTTTTTGGCCATTTCTCGGCAATCGTGATTCTCTCCTATAATTTCAATTTCATCCGCACTGGTTTTTAGCCGCACCGCCGTGCTCCGCCGCATAGAACCACCGGCTCCACCGCAAGGCAGTGGCAATATAGAGGAGGCCTTTCTCCGCGCTGATTAAGTGGCGACAGCTGGACGTAGTTTTTGGATTTGCAGATTCAGTTTCCTCCACTGATCCACGACGATTCAGGCACAATCAAAATCGCGGCGTCGAAATTTCTACCCTAGGTCCGAGTTCTCGTCTAATTTCGTTATCACTTTTTACGGATTGGAGATTAAGTTGAGAAATTTTGCGATCTGTGGTGTTAGGAACGTTAAGCGGTGACGCTCGGCTTGATTTCATTTTACCTTTTTCGGTTTTCCATTTCCATATCCCCAACCCTAATTTTCGGTAGTAATAAGTACGGCATCGCAAGATTCGACACGCTAGATTTCCTTTGGGAGCAGTAGTGGAAGCGATGATGATAGGGGCCGTCCAGTTAGGGCTATTGGCGGCCTGTGTAGTTCTGTTCGTGCCCATGGGTATGGCGGGATGGCATTTGAGTCGCAACAAAATGCTCTTCTTCAGCTGCGCTCTGTTCATCACTCTTGCTGTTGGTGTCCATTTGATGCCTTATTTCCCTTCAATTCCTTCATTTCTATCGCCCTCAGATGTGATTCCTCCACCGGCCACCATCTACAGCGATGCGTGTGTTTCTTTCCTCCATAGTGTAGTTTATCGAGAATGCAGTGACAGCATCGATGAAGATAGTCATGAAAGTGGTTGCAAGTCATGGGACTGGATTAGATCTGATCAGGTAAAGGAGTGTGAGTTTCAGAAGCTGAAGAACTCCGATGCATCGGATTTATTGAATGGATCGTGGGTGGTTGTTGCAGGGGACTCTCAAGCAAGGTTAATAGTAGTTTCATTGTTGGAGCTAGTTATGGGATCCGAATACATCGATAGTATACGCGGGGATCTGTTCAAGAGGCATAGTGATTACTCGGTGATTGTTAACAAGATAGGAATGAAGTTAGATTTCGTATGGGCGCCGTACGTCGGAAATTTGACCAAATTCGTTTCAAGTTTGAAGCAAAACAATTTTCCGGATGTTCTAGTCATGGGGGCGGCGTTGTGGGATATGCTGCACGTGAACAATGCAACGGAATACCGTAATTCATTGCGTGTGTTGAGAAATAATTTGCTGCCATTTTTACCCGTTTCTTCAAATTCAGACGGCGGAAATGGAGGTGGAGGGGTAAGTGAATTCAAATCGGCCCGTTCATTGCACTTGTTTTGGATTGGGATGCCGACATTGATAACTTCGATGTTGAACACGGCTGAGAAGAGGGAAAAAATGAGCGAGGCAATGTGCAGTTTCTACGATGATGAGCTTTATCGGAGTAAACTTTTGCGTCAATCCGGTGGACCACTTCTGAAGCTTGATATTCGTTTGTTGAGTGACTTGTGTGGCCCTCACTGTACCGCTGATGGCATGCATTATAATGCAGCTGTGTATGATGCAGCCGTTCATATAATCTTGAATGCCTTGCTCATCGAATCTAATCAGAAACCACACTGATACGATTTTGGTTATGGACAGAAATTGATTCTTTGTGAAGGAGTTAGAAGTTTTTGAATTGAGAATATACACAGTACCGTTGACGTTGGTTCAATCTTGTATATGCGGGCTTTGCAGGTTCTTCCACTATTGACATTTACGACACCGGTATTCAATTGTTGACATCGGTTAGGTAAGTCTCGAGAATTTATCATTGTAGTTTAGGTGTAGGATTGGGTTTTTTTTATTTAATATTGTGCTTGACTAATACTTCGGGGTTGAATTCTTAGTTAGAGAGACCATTATATGTCACGTCCAATTTTGATGTGAAGAGATAGTGTGCTAAGGGCAATCTTCTTGATCCACAAGAGGAGATTATTCCTTCATTCTGTATACATCATGAAAATTTATCTGATTTTGCCTTGTTTTTCGAAATTGTTCTTTGTTTCTTTGTTGCTCTTTGTAATGATTCTTGCATGAAGTAATGACACTTTTATTCCATATTTGTACTTATTTTTTGTACTGAATATCTCAATATCATGTATTTTCTAGGCATCAAATTAAGATATTGTAACTTTAAATAGTGCTCATCCTCTGGTAGAACGTCACACATTGCTGCATTGTTTCAGTTCTGTCCAAATAGATACAATTCAAGTCTCAAAGTTTTCGTGAATTTGATAACTATTAGATTATAGAGTAAATTTGAAATGAATCTTTCTTTTAGACCAAGATAATTATTTTGCCTAAATTTTGTCAACAAGTTTTGAACATGTTTCGGTGAGATATTATCTTCCGGGCTGATAGCAAATTCTCCTATGATTAAATTAGATGGCCAGTTGCTTCATTTGAACGTGTTTAGCAGCATCATCCATGTTGTACTGGAATGATTGCTTCCATGCTTGCTCTTAGTTTTCTATCTTTGTTTCATTGTTGTATTACCACATTGTTAAATGCTAATTATGTTCATACAGAGACACACATTATCTTAAAGTTTAGAGTTTGGTGTGTGTATTACTTGCATTGCTGAATGAATAATGTGCATATGTATATCTCTCCGAACAATTTGCATTATTGATTTTATATCAGGATTGTCATTATAGATAGATTTCGATACATCCAGGGTATATAATGCATTAGGGATTTGTATTTTGCGATGAGGGTATGTTTAGTTCTTGAATTCTAGTCGGTAAATCAGGGAACTTAGTAAACACTACACAATTGTTGACATTATTCATGAGCCGTTGATATATTTCTCTACTGAATTGTATCGTCTTTGGTAGTTGGTTTGAATCGTATCGTCTTTGGTAGTTGGTTTGCTCATTATTATCTTAACTCTAGCAGGTCGCCGGCCTCCCCTCATCGGCCGGGGCGTATGCATGGTGTTTTTTTTCCGGCAGAATGTGAAGTTATGTTTGTAAAACCACAGAATTTTTTTCATGATTTATTTGCTGCCATAGCCTGCTTATGTATTCATGTCATGTGTGGGTTTCTACATTTTTTGCCATGTTGGTTAAGGCACTTTTAAGGCTGTGTTGTAGAATCTTTTTGCCTTCGTTTACTTGTGTTTTTTTTAGAATATTTTATTTTATACTATAATATAAATAAATACTTTATCCGTTCCAACTGAAATATTTTATATTATTATATTTTGTCTCACTCAAAAAGTTTGTCGTTTCAGCCCGTCTTACATTTTATACATTTAATGTCACTTTACTTTTTTTTTGGGGAAAATAATTCCATTAATTATCTTTATTATTTATATTATATGAATTTATTTTTACTAATACATTCAATAATTATATTTATTCTAAATTTTTGTATCTACAGTAACTCCGTCAATGTTAATTTTTTATATAAATTACAAATATATTACTATGTATAATTAAAGGAAATATTAATTTTTTATATAAATTACAAATATTTTACTATGTACATAAAGTATAAAGAATAAAGTTATTAAAATTATTTTATATATTTTTATTAATAATAAAATATTATCTTTTATTAATCTATTACAAAAATTAAAAAAATAATACATGGGAATTGAAGTATCATTTTATACTTAAATATGTACGGGTATAAAAATGTTCAGGCCAACCCATAATGCATGTATATTATAATAATTCAGTATATATATCAGATTTCTTTGTTTTTTTATAATATAATCCAGCGGTAATATCATATTTGTTTGTTTTCTATTTGAAATTTAAGGTGCTCAATGAGAGTATACCATCATCATTATTATTATTATTATTATTATTATTATTATTATTATTATTATTTCATATTTAAATTGAACTTCAAACTCAAAGTAAAATTATACATATTGAAAAAAATAAAAACCATAGATATCTATTTTATTTGTTTGGTTTGAGTTTTAAGTATATATATATATATATTTATTATTCAATTTGAATAGATTTCAGTAAAAGTTAGATTAATAAGCAAATATTATTTATGCTTAAAATAAAAAAAAAATAAATTTATTTTATAAAAAATTAGAAAAAAAAATTTAAAAATATAGGATGCTTTTCTGTAATAAATATAAAAATTTGTTGAAATCTTTGTATATAAAAAGAATATATATTGTGTAAATATATTTTTATATTATATATTTTTTTATATAGCATTAGTTGAAAATTATATCACTATAAACAAATTAGGAGAACAAACTCCCTAATTTTATTTTTGTAAATCCTATGTACCTTGTAATATTTATTTTGAAAAAAAAGGGGCAAAATGAAAATTAGTTCATTTCTTTTTTACTATTTTTTATTTTATTTGACTGTGATTTCTTTTTTTAAATCAACGCTATTTATTTATTTTAATAAAAATATATTATTTTTTACAAAATAATATTAATTTTCTTTTGTAATTTTTCATAAAATTTTTACTATTATTTATTTATTTTTTAAAAATATCAAATCAAATAACTATTTTTAATTTTTATATTATTTTAAAATTTAATCTTATATTTAAAATATCATAATATTTATTTATATTATATTAAACTACTACTTTATTCTTACTATTTTCTCCATATGAAACATATGTAATTATTTTGACATTTTTATATATCCAACTCAAATATATTTATTTATTTATTTTTTTAGTAATTTACTAGTATTTTACTTTACACAATGTTACAAATAATGTTACTAAAGTCAATGAGTTTACCGAAAAAAATTAATATTATTTTTTATTGTACTATTATTTATAAAATATTGTCAAAAAATAAATGAATATGATACGACGGAGGGAGTATTAAAAAAAAATCAAAACCCATAATTGACAAAACAAGTATTGAATTTATTTGATTGTAATTTGAAATTGATCTATAGTGTTAGATTTAAGTTTTTGTTTAAATATTACTTTCTCAATTTCACGTATTTTTGCAATATTTTATATTTTAAGACACACGCACATGTTAAAAATTAAAACAAATTAATATATTTTATTACATTACATCAGTTAAATAAAAAATAGATATATACACCAAATTCGCCTATTATAATTTTTCAAATAAAAATAAATAAATTAATAAATATATATATTTTTTTATCGTCACATTATAATTTTCATCATTTTCATGTGATATTTATAAAAATATATATATATTTTAAAAAAATAATATTTTTAATTATATATATTAATAAAATATTAATTAAATAAATTACTGTCAACCTAGCTAACCTAAAATCTTTCTATCCAAATCTAGCCTAATAAAATAAGGGTGTGTTTGTTTGAGGGATTGAATTCTTTTTTCACTATTCATCTAATTTTTCCCCCCCAAAAACATTAAATCAAACACTTATTTTTTATTTTTTATATTATACTAAAAATCAATTTTACATTCAAAGCATCACATCAACACCTATTTATATCACATCATACAACTATTCAAATTTAAAATTTTTACTATTCAAATCCCAACTCAAAATCCAAACTTCCAAACAAACACACCCTTAATAAAAGAGGCGACTTCCGATCCGGGTGAAGGTAAAAGGACGATATGGTTCATACGTTTTTCACAAAAATAAATAAATAAATTAAAAAAATTGCTGAACCGCCGATTCGCGGTTCGATCTGATAAACACCGGTTCGAAACCGGTTGGGTAAGTCTATTTTTTCTCTTCCTTTCGGCTTTTGTATACACAGGGCTTTGCAGTAGGGTTTTGGTCTGCGTCGTTGCCCCCTCATACGAGCTCCGTACAGATTCGTTGTAGAAGATGAGGAAATTGAAGTATCATGAGAAGAAATTATTGAAGAAAGTTAATTTTCTGGAATGGAAGAGAGAAGGCGGCCAGCGGGAAAACCTCATCATCCATCGCTATCACGTCACCGAACGAGACGATTACAAAAAGTAACGCTAAACTCTGTTCGTCGCTATTTTACAGTTGAATTAGTGAAATTGACAAAGATTATGCGTCACCGTATGAATTAGTTTTGGCGCTCATAGTGCCTGTTTTAGTCTATTTTGTTGTTGTTGTTGTTGTTATAGCTTTAGAGGTGAATTGCTGCTGTGCTTTTAGGTACTCGAGTTTGTGTAGAACGGTGCAGAAGCTGGTGAACATACTAAAGCAGATGGATCCGAGAGATCCTTTTCGAATTGAGATGACAGACGGCTTGCTTGAAAAGCTGTGAGTGATTTTAATTGTGGTGATATAGTTTGATAATATGCTTTGAATAGTGTCTCAGATTCGCAACTTTTGATTTTTCCTTTTATTTAGGTACAACATGGGAGTGATTCCATCTCGTAAAAGCTTGTCTTTGTGTGAGCATTTGTCTGTATCATCTTTCTGCAGGTAATTGTGGAGTGAAATTTATTTTTAAACTGTTCTGTAAGAACATATATTTTGTTGCTCAATATAATGTGTGTAAATACTTGGAATTTTTAGCCCAGGTGATTGTAGTGAATAATTATCATGCTATCTTAGGAAATTAGATTTGTATTAATATATTGATATATAATGTGTAGGAATGACTGTATAGCTATCAAGTGATTTTCTGAATACTGTTAAGTTTGCACCTAGGATTCACTTTAAGGCCACACTTACCCCCTAAATTTTGCAACATTATGAATATATTTAAGAATGGTAGTATTTTTGTCACTGAGATTAGAGGTGTAACTTTTAAATTAAAAGCTTGGGGTCACACATCTGGATGCCATAACTGCAAAATGGAGTAGTAACTGTTGAAGTGATAATGGTAGGATGAAATTGCTTAATTCGTGTTATGTGATGGTAGAGTTTTTCAATGACAAAGAGAAATTCTATATGACTTTTCTGAGACTAACTATACTCTATGATCCAAATTATAGAAAGTTAAATGTAAATTATATGGTAGCTAAAATGAAAATGTTGACATGAATCTATAGACGCTACATATAGAAAAAAAAAGAAGTAATATTGAGTGCTTTGGAAGAGAAATGGGGACACAGATGTGAAACTGAGAGTGCTCTTGTACCATTAGTAGAAAACAAACATTTCGGTTCATCTTAAGAGGGGAAAGGAAAGACATTAGTTGGAAAAAGCTATGTTATTTTTAAGTATAGACAAGAATGTGCCTTAAAACACAGTTATGATGTTATCTATTTTTCTGATGGGATAAAAGCCGTCGATGAATTTTAGCAAAATTAGATTCACAAATTGTCCAATGTTACTTGGCATTCAAAGTGGCAAAGTACTTTTAGAACCCAAATGTTATTTCTGTTGCTATGTTTGGCAAAGAATAACATTCAAGAGTGACGACTTAAAAAAGAAATAATTTGTCTGATAACAAAAAATTACTTTCAAAGCAATTTCTAAGGTGCGTTCCTTTCTCATTTGTATTTGATTCAGACGTAGGCTTGCAACAGTCCTTGTGCGGTTGAAGTTTGCAGAACACTTGAAAGAAGCAGTTACTTATGTTGAGCAAGGGCATATTCGTGTTGGACCAGATACTGTTACTGATCCTGCATTTCTGGTAACAAGGAATATGGAAGACTTTATTACTTGGGTTGACACGTCAAAGATAAAGAGGAAGGTCTTGGAATATAATGAGAAGTTAGATGACTATGATGCAATGAATTAATGGAAGCATACTCTCTTGTAACAATTTTGTAGGCACATGTTTTTGTGTCACAAGCAGGATCTTGTGCTGTGATCCTGAAGACATTTACATCACTCTTTGCTCGACTCTTTTTCAAATTTAATTTACTATATTTTATAATGCTAATATTGTGATGCCAATATCTTTCTTTGTGCTGAATATAAACCTGTTTACCATCAATTTCAACTTGTCTTACATTCAATGTGCTCCCTTGTTTGAGCTACATATTATGCAGATAGAAAGGTGACAAACATAGCAGCTTGTTTCTTAAGTTCATTGTTCTAGGCTCCTTGATGTTGTACTTGATCTGCAAACTTTTTGGTTTAATATTTTTTGTCCGATAGCAAGGTGTTGAGCGAAACTGTGGCAGATTCTCCTACCTCTGTGCTCGAGGACGAGGTACAGTTACATTAAGTTTAGCTTTTTTTTATTTTGTATTTTCTTTGAAAAGCCAAATCTCACTGCAGACCTTTTTTTTTCGAAAAATTGAGAACCATTTTGGTGTGTTGTGTGCATTTTCGTGTTTGTTGTGTGTTCTTTTTTGTTTTCAATTTGAAACTTAAATGTTTTAAATGTTTAATTTTTCTTTTACTTTTAGTAAGTTTTTTCTAGTTTTGAAAAAATCTTTATTACATTACATCTTTGGTCAGTTGAGCTATTTTAATTTGTCACTTCTAATGTATATTGTTTTTGCCATTTGCTGATATTATTTCTCATTTCTATTTTTTGTTCCTATACCTGTCTCGTGATTTTGAGATGAAGAATTGTAATGAGAGCATTAATGTTGATTCAGAGATAGCTAAAGAAAAGAATCTTGAGGAAGAGTGGCTGATAGAAGAGGAGGATACAGCAGATGAGCCGAAGGAAGAAACTTGCTTGAGTGACATCCAGTTCGGTAAACTTGATGAACTTTTAACACAGACTCAACTTTTCTCTGAGTTTCTGCTGGAATAGATGGATGATATTACGAAGGTTTCTTTCAATGTTGGTTCATGAAGTGATTTGGAATGATATAGTAGTTAATATAATCTGTTTTTATTCTCCTCGAGTCGGTCAGAGGATGACACCAAACCCACTACAGGAGACAAGAAAGTTTGAGGTTCCAAACAAAAGGCCACTTCAAGTTATAGTGACGTAAGTGTATTGATCTTTACTTCCTATTGTTATGTAGTTTCAAGTAATTGAGTTTTGATTACCCTAATTCGTATTGATGTAATGTCTCAATGTGTGTTGCATACATCTAACAATGATCTAAGATATACTTACCTCTCTTTGAGAAAGTTTTTAGTTTATCTTTGGTATGTGATATGCATTTATTGTTCACGAAATTCTATGTTCTACCATCTCGATTCTGGATTCGGCTATGGATAGGGAAAACATTGTTACATGCAATATTTTGTTATTTATAAGTATGATTAGCTAGCGTACACATCTCTGCTATTTTGCTATATCATTCTACATTATGTTTAGAATAGCCATAGGTCTAAAGCCATTTAGCATAAATGAAGCCAACTAATGTCAAAAGTAAGCAGATTACTTATTTTATTTCTGTTACACAAGACGTAGCTGCTAAAAATCAAGGATAGCTCGTTCTTGACTTAGAAGACACCTCAGCTGGTGGCACACCAGGGAATCCGGGGAGCGGTGGTTCGGGAAAAGAAGGAAGGGGGATAGGAGAAGATGGAGTTGAGCCAGGAACAGGTGGAAGCTGGAACGAAGGCGGCGGAGAAGAAGGCAAAGGAAAAGTAGAAGGAATGCCAGGTTTTGGAGTTTGAGGTAATGGAAATTCCATTGGCTTCTGAATTGTATTCTCGGATGATTGTGATGCAGGCGGCAGAAATGGGTATCCAGGCAGAGGTGGAAGCCTTGGCAATGGCGGCAGAGGCGGCAGACGTGGCAGCGGTGGGAGGTACCCGCCGCCCAAGGCTGGTGGATCAGAGGGTGGATCTTGAAGTGGTGGCGGGAACGAGAGATCATCGGGGCTCGAAACTAGGGGTGAGTTCAGTATATTGACATTGATGCTCGGTTTCTGATCGCACAGCTGTGGCTGTTTCAACGGCTTAAAAGTGAAGAACCCTGCCGAAAAAATGTGCTTCCCGTCCTTTCTTGATTTGAGGTGGAGATTCGACGAGGCTGCAGTGGCGGCCACGGCGCAGTAGGGATGATTGCTCCTGACGAGCTTCACCGAGCAGCCCTTGATTCTCTTGAAATGTTTGCCGATAAATGGCGGGAGATGGACTTTGAACTCTCCCTGCTTGTCGGTCTTCACTTCCTGTCGAAACCCCAGCCTCGTCTCCCTGCATTCCACTGCAACAGTTGCACCTGCGCGCAGACGCCGGGTATGATCCAAACTTCAACTAAAATCGTCTGTTTAGCAATTAAAGCAAAAGTATTGAATAAAAACCTGCGATGAATTGAGGGGAATAATGGTGGAAGCAAGTGTCACAGTAGACAGTCCCGATGATTGCTGCTGATGATGGATGCTTATCGTTGCCCTCGGCATAAATAATAGCTCTGAAATATAGAAATATTATGACCCAAAACCAAGTCATAGTTCCTATAACATTTAGCAGTATTGTTTCTGGTTTGTGTGTGTTAGTGTGCAGGTAAGAGGAAGGAGGAAACCCCATTTTTATACAGGGAAAAGAAGAAGAGCACATAATGGGAGTCATGGAGAGACAGGTAAACTGCTAACTGGCAAGTAGTTAATTTCTTGGTAAAAAGGTGGATCAAAATTCGGACAAAGTTCAATTCTTTAATGCAGTCAGGTTACCATAGCGGTGGGTTGTGCCATAGTTATTGTTCTAGTTTTGTTCTCAAGTCTATTATTTGTCTTTGTTTTGCTTGTGCGTTGCAGTTCTTGGAGATTAATATTATATATATGTATATATATTTAATGAAAATAGGTTTTGATTGTTATGATTTTAAGGTTTAATATGTTAGATATGATCTGTTAATTACGGGGTGGGGTATTAGGTGTCCCCCGTAAGGGGTTTTCTTGTGGGCGTAGACTTGTAAACTCGAGGTCATGAGTTCAAATCCGCCACGGCTGATGTAAGGTAGTAGTCATATTAGGGGTGAGCAAAATATTCGAAATTCAAAAATTACCAAACCAAACTGAAATTTAAAATTTGATTTGAATTTTTCGGATTGGTTCGGATTGAATTTTTGACAAATTTTGGATTTTCGGATCAGATCGGATCGGTATACATAAAATCTGAATCAATTCGAAATTCGAAATATAATATTTTAATATATTTTATTATTATTATTATATATATTTAATATTTTATTAGAAAATATTATATTTTAATATAAAAAACTCAAAATTATTAATTATATTTTAATATATTTACTTTTATATATTATATATATATTTAATATTAAAAAATAATAATAAAATATAAAAGAAATTTACAAATTAAAAAAAATAATAAAAAATATTTAAAATTTCGGATTTTTCGGTTTGGTTCGAATTTTTTAGTTCAAATTTTGGATTTTCGGATTTTGAATTTCGGTTATTTTGGTTTGGCTCGGATTGTTTTTTCAAAAATTTTGGATTTTCGGATCGGTGAACCGAAAATCTGAATGCTCAACCCTAGGTGGTATCCGGGATATTATAGATAGAATGAAATTACAGAAAATTGATTTGTTATTTTAGGGTTGGAGATAATTTTTATAGATAGAATGAAATTACAGAAAATTGATTTGTTATTTTAGGGTTGGAGATAATTTTTATAGATAGAATGAAATTACAGAAAATTGATTTGTTATTTTAGGGTTGGAGATAATTTTTATAGATAGAATGAAATTACAGAAAATTGATTTGTTATTTTAGGGTTGGAGATAATTTTTGTTATATCGTGAGAATTGAATAAATATCTTTGGATTTTGTAAAATGCAAGGCTTGTTTGCCCAAATAATTTTCAAAATTTTGGGAATATTTGTTGATGGTTATTTTTTTAAAAATTCTATCGTATTAAATATAGAATATTTTTGCTGAATATTAATATATTATATTAAATCTCATTGTTTAATTATTTAAAATAATTTTTAAAAATCCCAAGACGCAAAATTTCCAAATGCACGAGGGGGTATTTTTTTTTTTCAAATTAATTTTATTCTATTTCAATTTAAAAATTAATTTAAAAGTTTTTAAAATTGTATTTTTGTTTATCTATTTTATTTTTTGTGATTTTTTATTTTATTATTTATAAAGTAAATTATTTTTTATATTGTATTTATTATATTTAATCAAATAATATTATATATTTTTATTTTGCATAAATATTATTTAATAATATTAAAATTTTAATTTATTTAATTTAAAATTATTTATTATTTTTAAGATAAAAAATAATAATAATTAATTTAATTTATTAATATAATATTTAAAATATTTTTAAAATAAAATATATAAAAATAATATTACCTCTATCCGGTTTTAAAAGTCCTATTTGCTTTTGGCGTATTGATATTTGAATATTAATTATTATATCAAATTAAGAAAATATTACAAAAATATTTCAATTAGTGTCTTATGATACTAATACAAAGATATTTTTAATGTTAAATACAATGACGTAAAATGTGACCTCAAAGATGGATGGATGAAGTAAAATATTTGATGTTATTATAAATTTTAAAAATTATATAAAGTATATAAAATAAAATATAAAGATAATATTATTTGACATGCAAAAATAGAGAGTATTATTGAAATGAATTACTACAAAAAGTATGATGGGAGATGAGTTAATAATTTATTATATCAGTTCCTGCAAATTTTTATTATATCAGCTCCTGCAAAAATGTAAAAATTTGCAATAGTTTAGATGGATGAGTCGGAGATGATCTAAATGCTGAGATTATATTTTGTAACTAGTCTTGCCATAGGTTTTGTTCATTCATTTTTTTTTTTTTTTTTTTTTTTTGATATGTAGGATTTTTATAATATATATATATATATAATTTCTTCAAACGTCAATAATTGAATATAAAAAAAAAATAAAATTATTAATATACTCAATCTCCTATGTCACATTAAAGCACTAAACAAACAAATCCATTTTTTTTGTGTTTTATTTTATTAATTTTCTTTCACAGGTTTTATTTAGAATGGGGAAACTAATTTCACCTACCTGCCTCACGGGGTCCTTATTTTTTTTTTGACTTTATTCTTCCCTTCCTTCAAATTATGGATTCCAAAAAAAAAAAATAATATGAGATGTGAAACTGATAAAAAAAATAATAATATGGACACAATAAATGTGATAGAATGAGTGATTTTTTATTTTATTATTATTTTTTTAATGACATGAGAATTCACAGTCGGTACCCGAAATGCGCACTGGATATACACTAAGCGAACCATGTGTGACAGGGGTTCACAGTTATAAATCCAACCCCTACACCACCAGGCCATCCCTTACGGGACGACATAATGAGTAATATTTTGTTACACAACATGGGGTGTCGAAAAATATAAATCATTGCCACAATACATGTGTGTTTAATTAAACATGCTCTTATTGGAGTATGTCTTACAAAGTTTCATCAATATATAATTTCTCGAACACGCCGGCGTGTTCACATCAGTATATGCATAACAAAAAGTAAAATATACTCTTTCCGTCCACCTCGAAAAGTTATATTTATCTTTTGTGTTATTGTATTTTTATTACAAATATTCTTATATTTCTATAATTTCTTTTTGTACAAAATGTCCTTCTATCTGTATTACAAGACATTAATAAAAGTATTTTTGCAATTGTTTTTTTTTAAATTTGTACTACGTCTTGATATAATAATTAAAATATTCAAAAACCAATACGTAAAAAGTAAATAGAACCCTTAGAGCCAGAACCAACACGTAAAAAGTAAATAGAACCCTTAGAGCCGGACAAAGATAGTACTATATTTGAATAACAAATTGATTGTTATTGTTTGTTTGAATGATTTGTGTGGATTTATACTATTCACGTAAAATTTTTACTCCAAAAACATCAAATCAAATATTTATGTTTTATTTTTTTATATCATACTAAAAATTAATTTACATTTAAAACGTCACATCAATATATATTTATATCACATCATACAACTATTTAAATTCAAATTATTTACTATTCAAATCTCAATTTAAAATTCAAACATTCAAACAAACAAGCCACCTTTGGCTTATTTTCTGGGCTGGGCTGCTCAATTCATGACAATCTCTTTTCTCTAACTCAGGCTAAACAATTTTTCGAGTAGCCATTAAGGGTGTGTTTGTTTGGAGGATTGGATTTTACTTTCACTATTCATCTCAATTTTTTTTCCTAAAAAACATCAAATAAAACATATATTTTTCATTTTTTATATTATACTAAAAAATCAATTTTACATTCAAAACATCACATCAACACCTATTTATATCACATCGTACAACTATTCAAATTCAAAATTTTTACTATTCAAATCTCAACTCAAAATCCAAACCCCCAAACAAACACACCGTAAAAGTGTTTGGAGAATTTTACTGCAAATTCACTATTTATCCATTTTTTTTTTCAAAAATATCAAATCAAACACCTATTTTTTATTTTTTATATTATACTTAAAATTAATTTTATATTCAAAATATCACATCAAAACATATTTATATCACATCATACCACTATTCCAATTCAAATTTTTTTACTATTTAAATCTCAGAAAAAAAAAATTCAAATGGAACTACCTCTCCCATCATCATCATCAGACTTAGACAAACCCATCTCTACTTTGGCCAAGAAAAGAAAGTGGCATGAGTTCCAATTGTCTCAAACTGAGGCCAAGACTCCAAGAGTCAAACTAACTAAGAATGAGCCTCATTGTCAATAGTATGGATGATCTGATCTACTAAGCCCTCGACCCGACCCAAGAAAATAAATAATTATTTGAAATTTAAAACAAATCGTATCAAATATTTCGGAATAATCTTTTGACTGTAATTTCCGACGGATAAGTACTTATATTTTAACTCCTTCATTTTGATAAAGTTTAATTAATTCACACTTTGTCTTTATCTATTCAGTATATTTTTCGGAAATTTTGAGATAATTTATTTATCTCAGTCTTGATGGTAAAAATTTAATCAATTTTGGCTTAAACTATTTTCACTGCTTTTTGGTCTATCTTCTATCTTACTCAGTCTTCTATCTCAAAATAATTGGTCTCAATTTAGCCCCTGTTTACTATGTTCTAGCATGTTTTCTGAGCTGCTCCGACTATAACAAACTTCTCGATCACACTCAAGCCAAACAACTTATAAATAACTCATAGCTCAAGAAAAACAAGTTTTCGACATGTTGGCCCGACCCAACACACACACACATATATATATAAAAATAATAGTTACATATATTTTCATTATTACATATATATATATATACTCCCTCCATCCTACATAATATGAGTGTATTACCGTAGATACGAAAATTTAAATAAAGTTGTTGATGTAATTTTTCAACAAAAATAAAGTAAAATTCAAAGATATAGAAAATATCCTTAAACTTGATTAATTAGTGCCTGAGATTAGGAATCTCTAAACACTGTATGGTACAGAAAATAAACTGGAAAATAAAAGACTGAAATTTAAAGTGGTGATCCCCAAATCTGACTTTGCTTTGTTGAAGTTGATTGAAGATACCTTGCCAAATGATGATCCAAATCCTTAAATATTTCCTGGGAAACCGTACTGAAAACTGTCACCCGAACGGTTACAACGTCTCCTTCTCAACCGTCTTCCAACCTTTCTCATGCTGACACGTGTCCCCAGTAGACCAAAATTCCCTATATTTCACTCCTTGAGCCGACCACAGACCTTCCGCTCTTTTGGCCCGACTTCGTCCTTCGTCCGACCTACTTCTTCGCCCGACCCCACTTGGGCCGACCTCCATATCAACTGCCCCCTGTCTTTGATCAAAGGCCTCCGCGTTTGTCCAACTCCTCCTTCTATCCGACCTACAGTTTACCCGACCTGCGGATATCCCATCTCGACGACTTTCCGTATCGAGGACCTCCCGACTTGAAAACCTTCCGACTCATCGTCTTTCCGTCTTGCGGACCTCCCGACCTGAAGACCTTCCGACTTGAGGTCTTTCCGTCTTGCGGACCTCCCGACCTGAAGACCTTCCGACTTGAGGTCTTTCCGTCTTGATGGCCCCCCGACCTGAAGACCTTCCGACCTGAGGTCTTTCCGTCCTGAGGACCTACCGACCTAAGAACCTTCCGTCCTGAGGTCTTTCCGTCCTGAGGACCTACCGACCAAAGAACCTTCCGTCCTGAGGTCTTTCCGCCTTGAAGACTTCCCGACCTGAAAACCTTCCGACTTGAGGTCCTTCCGTCTTGAGGACCTACCGACCTGAGGTCCTTCCGTCCTGATGACCTTCCGACTTGAGGACCTACCGACCTGAAGACTTTCCTTAGTAATAAACCTATTTTCCTTGATTTCCTCATGGTGCCCTTCAGTCAGTTCAATCAACTCTATTGCCAGGCCCACTATTCTTTTTACCTTGGGCTTTTAACCTAATTCTAAATTTCGTACGTAACAACTTGCCCGCCGCCAAGGGACTTTCAAACGCCATTTAACAATCAATGTTTGGAAGTTCATAAAGCACCACCCTCTTGAAAAACTCCCTTAGTAACTGCACCAGTTACTGCAACACTCCTGATTAACTTCCTCCTCCGCCATCCCAGCTTTTGTGAATCACAATCCCAAAGCACTCGAACCATGGCGAATCAATACATTCCTGCCCTTCCCTTCGACGGAACCCTCCCGGAGGGCCCATTTTCAGCCTCGAAAGTACTAACTCCGACGATCCGTCCATATTGCACTACTCCTGAAGATTCAAATCGGATGAGGGAAGTCTTGGAATCCCGAAATCTCTTGGCTATCAACAACCCTAACTACCAAGCACTTCGCATTCGAGACAGCATCAAAACCCATCTGACGGACCCAAAAGATCCTTACCGCGCTTGGTATCGACGGGTAGCAGAACACTTCCAAACCCAATGGCGTTCCCAAAAGATCGACCAAGCAATACTACTGTCCACCATGCCTATCAACCTGCATGAGAAGGTGTTGTTGGCCATGTCTGCCTTCTGGAATGCGGAAAATGGGACTTTCCTCTTCCCATCAGGCCCTTTTGGCCCAACTCTTATGGACGTTGCAATGATCGCGCATCTCCCAGTCGTGGGTGAAGACCCTGTAATGGGAGCCCTAGATGGGCAGGAGCCGTCAGAAGACCATCCAGGGTGGTCTTTACAAGGTGTGAAGGAATGGGGTTGGACAAAGTTCGCAACCGACCAGCAAGGGGCTCCAGGGACCCCTGTAACCGACCGGGAGCATACTGCCTTTATCCTTTTTTGGCTTTGTAGGTACGTCATTGTTTCCCCTTCCAAATGTGTTCTTCCTTCTCATCTCGACCTAGCCATTCAAATCGCGTCAGGTCGTTTTTTCTCTCTTGGCACCCTGTTTTTAGCCAATCTGTTTGAAGGACTCACTAGAGTTAGCCTTCGTTTAACAGATAATGATAATAGGAAATTAAACACTGCCGCGTCGGGTCCTTTTTGGTTTTTAGAACTTTGGTTCCGGCTCTACTTCCCCAACGCGTTTAACTTAGGATCTCCGCCCACTATGCCAACAGCTGAAAAACATTTGGGATTAGCCCTTAACCGACTCTGCTCAGGACGCAATAACCTCCAATCTTCCGATCCAATAATAATCGCAGTTTTAACAGATACCCGCAGTAACTCTCGATTTTCTATGTATAAAAAGTATGCGGGCTATGCTCCCGACCATTTTTGGCCTTTTCCAGTACCAAATCCGCTTCCGACTCCTGAGCCTTGTCCTCATTCCACTTATCCTTTTGCCTGGGACGTTGCCCTCAAACCTAGGTCTCTTTTTAGTAGCAAAAAACTTGATAAAAAGGGGCAGAAAACCTTCTACACTTATAATTATGAACCTCAATTCATGGCACGCCAATTCGGCTGTTGCCAAGGTATCCCTGGACCCGTCGCGTGTCCGCATATAATTTTTCAAAGCCCTGACCGACGAGTCCTACCGAATTCAATCCCTTCTTATATCTCCCAGCTTACCACGTATATAACTTCCAATTCTTATATTCCTTTCCGCTCCAACCCTGAGACTGTAGATACTTTCAATGAATGGTGGTCGGTTGTATGGCCCCTGATTTCCCCTGATGAGGGTCGGTTACTGAACATACTCCTTCCACCCCAAGGATTGGTTCTAGGGGCGGCTAGACATACTAGCACACAACAACAAACAGCCGCCCCGGGGACCGGGTCTGTTGTTCCAACACGAAAAAGGAAGGCGTCCCGGCTGCCAACACCCCCGACCTCTGGGGCTGACCAGCAAGCACCAGCGGACCTTGGAACTACGAAAACATCAGCAAGGATCCGACCCCGAATAGGTAATTTTTCTTAAAACCGTGAACCAATTCACTATATCTTAACTTTGATTTCACATATTATTCACCAGAACCGACCTTGGCAGCACCGACCACACAACCGACGCCAACTCCAGCCGACCAACCTTTGGTCCCGACTGAGGCAGTTCCTCTCCAAACCCCTACTCCACTTCTCACTTTGCCAATGAGCAGTCGGACGGAGGACCCGACGAGGAGGCAAACTCTTCCTCTTGTACCGAGGAGTGGTCGGGCCAGGCACCCGACCAGGAGGCAATCTTTACCAGTAGTGCCTAGAGAATCAGTAAGTTCCCTCATCAGCAATACTTAGGATTCTAATGATCAACCTTGATATATTTAACCAACAACAGTTCCATGATTTTTCACAGACACCTTCACCCATCGCATCAGCAGCCGGGGTCTCTTCTGACAGCGAGGGAACTACTTCCCAGATGGGTCGACCGCCATACATAGCATCAGACTCATCCATGTCAAAGGAAGAACCAGCCGCCCTCGCCGAAGCTGACCCTCAAAACGACATCCTTGATGCTGCTAATCCCGAAATCGAAGATGTCCCTGCTGCGGCTATCTCAGGTGCTCCAGAGATCCCGGCTGCAATGGCTCTAGATGCAGCCGCCCAACCTGCAGCCGCCCAGCCAGCAGCAGCGTTACCTCCAGCAATTGAGTGGCAGGCAGAAGAACCACCTGTGGCAGCCTAACCTCCAGAAATGGAAGAAGTGTCTTCGTCCGATTCGGAGACTTCTGTGAATTTGGTAAGATCAAAACCAATCCATGCTACAACGTTTCTTTCAGAAAACACTAACTGTTTTATATACTGCTTTCCATAGGGACCCAGGTCGGCACCTCAACGACCATTCGCAGCAGCCGACGAGTCGGCTGCTATTATACCAGCTGTCTGCCCTACTCGACCGACCTCATTGCTGCCCCCCTCACTGACAGCAGTCCGCCCAGAGGTACCACATATTTTCTCCGAACAAATTTGCAACTCCCTTGGAATATTTATTGACATTGTAGGACTTGCAGGGGCCTTCGGACTTAGCTGTCCTATCGACTGTTCCGGTACCAGCGGAGGCCCGAACCATATTCACTGAGGCCATTAACCATCCCCTGTCAGAATTGAGATCCGACTTATTGGACAGACTCATTCAGACTGTTGGTGGCCTTCTTTTTTACACTCCAACGGAATCGCCAGCCGTCCCCATTCTGCATCGGCTGATGGAAAGACTTACAGAGCTCAAGACTGAAGTATTAGTCATTGGACTCCTGTCAGCCGAAACCCCCCAGCCTGACTTCGATCAAACAACGCTGGAGAATTCTTTGGCTAAGACCCGAGAATCTCTTCAGCAGACTACTGAAAGGCTGGGTGGTCTCCTTAGCACAAAAGCTCAAGTTGATGAAGCTATTCAGAAAAAGGAGGCAGAATTACGGGAGCTGAGGAAAGAACAGTCTACCCTAGATAAGCAAATTACCAATGAACAGCGTCTGTTTGAGAAGTATACCAAAAATGAGGCTGAATTGGATCAAGAGCTGAAAACCCAAGCCCGATCCCAATTCATCATAAGATATCAGACGGCTGCCAATACCAAAAGGCTATCCAGGGATGAAATCAAATGGACCCATATAAAAACTGCCCTAGGGGCATTGTTGTAATATTTTCCCCTCTGTAACAACGTTTGACTTAGTAATCCATTTTTTCTTTCGTCTCACAAAACAAGGATCACCTTTCAATTTCCAACTTTGTAGGAATAGAAACAAACTCCTTCTTTAAAAGAACATTGTTTCTCACATTTTAAGAAACACATTCCAAGGCATATTTTGAAAATCACAACACTTAAAGTATTAACAAACATGGCGAATGACCGACCTTATGTTCCATCAAACAACTGGCAGGGTGTTCTTCAACCCTTCTTTGTGGGTAATCACCCTATTGGAGGCCATGCAGAAGACTTGTTACATATACTCAAGCAACTAGACTTCAAATTCCGATTCTCCCAACGAGGAAGAAGAACCATTCATCGCGCCATCCGCCTGATGGAAAAAGTCATTGAGGGGTATGAACCTCTTCGTGACATCCTTAGCCGCATTCCTGATCTCCATCACCACATGGAAATGATAGAAAATCACGCAGCAACTATACTTCCAGATCTTGGTTGGGATAACATCTTTTCCAATCAACGAAAAGTCTTCTCAAGATTACGGACCATTGTTGATCGTGAACATCAAGCCATAACAGACATGCAAGCACGTACCCATCAAGACTTAGACGAAATGCAAAGCCAATGGGAAAGGTACCGACCAGATTTGGAAGATCTTATTGAAGAAGAACCAGAGCTAATATCCACTCACTGGGGTGAAAAGTCTGATTCAGAGGCAGAAAATTTCTCACCAATACATGATGACTAACTGAAATGAACCTTTAAATAGGTTCGAACCCTACAAATGGGTTCTGAATAATATTTTGTTTCAGGCAGTTTTGTTATCTGAAAAGGCAGGATAATACCTCTTCAGATATTTAGCATTAATACACTCATGTACTCTTCTGCCTTCATGATTTACAATAATGAACGCGCCATTTCCAATATCTTTTTGAACAATGTATGGTCCTTCCCAATTCGGTGACCACTTTCCCAATTGATCAGTTTTTTTATATGTAGGAAGAATGGTTTTCCAGACTAGGTCTCCTTTTTGGAATGTCCTGTGAAGAACTTTCTTTCCATAACTCCTTGCTCTGATTTCACTCTGTTTCACACTTCGCCCTATTGCATGGAGTCGGTTAACATCCAAATCTTCTAACTGTTGCATCATAAGTTGTTGGTATTCTTCTGTAAGACCACCATCAGTAAATTCTGTTCGGCCAGATGATACTCGGATTTCGGCTGGTAAAACAGCATCTTGGCCAAATGTGAGTTGGTAAGGTGAGAACCCTGTGGCCGTATTTCTGGTATTCCTATGTGCCCATAAAGCCTGAGACAATAACAAATGCCACTTTCTTGGGTTCCCTTCAATCATCTTCTTTATAATCCCAATGATAATCTTATTTGCTGCTTCCGCCTGTCCATTGGCTTGGGGATAATACGGTGAAGAATGATGTAACCGAACACCGAATTCTGCCAAGAAATTAGAGAACTTTTCCCCTGTAAAGACCAAGCCTTGGTCGGTTGTTATAGACTGAGGAATACCATATCTGTAAATAATTTGGTTCAAAACGAAATCTATCACTTCTTTCTGATCCACATTTTTCAAAGCAACTGCTTCTACCCATTTGGTAAAGTAATCAGTCGCGACCAATATGAAACAATGATGTTTCGATGAAGCAGGATGTATCTTACCAATAATATCCATAGCCCATGATTTAAAAGGCCATGGTTTTGCCAAAAATTGCAGTTCGGTTACTGGCAAATGGTTTAAGTTTCCATGTCTTTGACATTCCTGACAGCCCTTGGCAAATTGTATGCAATCTTCAAAAATCTTTGGCCAGAAAAACCCCAAACGATGAATGGCCCATCTCATATTCAGACCTGCTCGATGAGCTCCACATATCCCACCATGTACTTCTGTCATCACTTCTAGAGCTTCTTTAGATCCCAAGCATTTCAAAAGTAAACCTTCAAATGATCTCTTGTACAAAATTCCATTTATCAATTGAAAACGTAAAGCCTTCAATCGTGTCGCAATTGAAACACTCGCACCAGGATTCTGTAAATACAGGATAAGCTCTGTTCTCCAATCGGGCACTGTTTCACCATCGGACTTCTGTCTGATAATAACTTCGCAATCGGGCTCCTGACCGACCGTCTCCTGCCCGACAGCCTCACAGTCGGGCTCCTGTCCGACACTCTCCTACCCGATCATAACTTCGCAGTCGGGCTCCTGTCCAATATCCTCTTGCCCGACCGTAACTTCGCAGTCGGGCTCCTGTCCAATATCCTCTATGCCCGACTTGACCTCCGACCACATATCCTCCAGAATTCCTTTACATGCCCTTTGAGCCAATTCATCAGCACGTTGGTTTTCTTTCCTCGGAATGAACTCAATTATTACTTCTGAGATTTTTGTCAGTAACCGACTCACAATGTCCCTGTATCTGCGAAGATGAGGGTAATTGCAAACATATTGATTGTTTACCTGGTTGATTACTAGTTGAGAATCCCCTCTTATGATTACAGACTGGACCTTCCTGGCTATTAAAGCCTCCAGACCCAAAATTAAAGCCTCATACTCTGCCGAATTATGGGTCATGGCTTCCAATCGTAATTGTAAGTTGATCTTTTGACCATCAGGTCCTTGCAAAAAGACCCCTGCCCCTGATTTGTTTCCAGAGGTAGAACCATCAAAGAACATCAACCAAGTTCTGGTACTTATATATGGCACACATCCGACCTGTAGATTATCCACATATGATGAACGACCAAGTGGTCGGACGCTATCACAAAGAGAATATCCGACTTGTGAAAATTCTGCTAAGAAGTCGGCTACTGCTTGTCCCTTGATTGCCCTCAGAGGGGAATGTTGAAGATCAAAAGGAGCCAATTTGATGGCCCACTTCATAAGTCTGCCCTTCATAGTAGGTCTCTGCAAAATTAATTTGATGAGATCCACCTTTGATATGACCTCAATTCTTCTGGGCAGCAAATAATGCTCGAGTTTAGTACAAGCGAAGACCAATGAATAACACATTTTTTCTGGCATAGTGTAATTCAGTTCTGGTCCTGTAAGGGTTTTACTGAGATAGTAGATTGCCCTTTCCTTCCCGTCATCACCATCCTGTGCCAATAAACAGCTAACCACTTCATATGTATTTGCCAAATACAGTTTGAGTGGCCGACCTTGTTTAGGAGGCATCAAGACTGGAGGGTGAACCAATGCCTGCTTGATAGCATCTAAAGCCATTTGTTGATCGGGACCCCATTCGAAAGCATTTTTTCCAGCCTTCAACAGTTTAGTGATGGGTCTGACCTTGCCAGCAGCATTAGAAATGAAACGCCTCAAATAATTCACCTTACCCAAAAGACTTTGGATTTCTTTAATCGTCCTGGGTGGCCGACTATCAAGAATGGCTTTAGCCTTGTTGGCATCGATTTCAATTCCTCTCTCATGAACTAAAAATCCTAAAAAGCTCCCGGCTGATATTCCAAAGGCACATTTGGTTGGATTCATCTTTAAATTGTACTTCTTCATTCTTTCAAATGCCTCCTCAAGATTTCTTAGATGTTCATCAAAACTGGCAGATTTAACAATAACATCATCAATATACACTTCCATAGATCTGCCAATTAAATCATGAAAGATTGAATTCATGGCTCTTTGGTAAGTTGCCCCTGCATTCTTTAACCCGAATGGCATGACTGTCCATTCATAAATACCCAAAGCCCCTGGGCATCTGAATGCTGTCTTAGGAATGTCTTCTTCTGCCAAGAATATTTGGTTATAACCTGCATAACCATCCATCAGACTAAGGATTTTATGCCCTGCTGCTGCATCTATCAGCATGTCGGCCATAGGCATCACATATTCGTCCTTAGGGGTAGCTAGATTCAAATCTCTGAAATCGATGCATATCCTAATCTTACCATTTTTCTTGACCACTGGCACAATATTAGCCAGCCACTCCGCATAACGGCAAGGCTGAATAAAACCCACTTTGAGAAGTTTTTGGATTTCTTCCTTGATTTGAGGCATTAGGTCCGGGCTCATTCGCCTTGGAGGTTGTTTGTAAGGTTTACAACCTTCTTTGATAGGCAATCGATGCTCTATTAGACTTCTTGTCAAACCAGGCATCTCTGAATAATCCCATGCTAAACAATCAATGTTGTTTCTAATAACTTCGAGCATCATTGTTTGTTGCTCTTTAGACAAATAACCACTTAACCTGATCACTTTTGGAACCAATTCGGTTCCTAAATTAAACTCCAATAATGGGTCTTGTGATGAAGCTGTTGGTTCTGTTTTCTCCAATAAATCAGGCCAACGAAATTGTTCAGATTCTTGGAGGTGAACATCAAGAATCTCTTTACTATTTTCTGCTTTATGTAATAACTGCTTTAAATAGAACTTATTAATAAGAGAACTACATACTTCTAAACTTGTATCATCCATTGCAAACAAATTATATGGGAATGGGTGTGGCTTTATCATGAGCCATACAATCAAGGTGTTCTTTTAATAGAACATCGAGTTCTGGCCAGTGACTTTATAACCCTTGTATGGGTACTCCCTGGCCATATACAACTGAGACATCGGAGCCAAATGACTGGAATAAAACACTGACTCTTCAACTTGCTCTGATATATCGAAGGGGTTGTCATTCGCTTCCATTTTGAGAACCTGATTTCCTTCCCAGAACATCAATTGTTGGTGCAGGGTTGATGGCACACATTGGGAGGCATGAATCCAGTCTCTTCCCAGCAAGAGAGAGTATGTAGTATCTGCGTCCACAATAAAGAAAACAGTGGAAATCTTCTTTGGTCCGACTTCAATGGTGGCAACCATCATCCCTTCAGGCTTAGTCGGCTGCCCTGTAAAACTTGTCATTTCGAATTCCACAGGAGACAGATCATGAATTCCTTTCCCTAGCTTCTTGAGAGTCTTCAATGGCATAACGTTAAAGACTGCTCCATTATCCACGAAAACCTTTGTAATTGGTTTCCCACAAATGTGAGCATTAACATACAGAGGTTTCAAATGGGAGATTGCACCCTCTGGAATAGGAGGAAACACTATCGAAGGTGTTTCGGACTGAGGCTCAGAATTTGAAGTCTTTGCCCACTCTGTTTCCTCTAATTCATCATCTGCCAAGAATGCCCATAACGGTTCGTCCATAATATCATCTACCAGACTCGCCCATATCGGTTCATCTCTCATCTGATTAACTTCTGTCATCCGACAAGGGATGCGAGGTCCCAGACGAGATTTAACAGATCTTGAACTTTCCTCTGTAGTTATAACTTCTTCCTTCGTCTTGTTCTGAGGTTGAAGCGTCAAAGATTCTATACGGAAATCTTCAAGAGATGGATTGATGTTGATCCGTTCACAATGTTGGCATCTAAACCCTTTAATTATTTCATCTGCCATTCCTTTACCTTTCCCCTGTCCCGACGAACTTCTTTTGGAATGGTCGGAAGCGCCTGATTCGTCATTCGGTTGCTTTCCTGACCAGACCCGACTGGACCGACCAATTGGAGACTGAATGGCTACTCCCTGCTCGTTGGTCGGTTGTTCTGTAGAGACTCTAACGGACCGATCTCCTGCCAAGTGGTCGGTTGCTTTTTGTTCGTCGGTTAGATGTTTTGCTGAAGGGACTCGTTTCCCATACTTTGCAGCATACCTGCGTTTGGCATTGCGAATCTGTGTACGATTCATACCTGGGAAACGAGGATCTATATCAACTGGCAAAGGCTTCTTATTTCGAGCCCAATTGTTCCCGACTGACCCTGTTTTTCTGGTCGGGTGGTCACGCACTAACGCCCTTTCTTTCACCTCCACATTAAAAGAACCATCTGGATGGTCCCACTTTTCAGCAACTGGCTTCTCACAAATTTTGAGTCGTTCTTCCGGTCGGCTGCTGTTTGACCGACTTCCTTTTTTTGTTTCGGGGCTTGGCTGGTTTCGTTCCCTTTTTTGTCCATCGTTGGCCGAACTTTTCCTTGTTTCCGAACTTGGTTGGATGTCAACCATTGCCGTTGTTACATTCGGAAACGGTTGCTGGTCTACACCTAGAGTGATGTATTTGAGCCGACCTGTCTTGATGGCCTTTTGAATTTCCTTCCTAAAATGAGTACACTGACTTGTAGTGTGTGTGAAAGAATTATGCCATTTACAATATGGTCTCCCTTTGATTTCTTCTTTAGTGGCAAGTCTTTGCCCCTTTGGAATACGGATCTGCCCATCAGTTAGCAAGATATCAAAAATTTCGTCAGCTTTTGAACTATCAAACGTCGGTTGCTCTTTTCCTTCAGATCCTAGTACTGGCTTCAACTTAGGGCATACATAAGGTTTTCCAGAAAGGATTTCGGCTGCCATCTCTTCTGACTGATTATTAAAATCAAAGTCACATGTTTCTGTTCCCATACTCGCCATATGTTGGTTTCTATTACGCCTGTTATGCTGATCTTCCTCTCTGAACAAGGACTCTAGACGCCCTGCCTTGGATGCAAGACTTGCCAAATCCTCCACGTCCAGGGCAGTGAGTGCCTTTCGTAAACGAGTATGCATATTCCGGACCACTAAATTGGTCATCTCTTTCTCACTGATTACCGTAGGACATCGTCCCTTCATCAATCGTACCCTTTCTATAAATTGTGAAGCAGATTCTTCTGGATACTGCCTCAATTCCATTAAATCTGTTAAAGAAACAGTTGGTAAAGGATTGAAGAATCTAGCATGAAATGCCGTCTCCAGTCCTTCCCACGTCTGAATTTTTCCAGGAGGCAGACTTGCAAACCACGAAAACGCGGTTCTAGTAAGAGATAAGCCAAACAGTTGCAACTTATAAAAAGGGTTATTACCAACTTCTCCCAATTGTGCTGTGAACCGACCAACATGTTCTATGGTGGAAGATCCGTCCTCCCCTGAGAATGCATGAAAATCGGGTGGTCGATAATTCCTTGGGAGAGGGTGTTCATTAATGACCCTTTCTGGGAAAGGTTTCTGATATGCAGGGCGGTTAGCCATCTGAGGAGTTAATCCATACTGATCCCTTAATATATGTGCAAGCTCATCAGGATCTACATGAAAGCGTTGATGATCAGGAACATGGAACGGATCCTGCACAGGAATATGAATAGGATCATGTATATATCCTTCAGGCCTGTCCTCCCTTATATTGTTCGTCTGCGGATTGGTAACCCTTGGTCCCAGCGGAACAGTGTTTGGAAAAGTTAGAGGAGACTTTCCCCTATCCATTCGGTTGGGATTTGTGGCACTTGGAAATGCACTATCCACGAATGATGGCCCTGCGAAATTTGTCTGTAGTCTGGACGGTGATACTCCTGGTGGAGTTTGAGTGGGTTGAAGACTAACCCTAGACAGTGCTTGATCTATCATGGTCTGCATCATACTCTGTTGCTCACGCAACATGTTCGTTTGTTGCTCACGCAACATTTGTTGAACATAAGACCACCAATCTGTTGGTGGTTGTGGGATTTCCCCGGCATTTGGCACATTAGGTGGTGGAACGGATTTTCCCACCGGTGCCGACGATGATTGAGGTTGTGAACCTGCCATATGGACCCTTCCGATGATACGGCCGGATCTTAGACGTATGTAATTATCGCCGGAATTGGAATGAGCAATTTTGCCTTGCTCCCACTGTGGTCGCCAATTTGTTGATGTAATTTTTCAACAAAAATAAAGTAAAATTCAAAGATATAGAAAATATCCTTAAACTTGATTAATTAGTGCCTGAGATTAGGAATCTCTAAACACTGTATGGTACAGAAAATAAACTGGAAAATAAAAGACTGAAATTTAAAGTGGTGATCCCCAAATCTGACTTTGCTTTGTTGAAGTTGATTGAAGATACCTTGCCAAATGATGATCCAAATCCTTAAATATTCCCTGGGAAACCGTACTGAAAACTGTCACCCGAACGGTTACAACGTCTCCTTCTCAACCGTCTTCCAACCTTTCTCATGCTGACACGTGTCCCCAGCAGACCAAAATTCCCTATATTTCACTCCTTGAGCCGACCACAGACCTTCCGCTCTTTTGGCCCGACTTCGTCCTTCGTCCGACCTACTTCTTCGCCCGACCCCACTTGGGCCGACCTCCATATCAACTGCCCCCTGTCTTTGATCAAAGGCCTCCGCGTTTGTCCAACTCCTCCTTCTATCCGACCTACAGTTTACCCGACCTGCGGATATCCCATCTCGACGACTTTCCGTATCGAGGACCTTCCGACTTGAAAACCTTCCGACTCATCGTCTTTCCGTCTTGCGGACCTCCCGACCTGAAGACCTTCCGACTTGAGGTCTTTCCGTCTTGCGGACCTCCCGACCTGAAGACCTTCCGACTTGAGGTCTTTCCGTCTTGATGGCCCCCCGACCTGAAGACCTTCCGACCTGAGGTCTTTCCGTCCTGAGGACCTACCGACCTAAGAACCTTCCGTCCTGAGGTCTTTCCGTCCTGAGGACCTACCGACCAAAGAACCTTCCGTCCTGAGGTCTTTCCGCCTTGAAGACTTCCCGACCTGAAAACCTTCCGACTTGAGGTCCTTCCGTCTTGAGGACCTACCGACCTGAGGTCCTTCCGTCCTGATGACCTTCCGACTTGAGGACCTACCGACCTGAAGACTTTCCTTAGTAATAAACCTATTTTCCTTGATTTCCTCATGGTGCCCTTCAGTCAGTTCAATCAACTCTATTGCCAGGCCCACTATTCTTTTTACCTTGGGCTTTTAACCTAATTCTAAATTTCGTACGTAACAAAAGTATAATTAGTAAGTAATTAAGAAATATATTAGTAAAAATAATTATAATTCAATAAAAATAATTATAAATTAAGATAACTGAATAGTATAATTAAGATTAAAAAAAATTAAAATTAAAATTTTAAAATATGATTAAAAAATGTATAATCAATTTTCCAAACAAGGAAAAGACGGAGGAAAATAAAAAATAGGAACAAATTAGGTGAAATGGAGTGAGTAATATTTAGTACTTTTTCTTGTTAGAAACATAAATTTATAATTTCTTTTTAATTAAAAATTTTTAACCTAAAATAGTCCAAAATACAAACATATATATACCTATGGTTGTGTTTGGTTTCAAGGTTTTATTATTTTTCATTATTATTATTATTATTAATTATTATTATTATTATTATTTTATTTTATTTTAATTTTTTTTTTTTTTTTTTTTTTTTTATGTATATTTATAGGAATGTCTCACCTATTTGCAATAATTTGACTTGTATTTAAAATTTGATGCCCACTAAGATCTTGATTACTCCATAAATTCATGCATGCGGAAGGACTATTGTAGCCCTTAGTAGCCTTAGGGAAGGCATACATTTATTACTTTTCTTATTTTTATTTTTTTTTCCATTGAAAATTTTGAAATTCAATGGGTAAATACTTTTATTATAACAACATTTATTTATTATTATTATTAATTAAAAAAAATTAATGAATCAATTAAAGAGTATGTTTACTTCAAAAAATCATTTAAATAATTCTAAAAAATTGAGAATATATATATGAATAATTTAATACATAATAGTAATGTAATTATTGTAATGTAAATAAATAATGAATATAATAATAAATTTTGATAAAGTATTTGAAGTAAGAATAAGTGTTATGAAATTGATTTTTTATTTTTATTTTTAAAATAATATCAATTTAAATTTGATATATAATTTTTAACTGCGAGACAACTTTCACTTATGTTGAATATAATCTTGGATGATGATTTTCTTCTTGAAGGTATACTTTTTAATTTATTATTATTATTACACCATCCGTCCCATAAAGAAGTATCTATTTTTTTTTGCACGTAATTTTAGAAATATTAGTATTATATTGGGATATAGTAGGAATATAATAGAAATTACTAAAATAACTTTATTAGTATGTGTGATATAAAGGTAATGACATTTGTGTAATATATATTGTAAGTTGTAAGGGTATTTGTAATGTTAGGTAGATAATACAATTACTAAAACGAAATGGATACTTTGTTATGAGACAGACTAAAATGAAAAAATGGATATTTTGTTATGAGACGGAGGGAGTATTATTATTATTTAACCAATACATATATCAATTTGGAATCAAATTCGAGACCTAGTTTTTAAATAAAAATGTCTCACCATTTAATTTACAAAAATTTAAAGATATATATTTCTTGATTTACCATACTTTTTTATTTTCAATTAATGTTCCTATTGTTAGTAAATTAGTGCTTAATTATCCTCATTATTCCTTTAAGTTAAGGGAAACTATATGTTGTATATATAGTCTTTCACTTCCTCCTTCACTCATATTTATTCTTATATAGTTATTCTAATGTCAATTTGGATAGTAAATATCCTACCGGCTATCGACACAATTGGGTATTGTTTCTTTTTGGGTAACTTGCTTATTTTTTGGCATAACAAAAAGTAATACGTCGTTGTTTATTCTAGCACTGAGTATGAGTACCGTGCCCCGTTGGGGGTGTAAATCTAAGTTATAAATTGAAAATTTTGAAGAAAAATTATAAATTTCACATAAACTCCTCTGATATGTGACTATTCGGAGAAAATTCAAAAAATAAATCTGTGGACTCAATCCAAAGCGGATAATATCATACTATTATTGAGTTGACTCATTTTGTAACATGCCATAACGGATGCTATATTTAAATTGTTGTGTTGTGTTGGCTATTAACTGATCTCGATGTGTCTCAGACTTTTCTCACAAGTCTTCTTTATTTACGGTAATAAAAGTGCTATTTATTAGCTTGTTGATGCCTTTATCAAATTCCATTTTCCACTCCCTTGCCAACTCAAATTAGTCTCAACGAATTCGGCTTAAGTTTAAGATGTACAATATACTCTCCATAACTTATATGCATGTATTTGTGATTTATGTATTTGATTTGTGTTAGGATATATATATATATATATATTTCATTCGCTATAAATGTGATTAATATTGAGTTTTCCAAAATGACATGAACAATATAATAAATTTATGTTTATTTGGCATAATTAAATTGTATTTCAGCATTCTTTTACAAGATTCAACCCGAAATAAGGGCAAACTTATAATTATGTGCATCGGCGGCGGTTACAGTGTTTAATTTTAAAATTCAGCACCGTGTTGACAAACAACACACCGTGTGCTGACAGACAACACACGATATTACTACAACAGCACACCGTGTGCTGATAGACAACACACGATATTACTACAGACAACACACCGTATGTATTACTTTTAGCACACTGTTATACAACGCATTTGTAATTATAAACAAACAATACATATCGTTATTATACACATCATATATTGTATATCCTAAGATTGTGTATTATTTGCATGTATTAGGAGTGCTGATTTTTTTTTCAATTCAAAGCTATAATTGTTCTCATGTGTATCATGTATTAATAAATACTTTAAAAGGAAAAAAATTACAAAAACTGTTTTCAACATTCTTTCTATATTATGCAATTTAAAGCTGAGAGAGATAAGTAATTATCACTAAAAAGGCATTATTCTAAAAAATAAATAAATAAAACCATATCCAATGTATATATTGGGTTTAAATATGTTCTCAAACAATTGTAAATATTTAAGGAATTTTTAAAACAATAAAAATACATTAACAAATAGGTATATATATATGTGATGTAAATGTAATATTTTATATAGAATTTTATCTTTTTATAATATTTTTTTAAATAAATACTTAATATTATAATTTTTTTTATAAAAAATTCTTCAATGAATAGCGATATAATACTTTGAAGATATATAGTGTATTTTTATTTTTTTTTTTCCAACTAAATTTCTAGTAAGATATGTTTCAAATTTTGCATGTCACACGTAATTAGCCCAAATCATGTGTGACATATTAAAAAAAAATGTACAGACAAAAAAAAAAATTAATATATATATATATTACTTTCACCATTCAATTTTATACTCAAACATGTATGTCAAGCAGGCACACTTTTATGAAAATAAGTAATAATTTATAATTTTTGTTTTTCTATAGTTGAAAAATACAGACAATATAATTTCTCACTAAAGAGATAATTAAAATTATTTCTTTATAATATAAAGAAGAAAGTGATAGTAGATTTGTGCAACAAAAGTGTTATGCTATATATATTTAAAAATAATAATAATAATAATAAATAAAATAAAATAAAACAAAACAAAAGTGTTATGCTATATATATTTAAAAATAATAATAATAATAATAAATAAAATAAAATAAAACAAAACAAAAGTGTTATGCTATATATATTTAAAAATAATAATAATAATAAATAAAATAAAATAAAACAAAACAAAAGTGTTATGCTATATATATTTAAAAGAATAAAATTATTCTCCCGTAATTCATATAATGAGCTCAGCTCGAACACCTCATCTTTGTATGCATACACTGGTAAATAACTAACTAAATAAATAAGACACCCATAACCTACCAACCCACCCACCCAACCTCCAAATCTTCTCACCAAAGAACCTCTAGAAATAAATCCTCTACATAATATAAAGTACCACACTCCTCTCTCTCTCTCTCTCTCTCTCTCTCTTATATACACACAGTTATACATACCCACTATATATATATATATCATATGCAATATGCATATGTCCATACAATACGGTGAGATGAGTTCTTCTGTAGCTGCCATGGAAGAACCAGAAGAAGAACAACAACAAAAAGATGCAACTAACACAAACACAAATATAATCCCATACTCCTCAAGGCAGAAATGGTGCATCACTGAGTACCTCTACAGCTACAATGGCTTCTGGTTCCTCCTCCCCTACCTCGAAGCCACTCTAAGACTTCTCCACAACACCAACAATGGCACCCTCAATCTCCACTCCCATGACGTCATCCTCGCCTCCTTCCCCAAGACTGGAACCACTTGGCTCAAAGCCCTTCTCCACACCATCATCCACAGACCCCAACCCCACCCCCACCCCCCTACCCTCCTCACCACCACCCACCCCCACAACCTCGTCAGGTCCATGGAAACAGACCTCTTCCTCCTAGATCACCATCAAGATCCCACCACACAGCTGATTCAGGGTCCTGGTGGTACCAGGATCATGGCTACCCACCTACCCCACCAGATAATTGGTGGTGCACTCACTTCATCCGGCTGCAAAGTGGTGTATGTAACAAGAAACCCTAAGGATGCCCTTATTTCACTCTGGCATTTTGTCAACAAATCACCCATGTTCGAGGTGGATCCATGGGATTGGGACACTGCTGTGGACCAATTCTGCGAAGGGTCTGTCCCATTTGGGCCATACTATGATCATGTCTTGAAGTATAGAGAGGAAAGCATTAGGAGGCCTGATAAGGTCCTGTTTGTGACGTACGAGGATCTCAAGGAGGACACCAAGAAACATGTTGCAAGAATTGCTGATTTCTTGGGATGCCCTCTTGAGAGAGAGGGTGAGGCTGAGGAAATTGTGAAGCTCTGCAGCTTGGAGACACTGAGAAGCTTAGAGGTGAACCAGTCCAAGGAAATACCCTATGGAGGGTTCCCTATCCCCTTCGACTCATTCTTTAGAAAGGGTCAAGTTGGGGACTACAAGAACTACCTTACTCACACTATGGTTGGGAAGATTGATGATCTTACAAGAAATATGTTTTATCAAAGGGGTTTTGAATATGGGATTTAGTTTTTATTATTGTACATTGTTGTTACAATTGTTGTTGCTTTTTCTTATGTTTCTTGTTTGGAATTGGAATAATGGTGGGTGGGGGTGAAATGGAATCAACTATCCCTTAGCTTCCAAGAAATTTTTAATAATACTTGTTGTTATAGTGTTTTCATGTTATGTTATGTATGGAATTGATAATGTTTTTAAGTGTAATGTTTTTTTTATTATTATTATTTTTTTTTTAAATAGAGCTATGGGGTTCAAAATGATTAGTGTGGTTGATTGTCTTCCTTCCAACCCACAATACATATTTTTCTAGTAACATGGGTTCTGTGTTTTTTTTTTTTTTTTTTTTTTTTTTTAGTTTATCTATTATATAATATTATATTTTTATATTATAATATCATTTTTTTATATAAAATGTTAAATTTAATAATTATTTCATAAAAAAAAATTAAATCAAAATACAAAACAAACAAGGTGAACAGGGCCTTTCACATAAATATACTAACATATTATGAAATATCTCTTTTCAACATACGGTCCTTTACTAGACATAAATTTTTACAATCCAAAAGAATTTATCTATATAAAGTTACACCACCCCATCTACTAAATATAAAATATTATTATTATTATTTAATAAACAAACAAGCAGTAAATATAACTATTATTTGAGAGAGAAGGAAGTATATTGTACATACATAAATACAAATATATACAATTTCTATGAATCAATTTTAGAAAAAAAAATAAAAAAAATCCCTGCCTAGATGTAAAATGGTGTAGGAGCAATTAGAGTGAAATAAATATGGAAGAGATGCCCCTATCATTACCATAGAGGCTGCCATTCAATTGTTCTAACAAGCTAAGAGGAAACAGCAATAAAGAAAAGAAAAAAAAAGTGTAACTATTTAAAAGTGAGCAACAAAATAGTTTCAAATATGGTTGTTGTTAATTTCATTTCGTCTCTTTAACTTATGGACACATTAACAGACTATTATGTTCGGCAGGGAATTTATCCAAAATGGTTGGTAGGTTCTCACGTTATAAAAAACTTATTGGCGCGTGTTACAAAGAGAGTGGTGGGATAAATACATACTTCCTTTGTGTATCTATCTGTGTCCTACAGCAAATCTATCAAGTATTTCTTGCTTGGCACAATAAAAAATGATGCAGAGTTTTCTTTCCTATCTTATAGGCATGGGATCGTCGGCCCCATCTGCCCAGCCCCCTTCCTAGCCCTCTCTAATACACACTTTGTATATATACACAAACACAATGTGTATATATCACATATATATACATATAGTGTATATATATATATATCACTTTGTGTGAGGAGCGTGGAGAGGCTGGGTAAAAGAAGGGGCTGACGATCCCATGCCTATCCTGTTTAAGTTCTTCTTCTTCTGATATTATTCAGTCACAAGTTGTAGTTACAGGTGGTATAAACTATGAAGTACAGAGTCTTAGATAAGGGTATGGCCAAATGCAGCAGCCGAATTATTAATGATGTAGAATATAGGTGCTTTTCCCCACTATCAACTCTATTAAAGTGTACCAGAAGTAGAGAGTTACCACTATCTAAGAGTGTAGCTATTATAGTGGGCAAATGTCATTTATGTTTCAATAGTAAAAAGCCAATCAAGAACATAATAAATTTGGTGGAGTAAAGATTAAGAAAGATACCTCCTTTGTAGGCTGGCTCTCCATATAGATATTATATCCGCACCTTTTATGGCTGATTCTTGGTAAAGCTCCTCCCCAGAACCTTAATGGCCAATAACATGAATGGTCTTGGCCTTGGGAGTGTCCCCAAGACTCAAGCAACTGAGTTTGAGACATTTGGCAATCTTCATTATGTCTTTGAGCATTTTGACAGCAGATATTATTTTTTCTTGCTCAGCTCAGCTGCTACATTTAGGCAGTAACTGAAGTGTTAGGAGTTTATGAAGAAGCTATGAACAAATGGAAATTTTCAAACTTGAAGTGATGTATGAATGAAAGTTAAAAACACCTACAACATGTAAATGAACAGCATAATTTAAGTGAAAATTCAGGAAAATATCACAACAAAATAAATTGAGAAAATAAATAGAAGAATTTGAAAATACACACAGACAAAGTGCACAAAATGAATTCTGCTACACATAGTTGTAAATGGCAAACACAAGGCCTGTGCCATGCCATGGTCCATGGCTCACAGAGAGCACTATAACTATTGATATATTATTTTAAATATACATAATACACATAATATATATATATGTGCAATTAATATATTAACATATATTCAACAAACAAAAGTAATCATTCATGTATCCTATAAAATAATATGTAGAGCATAGAACTAATAAAACAACTTTAAAATGCTTACCCTAATCAACCCTAGTAACAAGCACAATAGCAAAATATGTATACAATGATCACAATTCACAACTGTGAATGCTCGTACAAGAATTTAGAGCTGAAAATGAAGGCTGGAGTTGTATCATGCCCAACTTTACAAAATAAGGTTCACAATTCTACCACTACAGAAAGTTACATTTGCTTCTTTGCAACTATCTTAAGCTAACTGAAGTAACTACCAACATTGTGTGACCTGATGAAGATATCAACGAACAGGCAGACACGATACAAAGAATTAGAGACATTACAATCAACAAAAAGAACGGCTGAACGACAAGGCCTTTGCACAACAAAAGGGAATGAACTGGTGGATCTAAGATTATTTTTCACAGGTGACACAATATTATATAGTACATATATTGGAGAAATATACAACGGCCATGATTATTTCGAAACATTATTACTTTATATATATATTATATCATCAAAGCATAACCACACATCAGTTTAATAGACAAAATTTAGTGAATAATTGCAGCATCAGAAAAAAACTAAATTGAGCAATCCAAATTCCAGAAGACTAAATTGATTTATTCAAGCCCTAATTGGCAGCTAACAATTGCTATTACACTTTCAATATCAGCTGGCTAAGCGCTTTCGATGTAAAATACCTAACCTAGTTTGTGAATTCCAATTGACGATCTCATGGATCCGACTTCCTTCAAGACGGAAAAGAACTTCAAATTCTCATGCACCTTTCTTGAAAGAGATCAGACAAATGTCACTTTATCTTCCCCTGCAGATTTTCTACCTCAAAAAAAGCGTTGTTCAAATTTCCAATAATATAATACTGAAGATCTCACCTTCACCTTCACCTTCACCTTCACCTTCACCTTCAAAAAGGCCATGCTATCACAGAAAAATCACACCCGAACATGATTGCGAACCAAACTCACCATCTCCAAAACAATCCAACAAATAACATCGCCGGCACTACACGATTGCAGGCCTTCATGCAGGAAAAACTTCCCGGGGGATGATCGAGCGGAACGATTCCCGCCATCGCCTCATGCCCTAGAGAAGTACGAAAATGGCCCCAAGTTAGTTATCCTACTAAAATGGGCCTTCAGGCCCAATTATCCCCATATATATAAAGCCCAGCCCAATTCATCTTATGATATCTATAATTTTAAAATAAAAATTATTGAAACACATTGCACAAGTAACACACTCATCAAATAACAACTAATCTTATCCCACAGCTTAGTGTTACTTTTCCGTTGAACCTAGCCGGAGGTGCCCAAGTCATATATAAAAAGAAATGTTTTCGAAATCAATGGTTCATATTTTCGGATTAGTTCAAATAGAAAATCTTATAAATTTTGAATTTTTGAATCGGTTAGGATATATATACTAAAAATCCGAATTAATTCGAAATTCAAAATATAATATTTTAATATAAATAAAAATTTAAAAATTAATAATTATATTTTAATATACTTATTTTTATTTATTGTGTCTATTTAATATTATAAAACAATTATAAAAATATAAAATTGAAATTGAAATTGAAATTGAAATTTTAAAAAATAATAATAATAAAAAAAGAAGTTAAATTTGGGATGATTTTGGATATTTCAGTTTAGTTTGGACTTTCTATTTCGGATTTTCTGATATCTAATTTCAGATTTTGATTTGGTATTGATTTTTATAAAAAATTCGAATTTTCGGATGCCTAAAAAAAAAATGTTTACTTTATTTATTTATAGAAAAATAAATTTGAACCATTCCTCCTCCGAGAAAAAGCGTGGGGCCTTTGAAAACACGCTTTCTCGTTTCACCTTATGCGTCTTTTCTAAATTGAATTAGTCCAAAAGTTTCCTCATATATTCTGTGTATTTATTTATTTATTATAAAGAATGAAAGAAAAAGGATTATGTAGAGAATTATGACAAGGGACGGATTTGGGGAAGCGCACGATATCCAAAACGTCTGACATCGGAATTCCCGGTTGTTGTTGCGGCAGAATCGTCCAGCTGCGTGATCGGTAAATCTGTGTTTTGTATATTTGTTTGTGTTTTATTGCTGATTGCTGATTTTTTTTATTGTTTGTCGGAGAAATTTCTTCCTTTTTTTTTCATCGGATGATATGTAGGCTGCTATCCGCGGTTGTTTTGTTCGCCTGGATATTGTTTCTAGGGTTTTAGTAATCGGTGCTGGTTGAAGTCTGTTGTTGATCGTCAACTTGCTTGGTTTAGAAGATAATGGAAAGGATTAGCACTGTTCGTGACTAATTGATTTTATTTATTTTTGAATTTTGGTTTTTGTTTTTGTTTTTGTTTGTTTGTTGATTTATGATGCATTGTTGCATCTGCTGCAGCTTGATTATTCTGTTAAGGTTTTTCTAGAACACAAAATTTTAGGGATTTTGCCATTATCTCACAGTGAGCGCGCCACATGTTATGTATGTGTGTTTTTCGTTGTGTGTGTGATTTTTTTTTTTTTTTTTCAGTTTGTTATTTGTCTGTGATTTTACAACTTTCTGGTTTTTGTAAAGCTGCAGGTGATTGCACATTGGTTGAGCTGTTGTGTCAATCTACAAAGCCACATTTAGGAGTTTTTTCTTGTGGAGGGAGGCTGCCGGTTTTTGAAGTTACTTCAGCTTCAGCTGGCTTGAAATCCTCTCTCTCTCTCTCTCTCTCTCTCTCTCTCTCTCTCTCTCTCTCTCGTCATAATCAAGTTATCATCTGGATACGAGAGTTTGTCTCTTGTTGTTTTGGTGATTGCATTCTGGTTTGTTGCCTGATATTGAGTGGAGAAGACTGAGAGATTGAGGTGGAATTGGCATTGGAAACATGGGCTCTGCGTGTTGCTGTCTGAGGGGTGAATGGGAAGATTATACTAATCCTAATAGTACAATTTACCGGAACTGCATATGCCTTAATTACTTCTTGCGAAACTTCGTACATGTGGTATTCTTCTTGCCTGTTTTATTTTACTGTTGTGAGTTGTGACTATATAAGATTTTCTTGCATACTAGCTCTCACAAAATCATGTTCTTTATTGTTACGCAATCCAGGTCTCTCAGTGAAAAAACTTCAAAACTGACATTATCTAAAAAAGAACTCTGGCATGACTCTCTTTAAGATTGACTATGTTATGATTGTTCTTTCGGATTTGGAATTTGATTGCTTTTGGAGTTTTCTATTATGAACCACCATGGTCATTCTTGTTTTCATCGTTTTCATTTTCATGTTCGGGTTGTATTGCTATTCCACATTGTCATTAACTTATGAGTCTTGGATAGATAGATTGGTAAATGCGTTGAATGTTCATTTAAATCAATTGCGTTTGCTCTCATGTAGACTAGCTATGCTGCCTGAAGATTATAACTAGGATTGTTAGTTATAGCCATCAGCTTTTTCAAAAAGTATTCATTATTATGTCCAAATTTGACAATCAGTTTTGATTGTGTTTGCTGCAGTATACGTCACTTTTTAACAGAGAAGATCGTTCCTTACCTTCACCAACTCAGGGTACAACAGCTTTGAGTTCTATAGCATCGATTGATGATTCCATACCTGATACATATCGCTCTCCTCCAAGACCTCTTCCTTATGATGCCGATCCAAGATATTTCCGCCTTCAGCGTGATGGTCTGGTCTCTAGTAGTGGAAAAGGGTCTAGTCAGAATCTAAATGAGGAAACTGAACCGCTAAGAGGAAGTGAAGTAAACCAAGAAGAATCAGGGCTAGCGACTAACAAAAGCAAATGGAATGATATTACATATGAAGAAGGTTCCAAAGAACATAATTCTAAGTCATCAATAAAGCCATCAACAGACAACCCTGCCAGAGGATTTGCTCATATTTATACTTGCTCTGATGATGAAGATGTCTGCCCTACGTGTCTTGAAGGTACCTTTTTTGCAATTTTATTATACATCACTCTGCATTTAATGCTGTTAGACATTAGACTTAGAAGTTTAAGTATTTCCACACATTCTTTGATAGTTTTTTGCAGATATCAATAATTTTCCATCCTTTTTAGTTCAATGCATTGATCTTGTTTTTTCTTTTTGGGCCCCTTTGTGATGATCTGCTGTGCAGATATCATTTAATTGTGTTCATTTTTCTCAGCTTATGCATAAAAATATATGACAGCATTATTGACAAGGTTGTTTTGTCCAAACATTTGAAAATTGCTTCATGTTTTCTTTCTTTATTTATTTTTTGGCAGAATACAGCACAGAAAACCCAAAGATTATTACAAAGTGTGCTCACCATTTCCATCTTGGTTGTATATATGAGTGGATGGAAAGAAGCGATACATGCCCAGTTTGTGGCAAGGTAACATTCTCGATTTTTCCATGATATCCCTGCCATTCTTTTGTGTATTAGCAATATCCATTTGAATGGTTATTAAATTGTTGCCGACTTTCTTATTTTGTTTTTAAAAGTGAGATTATGATTCAAATATGGCCAACTTTCTTCATGTGGTTTCATTCAAATTATGCAACTGTCCTTTTGGGGACGAGCCCAAATTAAAAATAGATATTTTAACTAGAATAGAAAAATCTGTCTGCTACTGTGAATTACAATATTTATCTTCAGCATCTCTTAGATTGTTTATCTGAACCCACAGACAACGTAAGAAATATTGTCAATCATCCTATATTGGACATATTATCACAATAATATATTTCCGTTATGTCTGCCGGATGATTTAACTCTAAAGTTTTTACGCTCAACAATTGTTGGTGGCTTTGCATATTAATGTATTACTTCTTTTATGTATGCTGCAGTCAATATTAACGGTAAGTCGCAAATGTGATAATATCTGGGCTTCCAACTTGATACAATAATTTGTTTTACTTGAGTTGCATAGCCCTCTCGTGGCTTGAATCTATCTAAAATGTTGTTATTTTTGGTTTTCCAGCTGATGGACTTTGACGAGACAACTTGATGCATCAAGCAACATTTTTCGTCGTCGATGAAAACTGAAACCAACCGAGAACAGAACAGCTGGCCCAAACTGTAAGTCATTGTACATAATAACCATCCATGAATATTTTCTGCCGTTGTGGTAATATTATTTGCAATAGCATTTTACTTTGCAAATCCTTCCGGAAAATTTTTCGATTTTATGTGAAGTAGAAATGATCTATTCATTTCCTGTTTTTGGTTCAAGGATTTTAGAAGGAAAAAAAAAAGAAGGGAAAATAGTGTGGATGTAAGTTAAGTGTGAGAAATATGGGTTCTTTGTGTGTTTTAATTTTATTATTATTTGTGTTTTTTGTCATGATTTCAGGTGAAATATATAGTGAAATGGTAGTTGGAATGTAACGTTTATTTAAAAAGAAGAAGAAAAAATGAATAGTAACAAATAGGTAAAAAAACACAAGAAAACAAGTACATGTGTATTTTCTCGTATTAATAATAATAAAAAGGAAAATGTATTGAATAAAATGGTGGGTGTTTTCAGAACAATATTTTGATGTTATTATTAATAAATGTGTAATTATTTTTAATCGTTGCAACTATTATAAATGATCAGATGTTCTTTGGCAGGATTGGTTATCATTTTGTTCCCCTGATAAAAATATATATAGGTAGTATATATGATATATATATATATATACACAGAAAACTTATTATTCCCTCCGTCCCATTGAAAGATTGCCATTATTTATTTTTGTCTATCTCCAAAACAAGGTTATCATTTCCTAATTTAGTAATTGTATTACCTATTTAACATAATAAATACCCTTTCAACTTACACTATATTACACAAATGTCGTTACTTTTATATTACACAATACTAATAGGGGCATTTTCGTCTTTTTCACTACAATTCATTACAATATTAATATTCAAAAATCTACGTGCAAAAAGTAAAGGGCAACCTTGCACCGGGACGGAGGAGAGGGAGTATATGAATTGAACGTGTATAATTAATTAAGGTCTAGATCTATGCAATCCATTTCAACTTAGTCCATATTAGAATTTATATAATCGAGGCTTGAGCTCTCATCTTATGCCCTCGGGTATTATACTCTCACTTCCATTCAATACAATAGATTTGTTTATTATTTTTGTTCGTTTTAAAACAATAGTTTTATTTTCATAAATAATTATATCACTATAAAATTACTCTTACTCTTTTGTTATTATTACACAATTGTCACTATTTTTTACACTAATATATTTTATTTCTACTTTTTATCTACTACCAATATAATATCAATTTTATACCATCCAGACTATAGTTCTGGACGGAGGGATCACTAGTTTACTATTTTAAAATTGGCTTGGGTTGGTTTTAAATTAATTTTTTTTTTAAAAAAAAATAAATATTCTTTTGGGTGAGAACACATTTGTGCTTCAATTATTTACATAATAAAAATATATAATTGTAAAATTAATGCAACCCAGACATAAAATAAATGCGGCAGACGCTTTGAGTATCGTGGCACATCATCCGAACTAGCCAGATAATGGGGCAAATTGTATCAATTTTGCAATTCTTTTTTTTTTAAAAAAAATAATAATAATAATAATAGCCAACGTAACACTAAATATTGTCCGCTTTAGGTTTATTCAAATCTTTCGACATAGGATTGAGTTTGCATCCAACAATCATCCTTCAAAGAATGAGGGCGAGATTTCTTACGACTACAATCAATGTCCGCTATAATCCAGTCCACTCTACTTACGAATTAGGTTCTGATACAAGTGTTGTGATTGGATTGTATGATATTGTTCATTTCAACTGAGTCCGTATGAATTTATTTTTAAATTTTTTTTCAAAATATCTCGTACTAGTTTACGTCCGACTAACTTTTCCTTTAAATCTTTTAATGTGGACTTGGATTTGCCTTCAACATTGTATATTTTATACAAGATAATGGGTGTGTTTGTTTTAGGATTGGGTTTAGATTTTGAATAAAAACTTTTTTTGAATTTATATAATCATTTAATGTGATATAAATAGATATTTATGTAATTTTTTGAATATGTATTTAAATTCTAGTACTATAATATAGAAAATTAAAATAAATAAGAGTTTAATTTAATTCTCCGGAAAAAAAGAATTGAATAATAAAAGCCTTAAAAGAACTTACTAATATTTCAAAATTTTCAGAAATTTGTACACAAACAGACTTGGGATTGAATAATGGGTTGGGAAATTTGTACACAAACAGACTTGGGATTGAATAATGGGTTGGGTTTGAAACAATAAATATTTAAAATAAACAATATTTGATGTAATATTTTAAATAATAATAATAATAATTTTTTAATGTAATTTTTTGAGAATTTATTCATTTCCAGTAGCAGTAGTATTCATTTCTTAACAATTTATCTATTTTTTTTAGTCTCATAATAAATATTCTTTTTTTTTTAAAGTAATCATAATAAATATTCTTTTTTTTTTTTTAAAGTAATTGTACTTTCTACTAACATTAAAAATACTCGTATATTATACAGATGTTCATATCATTATATCACACAATACTAAAACTTTCTACTAACATTAAAAATACTAGTATATTATACAGATGTTCATATCATTATATCACACAATACTAAAAAGAATAAGGTTATTTTAATCTTTTATATTTCATTCCTACTGCACAATATAATACTAATATTTCTGAAACGGTATGAAAAAAATAAATGGATACATGGATAAAATTAAACCCTTTTGTTAGGGACACTGTATTTGAGACCGTGCATGTTAATAAGTTATGATAATATTTTATTATTTTTATATGAGTAGTATTATTAAATTTTAAATATTTTTAAAATTATATCTTAATAAAATATATACAATATTGATATCAGATAATTAAATTTTATATAATACAAATGAATAAAAAAAATATTTACTTATTTATCATTACATAAAAATAAAGAGTTTTAAAGGTATAAAAATATTTGTTAATTGAAGAAAAAAATAAAAAAAACATAATGTTAGAAGGTTAATTAAATTGATTTATACTATTTATTAAATAAGGTTAATATTGATAAACTTACCAAAAATGAAAAAGAATTATCCCTATAATAAAAAAAAAAGAAAAAAAAGACCAAATTAACACCATGGTGACTTCATCAGATCAACAGTTGATCCATACTCTTTATATATCTATATTTATATATATATATAAATATAGATATATAAAATGCAGCAGCAGTGAATTTATAATCCAAGCAACTCGTAGTCGTAGATAAAAAAAGAATGCAAAAACAAATGATTTTGGTGTAATGAATATATATATATATATATATTAATCTTACAAGGAGAAGAAATGTAAACGCAGTGAATATAGCCAGACATCTTTATTTAAGTAGGAGTATGTATTAGTACTATATATTATCGATTATTATTATTATTATTATTATTATTTAATAATACTCACTTAGCAGCAGCTTCAAAAGCACTTAGAAATGTCTCTGCTGGTTGGCATCCATTCAACGAATGCTTCCCATTTATCTGCACATTTTACAAAACTAAGAATATCAAATTCCAAAACAAACAAACCAAAATGTTTATTACATATTACTTCTGTTCACAAAAAAATATACTTTTAATAAATATAGCATTTATTATTTTGGTTGATTTATACAAAGTAGAGGTATTTTAAAAAATACACGACTAAGTTAATAAAGTTGGATAAATAATTGTGATGTATTTGTAAATAAATGTGACATTAAAATGAATTAATTAAAGAATGAAATATGTATATTTTTTGTGGATAAAAAAAAAAAAACGAGAGTATTTATTTTGAATTCTTACCACATAGTATGGAACTCCATTGATATGTCCCGAGTATTTCTTGATCTCCTCATTAACCTTCACAAATACAAACACATTAAAATCAATCATTTGGGATGTAATTATTCGCTCTCACTTGTGTTTATTTCTACTTTCTATCGTATTTTCAATATGAAATGTAATATTTTTTCTCAAATAAACATTCATTTATATTCAAAATATTACATCAGACAACATTCGACAGAAATTTATCAAAATCATCGTTCATTTCCCTAATACGGATGACCATTTTTACCTTGGTGGATAAAATTCAAGTACTTTTGTATTGAACATCATTAAAATTTCTACTAAAAATTATGCTCGAGTACAAATAACAAAAGGACGGGATAAAAGTAAAACGATAGCGAACTAATTAATCGAACAGATCCATTAAAACGAACAAATCGATAAACTCTAAAAATACCAGAAGATGTATTGGAGAGATTTACCTCCTTGACACCATTGTTTGGATTTTCAAGAAACTCGGCAGCCCCTTCAACGCCAGCCTTTTTAGCAGACTCCACAAGGAATTCCCTTAAAAGCACAACCAAGTTAGAATAAATACAATCCAGATAACAATGATTTAATAAAAAGAGAGAAGATGTTGTAAGACCTATAGTTCTTCCCACTAACCTGTCGCCGATGTACTTTCCTTGTGTGAAGTAGCCAACAAATAACTCTTCAATGAGTTCATTCTGCCTATCGAGCCCCTGTTTTCCGGCAAAGTACACTAATCTATGGCTATCCATGGTATTTCCCCTGTGTATAAATGAGCAGTATAAATATCTTTTGTTTGATGACCAATTCACCTCAAGATTTAAGATGCTACAAAAGTATACATTATATATGTATATATGTATATATATATATATATATGTTAATACTAATTTTATACTGTTTTCTGGCTGCTATGTATCATCCATCCATCATTCAACATTAGTGAAGGCTTCAAACAAGCTGTGTTGAGGTTTATTTATTTTTTATTGAGTTTAAACTCAATAAATTTTCAATATGAAAAAGCGAAGTTTGAACTCAAGCCTCCCTAATTTCAAAAAAAGTAAAAAAGAAAATCAACTTCTAAATGAATTCTCATGTACAAATAATAAAAAATTTATGGATAAATAAACTTATGTGTACATATATATATTATATTGAGAGCTTGTTATGAGCCAATAAGCCTAGTATTTCTTGGTTTGAGCTCAAACTCAAACTAATTTACTTGCATACAGAACTATCAACACTTATAGTGGTGACATTGAGTTTGGTTGGATCAGATACCTCAGACTCATGTCCAATCCACTTATTTAGGAAGAGGGAGGTCAATTATTCGAGTGAGGCATTGGATGCAGACAACGTATTAGGTCTGATTGAATATATGATAATCAGACCTGATCCAAATTGAAAAAGAGGTTTGAATTGATGATAACATAGAATCCTGGGTTATGTATAACTATAATGTAGATTTTAAAATATAAAATTATAAATTTATAATTCATATGTTTTCTGCAACATCTGGTCTCATCACAAAATAAGGGAAAGAGTTGAGAGTGCCATTCCAGCTAATAAATCTAAATATAATTTCCATATTTAAATTATATATATATACTAGGTAAAAAACGGGTATAAGCCTATAATGGGGTCTATTAGGTCCAAGTCGGGTGCTGAGTACAGGTAAAGTAAGGTGAGTCATGGTTCTAGCAATGGATGACCAATTGTCATCCCTATAAATATTACACTAGCAAAAAATTGAAAGGTGTACTAAAAAAAAGCATATTTAACTTGAATTCTTACGTAAGTCCAGTTGTGTCGTGAGGCATTCCGTAACTTTTGAAAAGCTACAGCAACAAAGGATATGACATCATGATCAACTATAAAGTAGCTCATAAAGAAATCCAACATTGAAAAAAAAAAAAAAAAAAAAAAACTTGAAACTAAAATAACAACCTCTGACATCCGAGCTTGCATCTGAATACCTCGAGGTCCTACAAGTTTCATCATAAGTTCATTCTTAGGAACACCTTCCTTTGGGGCTGTAGGCAAAAGAAAATAGGGATGCCATTTGACCTGCAGAACATATAACACACTCAAGGTATATGAATCAAAATCATCATGAATACTATTGTGAGCTCAAGATGTAAGGGAATAGTGTTTTTGGACCTCAAAAGTGTATTTATCGCTCGATGAAGCTATTGCTTTCTCGAGATTTCTTTTCCCAAGAAAGCACCAATCACACACGCTGTCAAAACTGACATCAATTCGGATTAACTTCTTTGCGGCTTTGCTGCTCCCTGAGGCCATTTTGATGAATCTGATGGAACAAAAGAGAATGAATCAAACAACTTAGTTACACCTGCAAATAGTGTGTTTGATACTCTACTATAAGATGAAAATAATTTTCTTTTAGCCTCAGTAGAAGTTTTATATTGATGAAATTCACTCGTGCAGGGTTGAGCAATATCACAGAAAATCTAAGGTCACCTCAAGTTATCCATTGCAATGTAAGTGAATATTGATGACCACAATTTTTATGGGAATGAATATGGTTACATTTTGTATACAGAGAGAATATTGAGGACAATTAGACAGAAATCAATTAATGTATTTTAAGAAAATTAAAATTCAAACAAATCATTTCTGTATAATCAAATATGCTATTTGGGCATCGAGCTTATTAACATAAGAATCTCAAGCAACATGTCATAGCTATGTCGTAGATAAGTCCATCCCTATATTTAGCTTCTTGAACAATATGTTGAATCAGTAAAGTTAGTTTAACACATGACCGCTCGAGCACAAGGAATTCTAAAAAATTTAATGTAGAAAAATCAGGAAGATGGCAAGAAAATCACCTTGAGATGGAGTGTTCTTCTTGTCGTAATCACATTTCAGTTTCGTCAATACAAATTTTTACAAATGCAAATTGGCATAACATGATTTTTAGACATCAAGACTGATCAAATTTGTAAGCATTCCAACACGATTATTTAATCTATGAGCGATTAATTTACATTTACATCATAAATTAAGCTGTATCATATATTATATTCAGTTGAATTAATATGTTATATCGGTGTAAATACAATCGTATTGATTTTAAAAATATAGCATAAAACACAACTATGAAAAAAAATTCTTGAGCTATTATTGCTTATGAGATACTCACAAATGCTCTATCTACTCTTGGATGTATTCTTACAATGCTAATTCACTATAGGTAATCTGTATTTCTCAAATCTCAAAAACTGATACTAAATATGAAGAATTCAACGTCTCAGTAGTTATCGTCGATATTGATTTAAAAGTAATGTCTATCCTAATAAAGTAATCTGAAAAACTAAATCCGCTCAGAAACGACATCGCTGTTCAATAACATCTTCAGTTCAGTATCTTGAAAAAGTAGATGAAAAACTTACGCAGAATCTGAAAACTTGGAAGACTGCTGAAACGAGTGAAAGGTCGAGTCCGTTGGCTTGCTTCTTGGCTTTCCATGGAGGATCCTTCTTGTCGATATTATAATGGTACTGGCATCGAATTGACTGAATTAAAATAATAGGTGTGACCGTAAAGCGTGGCGGTCGTGAATGGCGTCCTGCGCTCAACCATTGGAAATTCGATACATGTGTAGAGAGAGAGTTTTCACATTGAATTGGAGCGAGCATCTAGAAGGTGGTCTTCGTCCTCTTCAATTTCTTCTTACTGCTCCTTCTAGATGAAGATGAGATGAGTGAAGGAATCTTCTGATTTTTATTAGGGCTGTTGATTTGACTTTTAAGGTAATTAATACGTTTCCGTATTCACAACTTAGCCGATATTTGAGAATGAGTTTTTTAATAGTAAAATTTTTAATATTTTTTTATATAATATAAATAATTAATAATATGTATTTTTAATAATATAGATAATAATTTAATATTTTAAAGAGAAAATAAATTTATAAATAATAATCCCTCCGTCTCACTAAGCATGTCCACGTCCGTCCCACGTCCCACGTTACTTTGTTTTTTTAAGAATGATTATACATTTAATCTCATTTTAAATTTTTTTAATTTATTTTTTAAAATTTTAATTAAACTAATTAGATATATTGATCTTACTTTATAATTATTTATATTGTAAAATAATTATTTTTACTAATATATTTTTAATTATTTACTAATTACATCCATTTCTAAAATATCAACGTAACAGATACTGTATTTAGGATGAATGTAGTAAAATTTGATTGAAAAGAGAAAGAAAAGAGGGTTGAGAGTATAATTTAAATATTTAAATATTTTGTAAAGAATCTTCTACACATTTTTTAAAATATTAATATAATATACATATTTATTATTTTTATATTACTAAACAATTATCTTATCTTACATTAAAAAAAAAATTCAAATCAAACACAAAACAAACAACCCCTTAAGTTTGTTTCATTCAATTAAATTTATTACTATTTATATTAAAATTATAAAATATTATTAAATACTACTTTCGTCTCAATTATGATGTCTATATTGTTGTTTATGCCTGTCCAAAGGTCTTGTTTCATATTTTTTTTCATAATATTTTAATTAAATTAATTAGTTATATTAATTTATAATTATTTATATTATTTAATAATTATTTTTATTAATATATTTTTAATTATTTACTAATGATACTTATGAAACATGCAATGTGGGAAGGAGGGAATACTATTTAAAACAAATACACTTTTATTATACTTTTACATAGTCTATTAATAAATATTTGATATAATATTTTAAATAAAAATAAAGACTACATTCGTCATAAATTATAGATTTATTTTTAATCATAGTTAAAAATAATATAAAGAAAATTTCTTTTTATTTTAATATAAAATTAACAATATGAATTATATGATGTTAAAAGCAATAAATGTTATAAATAAGTATTTAATTTTATAAGTATTTAAAAAAATCGTAAATAAGGAGTAATACTAATAGGAGAAACAAAAGGTGATGTGCCCGTTGACCTCTAAGGGTGTGTTTGTTTGGGGCATTATATTAGATTTTCACTATTTATCCAATTTTTTTTCCAAAAAATATCAAATCAAACATCTATTCTTTATTTTTTATATTATATTAAAAATTAATTTTACATTCAAAACATTACATCAACACCTATTTATATCACATCATACAACTATTCAAATTCAAAATTTTTACTATTCAAATCTCAACTCAAAATCCAAACCCCCAAACAAACACACTCTAAGTGCATCTCCAACCCAGTAGCGTTGTTTTATTTATTTTATTTATTTTTTAAAATTTTAAAATTATAAATTTGATTTTTAAATTTAATTATTATTTTTTAAATTTTTAATTTTTTTTTTAAATTATAAAAATAAAAAATTGTTTAAAATAATAGGAAAAATTGAATATTTGAAGAATAATAGTGAAAAATGGAGTAATAATTAGAATAAAATTACTGTAGCAACTCCACATGGATGGATTGGAGATAACCTAAGAAGTAGTCGGTAGGTCGGTAGATTTATAACTGCAATATTATAAATTCAAAACTGTCATAAAATATTTAATTTTATAAGTATTAAAAAAATCATAAATAAAGAATAATACTAATAGGAGAAAAACAAATGTGATATTATCGTTGGCCTGTTAAAAAAATTATAAATTCAAATTTTCGAAATCTTCTTGATATACCATATTAGGATTTTATAACACCACTAAAATAAATGAAAATTAGATCATAGGATGATTATGTATATGAATTCAGCATAGTATTGAATTGAATCCCAACCATTTAATTTAAATTTAGTTATTTTAATTAAATAAATAATTTATTAAGTAAGGTTATGGATTAAATTCTATCATGTTGATTTTTTTAAATTTAATATAACATCCATTCCTAAAGAAAATAATGCATTGGTTAATATGTGTGTTGGAAGGGTTGAAGATATTTGATATTTTGATACATGTGTCCGCTCTAAAGATCATATTTATCTTTTGTGTTATTGTATTAATATTGAAAATATCCTTATATTTATATTTGTATAATTTTTCTGTACAATGTTATTCTAAGTATTAAGTAGTATAAAAATTAAAATATACTCCCTCCGTCCGCTTATAAAGTTTACATGTTTTTATTTTGGGACGTCCAATTACAAAGTTTACATTTCATTAAATACCCTACTTTTTTCTTTTCCACAAATACCCTTACTTTACATCACATCATTACTTTTACACAAAAAAGTAAGGGCAAAAATTACACTACTTTTAATTACTCAATATAATTAAAATACTATTATTTCTTAAACACCGCGCCAAAAATAAATGTAACTCTTGTAAATGGATGAAGGGAGTATATTGCTATTAAAATATAATTATTTTTACTAAAAAAGTACTTTTGAGGGACTTATATGAAAATAATATTTTTAATTGGAATAGAAAAAATACATATATTTTTAATTGGAATAGAAAAAATATTTAATTTGACGGTAGTATGAGATGTATTAGGTTTGTATTTTAAATTTTGATTTTCAATACTAATTTTTGAATTTAAACAATTTGATGTAATAGATGCGGTGAATTTACGAACGTGAGGTGGTGGGTTCAAACCACATAGGTGTATCCGGTGCGTATTTTCAGTAGCCGCGGCCAATTCTTACGTCATAAAAAAATAATAATAAAATGTTACCATACTATTTTAGATGTAAATAATTTTAAATATATTTAATTTGTTGTGTGTATGAAATTTTTTTCATAAATAACAAAAATAATGTTATTGTTTGCACACGTGTCTTCTATCGTGTTCAAATCATTCAATTTCTATTATAAGCGATTGATTTTTCAAACATGTAAGGGTAAATTATTTTTTTAATCACACATACCCTTATCATTTTAGTCCCGTAAGTGAGCCTGTAGCAAACTAGTCCCAAATAAAAATTTTTTGTTGTTTTAGTCTTCCGGCGCCGGAGACGCCCGTGTGGCTCGCCGGAGGCCACGTGTCCAGCCAGGTCAGCGACACTGGCGGACACGTGGATTTTATTTTATATTTTTATTTTTTTAATTGAAGCAAATAAAAAAAATTAAAAAAGACAAATAAAATTAAAAAAATAAAAAAAATCTACGTGTCCGCCCCGGCGAGCCACGCGGGTGTTTCCGGCGCCGGAGAATTAAAACAACGAAATTTTTTTACTTATGAACTAGTTTGCGCTCCACGTCCAATTACAAGACTAAAGAAAACAGCTTACTCAATAGTAAAACTATTCTCAAGAACAATTTAGTGAGTGATACTTCTGGATGATACTGTTAATATAAATAATACTAATATTATTATTGCTGGCCTTGCATTTTGACAGTGATGCATGACAATGATTGACTCCAACAAAACTAAATAACTAAAAAAAAATTATGGACTAACAACACCAAGAAACAGAGATTGTAATTCACAAACACAACAATTCAATCCACATATTGCAAATAAGAATAAAACCTCAATAAGAATTTGACAAAGCCACAAGGAAATTTAAAAATACCTCAAGAATTAGTAATAATAATATTTCATCACTTTGCAGCAGCTTGAAATGCACTTAGAAAGGTCTCTGGTGGTTGCCCTCCACTCAGCTCATATTTCCCATTTATCTACATACATACATATATATATATGTATATATTAGGAAACTTTGTTGCTTCTAGAAGTTTGATGTGAATGTTAGAGAAAGATAGAGAGTGTCAACTTACCACATAATGAGGGACTCCACTTATCGTTTCTGAGCTTTTTCTTAGTTCATCATTCACCTTTTGGACAAGACAAAAAATGGCATTTAATTTAATGTAATGAAAGAAACATAATATAGAATGTAATTTGATCTGTTGGGATTTCTGTTTCTACCTCCTCAAGTCCATTGTTTGGATCCTCAAGAAATTCAGCTGCTCCATCGATCCCAACCTTCTTAGCAGATTCCACAAGAAATTCCCTTTTTAGATGCAAAGAAAAGAAAGCAGATTTTTGTGTTTAATCACTGCAAAGAATATTCATTTAGTGAAATCAGAACTCTTGCATTGCCCCTGGTTTACCTATCGCCGATGAATTTTCCCTGTGTGAAGTAACCATGGCACAGCTCTTCAACAAGATTATACTGCTTATCGGCCCCTACCTTACCCGCGAAATATATTAGCCTGTGGCTGTCCAGAGTACTTCCTCTGGGTGGGTTCATACATAACAAGTGTTAATGTGTGGCAACCAAGAACAGAAAAATAATGCTGTTTCAATCAAATTCAACTTTGCTAATCTTTGTTAAACTTACGTTAGTCCAGAAGTGTCGTAATCCATCCCAAATCCCTTAAAAATCTGCAAAGAGAAGTGAACTACTGGTTAGATTGTATTTGCATTCATTCAAGAACAATCACATAAAGTTAGGTGAAGCAAAGGAGCAACTGAAACCAAACCTCTGACATCCGAGCTTCCATCTGCAAAGCTCGGGGTCCAAATTTGTTCAGGAAATAATCCTTCTTAACTACGCCTTCCTTTGAAGCGGAGGGATTGAGCAGAAAGGGATGATACTTGACCTGTGCAGCACAGAAATTGATCAATTCATAAGAAATTTGAAGGAAGGTTGGGAACATTGTGGAAGAACTTTAAAATGTGTTAAGATGCTTATTCTAGGACCTCGAAAGTGTATTTCTCATCAGATGAAGATATTGCTTTGTCCAAATTCTTCTTCCCCACATAGCACCATGGACATACAGTATCAATGGTGGCATCGATTTGAATGTGTTTCTTTGCAGTGCTCCCTGAGGCCATTCTGATGGATCTGATACTATTGTTCAGAGAAATAATCGATATGCATATGCTAGCAAAAACTTTGTGTATATAAAATCAAGTGTACACTCACTTGAGAAACTACTCATGATTTTCTTTACTGCAATCGATATTCACACACATATTTGTTTAATGAGCAGAAACTTGGTTCATTCCTACAGCTTTTCCCTAATTTCCTTGCTTAGGCATCAAAGAACCAACAATATTCTTCAAAAGATATAGAAGATCTCACCAATTTTCATATTAGTTCTCTACCAAATCTCATAAAATTCAATTGTACCTCTTCAATTTTTACTAGCTGGAGATGATATAGCATCTTGAAGCATGTTACATAGGCCTACAGTCTCAAATTTCCACTAAAAAACATAAAATCAGATTAAATAAACTCTCGCAATTGCAATTTGCAAACGACAATTCTACCAACTATAATGCTTATCACCGCCACAGACAAAGGCAAGACTCACTGATCACAATACTCGAAATTCCACACTCAATTATGGTTTTTCGTCACTAATTCAACCGAAAATTATCACAAAACCACAGACCGCGTCCACGAATCAAACCTGAACATGGCACAATACCACAAACGAGATTTCGTGTTGAAAACCACGAAACGGGAGAAACTAACCTGGAAATCGGAGGAATTCGACTATTCAAAAGACAGTTCAAACGCATATGAAATAGTAATCTCCTCGAAGTTCACCTGCTTTCTTCACGTTTCTACGGTCTTCCGTTGTATATAATAAAATGGGTCTGATTCCTGTAGTAGCATTGACTCACATATATGTATATACATTTGTTCAGTGTGTAAAATGTGCGCGTTAAGTAGACGACGACAAGCATTTGGATGCGTTGAATGGATATTTCCAACTACCAAACATAGCAGGAGAACTATTGTCAGATGCTCTGTATGAGAACCCGTAATGATTGGGGCGTTTGTCTCGCATATATATATATATATATATATATGTTTAATTAGAATTCTTTATCCACACCCTAATATTTTGTTAGTACTTTCTTATTTAGGGTGTGTGTTTTTTTTTTTTTTTTTTTTAAAAAAGTGGCTGGAAATAGGTTTTGATTTATTCCTTTTTTTTTTCTTTTTTTTTTTTTTTTTTTGTTTAGGTTTGGTTTGAATTTAAAAAATTTTGATAATAAATATAATAATATAAATGTGTATTAAATTTAATTGATAAAGTTAATAATGGTATGATTTGATTATGAATTTATATTATATTAAATATATATTTTTAAATTTTAATTTATTTATTTTATAAAAAAATTTATTATCTACAAAAATATATATTGGATATATTTTATTAAACTATAAATATTAAATAAATATAATATTTGAAAAGATAAATTATATTTATAAAAAAGAAAGGAAAAAAAAAAAAAGACTGCAATAATGAAACAGTAATTTCGCTGAAATCAGGCTTGAAAAAACACGCTGTAACTTTCACATATAATCGTTACTCGTAATATTAATATTAAAAATATTATTATATTTGTACAAGTAGTTTACAAATATTCCTTATAAAGATGAAAATATTTTTATATATTTTCTTAATTTGTATTACGTTTTCATATAATAATTAATATTTAAATTTTATATTTTTTTCGTTTATTTTACTTTATTTATTTTTTTATGCATAGGATAAAGAAACAAATTTGTTGATGTCAAAAAAAGAAAAAAATTGCCTAAAAAAATTATATAAACATCAATTAGGAGAGTAAAAAATTGACTAACAGATTATACTTTAATATAATATTATTTAATAAAGAAAAATTTAATAATCAAATTACCCTTTATTACTAGCCATTATATTTTTTGGAATTGAGAATATTAAGTATCGAAATTTTTAACAATATTTTATATAAATAGAGCCTAATGTATGTGTAAATTAAATTGCTTGTATAGTCCAAAATCAAAACCTGTATTCAGAGCTTATTCTTTTAAATAATAATAATAAACAAAATATTAATTATAAAATTTTCAATAAAAATATATTATTTTAATAATAAAATATTAAAAAAAAAAAACAATTGTTCAAAATATTTTCATAATTTAAATATAAAAAAAATAATAATTTAAAATTCGTCCCGAATCAGGCTTATGTCCCCCTGAATGAACGTAGGCCTGTTCCGGGACAAGGCCTGTTCCGGGACAAGGATTCCGCCAGCCTCAAGGCTGGCGTGTAGCCGAGTAAATCCGGCAAACTCGCGCTAGATCCGCCGCGCTCACCGTGTACAAATGTCCGGCCACCGCCGCCGCCGCCGCATCACTGCCCGTCTCCTCCACTCGAGCCGCCTCTCTTAGCTTCCCTTCCTTCCATAGACTCTTCACCAGCAGCTCCTTCGTCGCCAAATCCGGCATTAATCCCGACCCACGCATATCCTCCCACACCCTTAACGCGAGCGAAGCTCGCTCGCTCTTGCAATACGCACGGATAACACTCGCGTACGTATACCCATCCGGCTCGATTCCGCTCTGTCGAACGATCCCGAACAGCCGCTGCACCGTCTTGATATCCCCCCGCACGGCGCAATCGTGCATCATCCCGGCGAACGTTTGGAGGTCGGGAGAAATGCCCGACAGAATCATCTCTTCGAGCGCGTTCAATGCCTCGGTCGTCATTTCGCATTTGGACAAAGTCCGCAGAAGCGACGAGTATAAGATCAGCCGGCCGGGTTTCGTCACGGGGCCGCCGCAGATGGTTTCGACGTTCCGGAAGACGGTCAGGGCTGCGACGCCGTTTTTCGATAATCCGTAGAAGTCGATAACCAATCGGACGGTGGTGAACGATAGCCTGATGCCTTCGCGGTCGAGCTTTGACAGGAGACGATCGACGAGCTCCGCGTGCCCGTCGCGCGCCAGCTTGGCGATCATCCTTGACGCTGTGTAGACGTCGTGCACGAAACCCGGCTGGTGCGCGACCCACCCGAAGAACTTCCACGCCGTCTCGGCTGACTTGAAGCTGCGTATTAACTTGCAGACTAGTCGACTCGTCCACGTCAAGTTTGCGCCTTTCAGCGTAGCGACGTCGTTGGGATCCCAATCGCGCAAGGCTTGCGCTAACGCCGCGGGATCCAACCACGGTTTCAGGAAAACTCGATCTTTCTCGCCATCCTTGTCGTCAATGTCATCTTCATCACTATCCATCGAATAACTTATACTCGTAACCCTCTCGTCCAGCATCATCTCCCCAACCAATTCTTCGGTTTCTTCGACATACCCGGCCTCCTTCATCCGTCGCAACGACGAAGCCATCGCTCTACCGGGTAATATTCCGTCAGCGCGCATCTCGTCAAGCAAAACCTTGACGGAATTCAAGTCATCGATGCCAGAAAACGCATCGACCAACATCGAATACTGCTTAACTGTCCGCTTGATCCTCATACGCGAAAGCAAACGGAAGAGCTCCATCGCATGATCCGCCTTCCCCTGCTCGATCAAATGACGCATAACAATCGTATACGTCCTACAATTCGGGAGCGCCCCTTCGTCGACCATCCGATAGAACACCTTTACGGCATCCTCGTCCATACCCTTATCGACGTAAACTTCCATGACGACATTGTACGACTCCGCGCACGGACGGGCACCGTCCAACGTCCTCCGCCACTCGTCCCAAACCCGCAAAACCGCGTCGAGATCCCCCGCATCGGCATACCACCGCATGCAATCCATGCAGCCGACAGGCCGAATATTCCCAAATCTCCCGGCATTAATCGCATCGATCAACGCCCCGAGTCTACGCGTTTGGCCGGACCGTGCGAGAATTTTAGCCACGGCGCGAAGCGTGAGTTGCGAATGTGAGAATTGCTTGACCTGCTTCAAACCTTCAACCATCGACAATGCCGACGCAGGCGAGGGGGCTGACCGGAGGGCAGCGGCGACGACGAAAGAATCAAGCCGAGCATTGCTTAACATGCTGACGAGGGAAGCTTGGGAAACATTTGAATGCAGGCATAGCCTTATCGAATCAATGATCTTTGCCCTCTCGAAATATAAAGACACTTTGTTTGAATCTCGAGTGATTGTCCCAAAATTATTCACTTCCAGACAAAATCTCTTCATAAAAGTAAATCTGCAGACGGAATGCATCACGGGATCAGAGATTGAGTTCAGTCTTTTGTGGGCATTTTGTCGAACACCTTGAGTGCAAGAAAACAAATTCGCGTTCTTAAGCTGCAGGGACCAAAAGTTTAGAATTCTGGAGTGTTTATGTATTCAAAACTGAATGGATGTTAAGGATTAAGTAGATTGTTGCAGAAATTTTTTGAGGTTTTGCTGGTCTGGTTTGAGAGGAATGAGTTCAGATTACAGTATCGGAAATGTAGTCTGACATTCTTCAATGGGTTTATGTTCAAAACATACACTACCCCATAAGCTTGACTTTAAATTTGAACTAATCATTGAATTAAACAAATTGGCCTATTAGCTCAGCTGGTTAGAGCGTCGTGCTAATAACGCGAAGGTCGCAGGTTCGAGACCTGCATGGGCCAAAATATTTTTTTTTTACCTGCTTTTCAAATTTCAGTTCACGCTCCATCTCTGGTTTTTAATTTGAACGAAGTCTTTTGTTGTTCTCAACTTGTGATTGTTCTGTTGAATGGAATTCAGGACAGCCTTTCGGATTCAGTCGTCCATTAGTTCTATCTGAGGTCAATTTTCTATTGCTGGAGTTGTGCGAAATTACGTGTTCGACGAAATGCCTCTGTGAATTCAACATATACTGTGATTCTCGTTGCCGCCATTGACTATGTGTTCTTCATTTTGTTGCACTTCCTTTCTGCCTATTTCATTTCTCTGTCATAATCACTCATTCATCGATATATGGTTAATGAAAATACTCTCGACGCATCTTACGCAGATCGATCATGGCGCCCAGATGGAAAGGGAAAGCAGCAGAAACTAATGCACTTACAGAGCCAATGTCCAAACTCGTTTCTCAGCTCCAATCCTCTTTGATCTGAGTCAAATATCAAAGGATTGCTCTCCTGGTGCAGCGTGCTCGTTGCAGCAAATCCCGAGCAAACGGAGCTCTTTAATAAAACATGCTTCGGGCGCCCCATTGTCACGGCGGAGAAGGATAAGCAGTGGTTTCAGTTTAGTCTTGAGGAAGCTTTTTACTTGTCCTCTGTGAAGAAATGCATCAAAATAGCAGGAACAGTTGGTGAAGGTGAGAGCGTAAAGATCAACGACTACCGCGAAGATTTATGGCATTACTACAACATAGCAGTATCCAAGAAGCCCGGCTCGATTATTCAAGTTATCGCGTATTCTCATCTACGCGCGAAAAATTGGGTGGTGAGGGGCGGATATCAGTACGGTGTTGATTTTGTTGCTTACCGGCATCATCCATCTCTCGTGCACTCGGAGTATGCAGTTCTCGTCTTATCCAATGATGAGAATAGGAATGATCGGCTGAGAGTTTGATCGGATATAAATTGCACGCTCCGGCTATGTGGCAGCATTGCAAAAACATTGCTGGTTCTTTATGTCATCGGGGGCAAAGTTGGTTCTCCGCGTTTCGAGGACTATGTCATCGAAGAGAGGATCATCACAAGGTGGAATCCCGAGCAAAGCCGGGAGGATCAACAGCTGACATCAAGCTCAAATGCACCGTAAATTTCTATTACATTTTTATGTAGTCATTCGACTAAAAAAGGCTAAATAGTAGTAAATGCGGTTAATATCGCGCTGAATGAATAAATTCGGCACAATAATAATCGCGGGCATGTGATGGATAGAAGCTAGCAAGAACATAATAATAAGCAGGCCATAAGCGATGGTATTATATAACTAGCGAGCAAATACGGATAAAATTCTCGAGGCAAATCCAGATCGATCGAACAAACCCTATTACGGTAATCATTCATATCTGTGTAATTCATTATCATGTTAATTTTCTACTGCAAAAGCCTTTTTCATGCCTAACACAAACAAGAGTGTGTGTACCTTCAAGAAGAGTTGCCATTGTTGCAATTATCTGAAGACGGATCCATTGAAGGTTTCTTTGCTGGTTTGGGCTCTTCGACCGAAGTCGAGCTCATCACGACTCGCTTAACTCCTCTTCCAACCACGCCTAGATGAGTCACTTCAGAAGTACTGCTTGTTTGAGCTGTAGAAACAATTGTAGAGTTTGCGGTTCCGCCGGTGATGACAGTAGCTGTCTCGGTGGAGCTTCCTGCTCCTGAGATGGCTTTTCCGCCGGCAGCTTCAGCTTTTGCAGATATTATGCCCAGGATGTCTGACAGGATTGATTTTGGGTTTGAGACGAGCTGTTGGAGATCTTCAAGCTGCAGACATAAGAATTAGCAGTAAATGTTATGTTATGTGCAGCAGTTCTTAAACTTCAACTTTCTTCGGTGCATCTTTTACCTTTTTTTCTAGCTCACTGGACAAACCAGTTAGTGTTTCAATCTCGGCTGTTTTGTCTTCCGTGGAATCAGCAGACTGGGATGTAGTAGAGGATTCGGGAGTCTGTGCTTCCAGGTTCTGTACTTCACCCATAAGTCGTTGGGTTCTGGACTTACAAATAGAAATAGCTTTTTGGCAATAAGAAATGGCGTCTTCAGGTTTCGAACCAATTTCCAGACACAGGCACACTCTGAAATTCCTGAATTATCATGTTAAGGAAGTAAAGTTGAACTCTTTCTAGACAAATCTGCAAGCACAGAGCCAATAGCTAATTTGATGTCCAAATTATTGTCAAAAAAACTATTCAATATTGCACAGGATACAGCTCTGCTATAAGCCGACTGTCTGGTTCAACCAAACGCTCCAAAATGGCTAGAGCTTTCAGGTAGTCGCTTAGGGAAGTTTCAATATCCTCTGAAAAGAAAACAGAATTATAAAATAAGAAAAAGAAGGCTAGTAAAGTTAATCTATGAGACTACCATGCCAGCAATTAATCATGTTACAGACCTCTTTCTAGAGCTACTTCTGCTAAGGCTGACAATATGTCCACCTTTTCCATTGTATCGCCCGAGTGTTTCTCAGTGATTATACGAGCAACATCCAGCATCTTCCATGCCAAGTCAAGATCAGATTCATCCTCTTCACCATCAGCAAGCTCTTCGTCATCACTTCCATCTTCACCCTCCTCTTCAACTTTCCCTTCTGCGTCTGATTATGAACGTTATAGTGCACAAGTTAGATACATATCTTGTTTTCTAAACCTCTGCCACAAAAAGTGAAAACATAACTAAATATCCACCATGTCAACATACAATGCGCATCTACACTACATGAAAGCTCAATAGGTGTGGGCATTATGTTAAGGGCTTATAATAATAAAACTTCTCTAGCTTCTCTAGGGGTTGTAATAAACAAGCTTCAGATTAGAAAGTAGCAGCATCAAACAAAATCTTAATAGTCACATTATATTTAATTTTGTCAATATAAAAACAGGGCTAGACTACTCGTTGTTGTCATCTTCGAATCATGATCGTCGCTCCCCACGTGTAGGGGAAAGCTATATCCCCTTACATTACAGCATTAGACAATATAAGACCATGAAATCAATTGAATATCTCCCAGCACTTGCACACATACTTCTTATATACACAACCTAAAAAAGTGCAGTTATCCACTTTTGATGACGAAGAAAAATAAATAAATACTGACTGTTATCTGGTGCCCCATCCAAACCATTTGAGCTTCCACCTTGCTCTGCATTATTTGAAGCTGAAGCAGCAGAGGCTTCACCATTTACCACAGAATTTACAGAACCCTCTTTATGGGAACCTTCATGAGATACAGCATCCTCTTTCTTGGGCATAGAAGCCAGTGGATCAGCCTCCTCTTGGGCTTTGTACAACAGGGCGCATCCATATTTATAGTATGCATTGACACACTCAGGGGCAAGCTCACCAAAGTGAGCGACCCTACAAGTACCAATTTCAAGACAGTAGTTTCAGCATGTGCAAAATGTCTAAAAGCAGTGATAACTCAAATGTCTGATTTGCATCCAGCAAGACAAAAAGAAACAGAATAACATGCTACACTTTTGATACAAATTCATTTGTGTGGGGATAAAAATTGCTTAGATGGAACAATCCTTATCTTCAAAAGTCCTTTGTAATGATGATTTGCTATATATCTTCTAACCAACTCAACATAATATAATTAAATCGTTTACAACTTTCTGAGATATCCATAACATCGTCTACTGCACCAAAACGTTAGGCAAGTAAAAACCTAAGATAGGAGGCATGAGAATTTCCAAATGGCAAGCAGCAAAAACATCGCTTAGAAACGGAGATTTGGAGCAGAACTAAGGTTTAACAAAAAAGAAATTAAAAATAAAAAGAAAAAGTATATTACAACAGCCAGCAGGTAGGCAAGTAGAGACTATCTGAGCATCAAAAAGCAAACGTGCTCAAGGGCAAATGCGAACAAAGTAAAATACATCCAAAAAAATGGGGGGATAAAGACAAATTAAAAAATAATTAGTTCCAACAGCACCAAAAGCCACAAAATAGTAAAACCTATCTAGAATGCTTGCTAAGAAATTGCACAGAGAAAAACATAAGGATTGACTACAACAACCCAAAGTCACGACTACGCACGAAAAGGGAAAACGAAAACTACCTAATCTCTAGGGCACGGCTGTAGTAATCAGTGGCTTCGGTGTAATCTTGGTCCTTGGCAGCTTTAGATCCAAGCGCCATCAACTCGTCCGCGTACTCCAACGTCTTCTCGCGCTCATCTTCGGAAGACACAACTGAGCTTCCCCCATTACTATTGCTGATATTGTTGCAGGTTGATTCCGTGGCTTCGCAGCCAACATTCGACTCAATTGTCGCTTCCACGGAGTTAGGGTTTTGCTCAGAAACCGGCGCCTGCGCACCAAAATTTTCCATCTCTTCCGCCATTACAGCAATTTCTCGAACCCTAATTCTCTCCCTCTTGCTTCGCTATCTGAAATGGAAATGGAAATGCAAAACCCTTCTGGCGCAAAAAATGCGAGAAAGTTAGAAGGCGAGATTTATATGTTGAGCGTAAAAGCAGTGCACCAAAACGACGACGTATTGTTTTGGGCGGAAAAGTTAGGACTGGGCTGATTGGGCTTTCCGTATCATTAGATATGTCATTTGTTCGGCCCAATCCAAATAATATTTTAATTACTTATTATTATAATTAAATATAAATGTAAAATCCTATCAATCAAATTAAAACCGTAACCCTAATTGTCTTCCTCAGCTGATACTGGAATTCCATCTGAACAAAGCTAGGGTTTTGGAATGTCGGAAAGAGAAAGCGATAGCGATTCCGATGCACCGGAGGAGTTTACTCTACAACAGGTTGGGTCAATTTTCTAGGTTTGATGTCCTTTCTCCTGTTGTTGATTGGAATCTTCATTTGTAGCTCTACTTCTTAATATTTATGTTTTTGCAGGCTATGCAGCAAGACGAAGAGATAACAAAGATTCAAATAGAAAATAAGGCCAGGTTTGAATTAAAAATACATGTAATGAGGGTTTTGTAGGCTGTATGCTGCTCATGACCCAATTATTTGCGCTTTTATGCTACTTGTAACCTTCAATTTTTGTTTATGGGATAATTTTTCTATACGTGGTTTAAACCGTATGAAGTTTGAGTATGTTTCAGATTTTATTTTTGGGCGATTTATGGTGAGTATTTTCATATTGGATTATAGTCCTATTCTGATACCTAATTCTGGAATGGTCAAGAATCAATCCTTATTTTCTGTAAAACTTTTCTTATTCAGTTTGAATTCTATGTACTGTTTAGATGTTAAAGAGGTATGTAGTTCGCTAAGAGGAATGCAATTTTTAGGGTAGTTCGGGAGGGGAAAGATCGGCGCCGTAAATGGGCTCAAAAATTGACTCCACGGTCAGTACCCAAAGAGCAAAGTGTGGATAAGAATATAGAAACAGAAACACATGAAGAGTCTCAGAGCACCGATGGAATGCTTCCTGATGAAATTGTCAAGTTTCTTGAAGCTCGTGAGAAGTATGATCTCTTTTTCTATTATATTTTTCCTGTTTGTGTCGGTTTACTGCTGTTACAATAGTGTGAATGTGTTTTTGGTTGCATATATTCCATATGCAGGAAAATTTTTACCTCAGACTCGGAGGACGAGAAAGTCGAGGATAAGAAGCCCACCAAAAGAAAAAGAAAATCGCAAAAAAATGGGTTAGTCATTCAGTCGCTTGTGGGGATAATTATGTTAAGGTTTTGAAATGTATAAAAAAATTAAAAAAACAACTGTCTAGTGAGATACATCCAATGGCGTTTGTTTCTTTGAACTCGACAGGTTGGAGCCCGTAATTTTGAAGGATATACCAGCTGCACACTGCGTACAAAATTCACTTGAATTTTTGAAGAATCGAAGGATTCGGGTTCCAAGATCTTCAGCAGTTTTGAACAATCCAAAACAAGCACTTCGACTCTTATCAAGTTCGGGCTTGCTCAAGTAAGACTGGTGGTGGAACCTGTAGTTGGAGTTCCTGTAATTGATTTATAACCGCCTATTTTATTTATATGATATTTAATTTTTGTGATGGTCGGCGCTTATTGTTTGGATGCAGCTTTTGCTAGTTACACATTAGGTAACTTTTACTGATTCATTTTGCACGACATACCTTACTTTGATTCATGTTATTGTCACACTTTTTTTACCAACTACTCACATTAGTACTGAGAAACAACTTACGGTGATCGTTGAATTATATTATGCGGCTTGTTTAGAAATTATGGTAATTCAGACCAATACAGGAGCGCTATATGATTTTTTTTTTTACCTATGTGTTGTATTATCATATGAGGTTAGTTTATATTATGCGGCTTGTTTAGAAATTATGGCCATTGATTTTTTTACCTGCTCAACAACCTTATTTGTTCTGCCAATTTCCGTTTCTTCTCATTTATGTTGATTGAGGAGTGGATAAATCTATGCATTCCCTTCACCAATAAACTGTTATGGCCGATTTTCTTGACCTGGTGTTATTTGTCACAGTGCTTAATTTCTAGTTAGTCCTTAGAATATATTTTAGTCTTGGTGCAGTTACCTTCTTGAAAGCGATATTAGATTAAATGCATTGCTTATTTTGGCTCTGTCGAATTTCTTGTATGATTTGAGGGTGTATAAATTTCGTGATTCATCCCGACTTGGTTAGCAAGCAAGTGAGCGATCGATCGATCGATTTTAGTTATTATGGTTTCGAAGAGACATGTTTATCAGTTTAGATAAAAGTCTGATCTTGTTGATGTAATATGGTAGTGTGGTAAAAATGGTAGAAAATAGTCCAATAAAACTTACTATTGTCATTTGCAGACATTCACTTTTATGATGTCAAAATTCATGATTATTTATCACCTATTGGAATTATTACTGTGCATTTAGTTTGTCATATTGTTTATTTGTGCTATGTTAATATGCACGTTGGGCTTAGATCAATTACATCAATTATGTTATGTGTTGTATTACATATGGGGTTAAATTTCTTTTATTTATTAATTTATTTATGATGTGGGAACCCCACGGCTAGATCTGTTAAAGGAATCGAGCTGTCTGTGAACTCGGTTTGGTTTGGCTCAATTCGGCTCAGTTAAAGCTCATTCACGAACGTTAACGAGTCGAGTTGAACAACATAAACAGGCTCGTAGGCTCATTTTTGTTAACGAACGAGCCCGAGTTTTGTTTGCGAACGTTTGCCGTTTAAATAATATATTTATTATAGATATTATATATACATATAAAATTATAATTTATAAATAAATAAAATATCAATTTAAAATATATAAGTAAAATAATTTTAAATTTAATTTTTAATTTATATATAAATTAAAAAAAATAGATAAACGAACTCGAACGAGTTTAATAGAGCTTAAACGAGCAGAATATCAATATGAACTCAAACAATAAAAATTCTTAATGAGTCGAGTTTGAACACTACGAACGAGTTCGAAAGCTTAACGAACAAACACTAGTCTTTTTTGCAAATATTAACGAACACTTAAAATTTGACCGAATTTAATTATGACATGTGTTTATTTACTAATTATAGCTAAACAACGAATGTACGTACCCTAAAAAAACATGACAGGACAGACACATTAGACCTAGGCTCGTGATAATTTCAATCTATGCACAATGCAAAACGTTCATAATTTAATTTGTACTACTTTCCTTTTTTCCCCTTGTTAGTTTTCGTGGAACAATTGTATATTGGCCGAATTTAATTATATATAGGCACACTAGTGGTCACCCTGTACATGAATTTGTAAAAATATTATTATATATAATAAAAAAAAATTATAAATTTAATTGGTTGAACCTACACTCATAAAATTTAAAAAGATGCAACCTCTGCAACTTCATGAAAATGATGAAAATTACTTTAATTTGTGGGATCCATATTCATAAAAAAAATTTAAAAAAAAAAAATCAATAGGCCAAACACATGGCAACAAACTTTCAAGCCTAAATATTATATTATATATATATGAGCAGGGGCAATAAGGTAAATACATAAATATACAATAATATAGTTGTAAACTTTTTATTTTATCATTTTCATTTATCAAATTTTTTTATTTTCTCTTTTACTTTTCACATTTTTATTCTAATATTAAACGTAAAATAAATATTACATTATTTTATTATATTATATATTTATAAAATATATGGTTAAATAATTTATTTTTTTATTTTGGTATTGGAATTACTTTACACATGAAAAAAATATATTTTCTCAAAATCACTCAATCGAGGAAACAAAATCCAAAAAAATTAGAATTTTATTACACTATGGGTTGAATTAAGGAAGAATCAAATTATTTCAAAATATTGAAAATAAAGATTACATTAAAAAAACTTTGAAATCTAATAAGTTCTTATTTCCAAAGTACATATTTAAATATTTTTTTAAGTACATATTTATATATTTTTTTTACCGCAGTACATCGATTCTGCTAAATTTTCCTATGAAGTTGCAAAAATCATATAAAATTTGATTTTGATAGTTTTCAAAATTATAATTTTGTCAACTTTAATTCTATAAATTCATAAAACGTAAATTTATGTTCGTGTTGTCGTTCGAAAATTCGCCTTAAACAACTGATGCGATTTGGTCAATCAGGAGGTCGTCGGGGTAAGTTATCCGGTCTACTTAAAAAAACGTTTCCGCTCGATCTCGAATTTTTTTTTAAAATTTTAGAATGAATAAGAGGAGAATTGAAGCAATGATAATGCTGGAAACTTACACTAGAACCAAATAAATGTAGAAAAAATAGAATTAATATTGCAGAGATGAAATGTTGTAAACTGTAAAGATAAAAGTAGAAAAATAAAATGAATTAAATTAAAATCTTGAAACAAAGATATAAAATTAGAAGACAATTGCATAATTGTAACGAAAGAAAAACTGAAACGAAAGTCAAAAATAAAACGGAAAATAAAGTGAGAAAAAATAAATAAAAAGAATTGCGTTGAAGTCGTTATTTATGTCATTTGTCCGCGCGTGACATTAACCACACGCGCCATTAAGCTCAATCACGGATAAATATAGAACAAAAGTGATAATGAAATATAAATATGAGATATTTTTTGCAATTTTTCCAAGTGCGCCGTAATGCTTCATTTTATTTGCAAGATTCCCTGAGTACCTACTTCAATTACATCAACCAATTTGAAATTTTGACCAAACTTTGCAATTTTCCCAAGTCCCTTTTATGCCAATTATAAATGGGCTTTTTGCTCGATGTTGTTGGATCTCGCTTGATGCTATTGTGCTTCGCATGATAATAGCTCGATGCTACCGGATCTTCGCATGACAAATGGACTGAATTCCTTAGGAATATCCGATATTTTTTTGTAAGAAGTGGTATGACTCGATCAAATGCGAGGTTGCTCGTCATTGTGAGCCACTCACTCTTCAAGCTGTAAGTCGGTCTTATTGTGCACCTCGATCCTGTAAATTGTTAGATCGGCTTTGGACCAGGCCTCAACATCTTGTAGTATTGTGTTGCCCTCGTCATCGGTTAACATCGCAAGGTGACCTCTTTAACCGCAGTGTTGTCGTACATAAGCCATGGCTTGCCATGAGCGGCCAAGAACTCCTTCGATAATAATCCATTGTTTTAAGCTCGTTAGCTGGTATTGAAGGTTGTTAGGGGCTCGTTGTAGCTCCGTTGAAGGCTTCTGCTCATGGGAATAAATTTTTGTGCTATTTTGCCATGGAAATAGAGGTCTACTTACAGTAGGGCTTACGAAAAAAAAAATATGCACATTGTTGACATAAGTAGTCTATTTAATCCATTTAACCTATATTCAATATTGAATGGTCTGGCACCGGCTCATTCACGGGAGTTGGCCTAGCACCGATCCAACTCCTGGGGTATTACAACTATAAAGAACAAATATGCATGCTTTTTTGTAAAAAGAATGACCACATGAAGAATGTTGCATTGAGTTTAAGAACTTGCCCAATAAAAAAAGTCTCTCTTCTATATTTATTTATTATAAATTAAATACGGTAAATATTAATCATAACATATGCTGAATTAATTTCGGTTTTACAATTCATATTTTAATATCTTGCAAGATATAGAAAGTCTAAGAAAACTAATGGGAAGTAAACAATACATCTATTCAAACAATCAGATGTGTTCACCTCTATGGGCCATTAGGACATGCAACTCAGTATATGTAGTGGTTTTGTTTTAATATTGAAAATACTTTTTATATTCCTAATTTTTCAAAGAATTTGATTTCTATTTCAAGACTATGACATTTGGATTCTCATTTCACTTTATGCATACTAGTTTTACTTAGGATTTTAAATCTAAAATTGTCGTTGGTTATAGTGAAATTCAAGTTGTCTGTATTCAAATAATTTGCAAAATGACACTATATACGAATGAGAATTCCTCTATATTGTGACATCATCAATTGAGACATATCTCAATTGACAAAATTACAAGATTCGTAAATGAAAAAAGTACTTAGTGCTCTAGATTTTATTAATTTTGAAACTTGTATAAATTGCATTAATAAAAAGAAACTAACAACTCCATAAATGATGAATATGAGAGTTCAAATGTATTAAGAATTATTCATGCAAACATTTGTTATCTAGACATGAATAAAGGTGGTTCAAGATATTTTATTGCTTTCATTGACGATTGCTCCCAATATATGTATTTTTATTTACTTCATGCCAAGTATGAAGCTTTAAAAGTCTTCGAAGTTTTTAAGATTGAAGGAGAGAAACAATGTGGGAAAGAAATTAAAATAATGAGATCTAACAGAGATAATAGTACTATAGTAGATGCACGAAAAATATGATTGATGCCCAATACACTACGTCTAGCTCTCCTCAAACCAAAGTGGTTCTTCGGAGAAAGAAATCAAACATTTATGATAATAAAACAACATTGAGAATATCTACAAAAGTTAGAAGACCAACAATTTCTAATGATTTTATAGTGTATCTGAAAATATCAAACTACAATATAAAAGCCACAAATGATTTTGAAATATTTTCACAATCCGTAAATTTCAAATAATCTAATTTATGACTCAATCTTATGAAAAACGATATGAATTATATAACATCAAATAAAGTTTCAGATCTCGTTGAATTGTCTGGTGGTGTTGATGGCGTAAGTCATGATATGTAAATAGTCTTCAAATAAAAAAAAAGAAAAAAAAAAGACTTTAATGATAAGATTGAGAGACATAAAGAAGACTTATTTTCAAAAGATTCACTCAAAGAAAAGGAATCCATTATATCGAAATATATATTTGAACGTAAAAATAGACTTTTTAAACAGTGGCCTAAATAAAGTGGTTCACATGAAACACCATGAAACTTAATAATCCATAAAAGGACCGAAGCAAGCCTCCCGCCAATGAAACTTAAAATTTCATAAGATTATCACTTTATTTGGTTTTGAAAAAAAAAAACCACAGATTATTGTATTTACCAAAAAGCTAGTGGAGTCGTATTTGTTTATCTGTGCTATATGTAGATATTTTGCTTACAAGTAATGATAAAATGATAGTGTATGAGGTGAAACAATTTATTTCCAAGAACTTTGATATGAAAAATACGAAAGAGACATCTTATGTCATTCACATTAAGATCCATATAGATAAATATAGATATATTCTGAGTTTATCTCAAGAAGCCTGTATCAACAAAATTCTAGAAGTATTTAACATGAAAGATTGTTCATGTAGCTCATATTGTGAAGAATGATAGACTCAATATAAGCCAATGCTAAAAAATTATTTTGAAATAGAACATATGGAAAATATCCCTTATGTTTTGGCTTCAGAAGTCTTATGGGTTTGCGCTAGACCTAACATATCATTTGTTGTTGGAGTATTAGATAAATATCACAGTAATCTGGGGGTTGGACCACTAAAAAGTTATATAGAAAGTGATGAATTATCTTTGAAGTACAAAGATTTCGTGCTCATGTATATATAAAGTGATGTCTTGAAATTCATTGGCTACTCCGACTCATGCATTGACAATTGAAAATTCACATTGGACTATCTGTTTATGTTAGTTGGTGAAGCCATCTCCCGGAGAAACTTCCACAATGTATATTGAGTTTGTTTCATAAGGTTGAATTTGTTTTGTATTTTGAGGCCAACTTACATATTGTATGGTTGAAGAGTTTCACATTCGAAATTAGAGTTGTCAACTATATCTCTAAGCCAATTAAGTTGTATTCTAATAACTATGTTGTATTTATGGCTAAAAACAAAAATGAGAGTTGAAGTAAGCATATCGATATCAAATATTTAGCCATAAAAAAATATGTTAAATAAGGTGGTCATTGATAAAAAGTAATATTGCATATTCTTATTTATGAAATTTGATTTTGATCAATTTTAATATAATTTAATGGATTAAAATTAGAGAACTAACCATATATGGTCTAGTTTCTCAACCATGAAATTCATCGGGCCTCTAATTGTAAAATTAGATGAGAAGTTTTAAAAAATTGTGAAGATAATTTTTCTAAATCAATTTATTTAACTTCTCTCTATGGGTTACTAATCCCGCTCTCACAATTACGAATACACGGCATCAATTTATAATGAGCCAGAGTTTGACAACATAAGACTTCAATTCACTGCTCTCTCGCAAAGAAGGATTTAAAGTTACAATTCAATATGTAATGTTGGTAGTAATGGCTAGAGGTTAATTTTATCTATACATCTTCCCTTCCGCTAATTTAATCCAATTTAAGCATTATTAATTGCATTAGATATCCGCAAAATTTAATTACTTCTAACACATTATAGTAGTAAATTCGACTACATAAAATTCAAATCCTTAAAAGCTAAGTAGTAGTTGATGACCAAATTCACCACCACGTTGAAGATCAAAAGCCACCCGAATTGGGGATCAAATAGTACATATAAAGAAGAAACTAGTTTAATCCAAATTATGTAATTCATACACAAACTTATATTTATTAAAATTAATACATTGTTTTTCTCTATCCTGTATATAAATATATGTTTATATATTTGAAGGAACATGTATAAAAAGTTTGCATGTATTTAAAAAATAATAATAATGGGAATGTATACGCGGTAGAAAAATTACGCATACTAATAATAATAAAAATAAATAAATAAATTGCTATCCAAGTAAACCATCATGTCCATAGATAGATAATGATAGCCAATTAAAATGCATAATGCAACAATATATGTATATATATATATATAAAAAAAAAAGAACTAGTTTATGCACATAAAAATACCCTAATTTCTTGCGCTAATATTAACACAACCAAAGGGCATATGAAATGAAAGAAGAAACTATGTATATATAATGTATATATACATAAATTCTACCAATTTCAATATGTAAGGTAGGCCACAAGAAGATTATACACACCCCCATACCCACCCACCCACCCCGCCCCACACACATACATATATATATATATATAAATATATTCACAAGCTCCTCAATAAATTGAACCACGTGGTGAATAATAGTTAAAAGAAGATGGAGAGAGACCTTGGTCAACTTGTTGAATCAGCTGAGCATGGAAGGATGTCCAGTTTGGAGCATTCGCTTGAACATGTCCATCCCGAATGCAGAATCTGATGAACTGAAATAAGGCAGTAGAGAACTTATACATGTCTTCATGAAGATGTGATGAAAATAACATGGAACGATAATGATAATGATGATTTTGCAAGTATGAAGTACAGAATAACAAATCGATCAAAGATATCATAGGTTGTATATGTGTGTCTTTCTCTATGTCCCTTTCACTAATAGTCTAGGGTGTGTTCGTTTGGCAGACTTCCCAGAATATCTACTATTTATCAAAAAAAAATCCCAGAAAACATCAAATCAAATATCTATTTTTAATTTTTTATATTATACTAAAAATCAATTTTACATTCAAAACATCACATCTAACACCTATTTATATCACATCATACATTTATTGCAATACAAACCCCCAAACAAACACACCCTAACATTTCTAACCATTGCTTTATTATGACTACCATACAACACTGCTTATTGTTTACACAATATTACAACAGCTGAACCCAATAAGAATCATTATCAAAAAGGGCCTTCCTTTGTTGTTAATTGAGTGGTATGGTAAGGAATATCAGCATATGTATCCACAATCACTCTTGTTAAAGCGAGGGGAGGAAGTAATTGTTCCAAAGAGACGTATGGTATGATTTAGCGGTTAGCTCAATTTCTATTGTCATAAGCTTCTAAATTTGGAGCTTATTAACATAATAATCCTCACTTCATATCAGCAAAACACATCACGCGGCATGGTGCAAAATGTACTCACCTAACCTTGAAAAGAAGTTATAGATGAGTGCCAGTTTTGAAAGATTTAACTAGAATAATATAGGCATAATTGTTTCAATGTATTTTTAAAAGCACAAAAGTTCTTTTCTAGTAACTTGACAGTAGGGATTTCAAGTTCAAAATGAATAAAGAATGAGTGCTTGCATTACAGTATTTACCAAAGGAAAGATGCCATACCTTGAGATAGTAATTTCATAAGGAAACGAAACACCTTCAAAATTAGAGATTGGGGATACATGATCCTTCTTTGGAATTGGAGGGACATGATCCTTCTTTTCATTGACAAATCTGATTATCTGAAACAGAACATCACGAAGCGAAGATTCTAATGCTGCACGCCGAGCACTCCTAGCTTCAGCTGAATTCTCTATAAGCATAGGTGATAATGGATATGAAACTTTTCTTTTTTATTATTATTGCCAGTAATTAGTGAACATTAGAAAATGAAATAAAAGCTGATTGTACCTCCAGGATTAACTACAAGTTTGGAATGATGGTACTTGCCAGAATGGCCTTTTGGGTGTTGTGCTACATTTAGATTTAGGTACCACTGCTCCCAGAAGAGGCGCTCAACTCTGTTAGAGAACCATGAGGCTTGTTTGTTTTTTATTTCGTAGAAAGATAGACATATCTGCATCAATTCAATGAATTCAACAGTGTCCGAAAATTAACATGACTGCCTATTAAAATAACAGGCCAGAGTTCTAGTAGGGCTGTAGGTACTAACCAAAAAATATATATAATCAGCAAAGTCAATAAGATTATAGTACAACGCTCAACACTGGTAACATTGGTAAAAATCAAAAGACCAGTTCTTAAAACTACTTACATAACATACAAGCACCACATACATAACATACAAGTACCACATACTCAATGTTTATGAACCTTAGAATTGAAAATGTAATCAATTGTCTTATAATTTTCAGCCCATCAACAAATCAAAGGGAAATACTACGAGTCCTTTAATAAACAAATCACAAATGTAGTTGTTATATCCATACCCATAGGAAGCAAACTTCAGAGATAGAATCAGACCAAATTTAAATGTTTTAAACATATTCTTATGTTCACAACTTGTTTGAATGGAAAAACATAATAAAGGGGTAAAAAAAATTGATATTTATACCAAACTGAAAATTAGGAAAGCAGTTACCTACAAACCTGATTTTTTTTGTTTGGATGTTTCTCCACTCTTTCAATAAATTGATCAATTTTCTCATCTATTTTTCTCTCAAGCTCTACATCACCACATTGCACCTACACAAGAATTAGATTTCATCTCAGAATACAACATAAAGAATCAAATTTAACTCATAGAATAACTTCAAAATGTTCGTCAGCTTTGCACCAATGTTTAGAAGATACAGATTTGCTATTAAAGATCAATCAGGAACATATACCATATTGTACTAATTAGTTCATGATTTGAGCAAAAATATGTACTTACATATGTAATCTCAAAGAGCTCCAGATCAACATCTTTTGGACGCACTAGACCTAAAGCTCTGTGAAAGAATATGGTATGCAGAACACCTGTAATTCAAGTCTCAAACATTCAATATATTAATAGTTCTTGATCTTGAGCATAAAGTACAAATTCCAATAGAATTCAGTGATTCAATTCCCCATTACTTCTACTAAGAAACCAAGATTGATTTATTAAAATAGATAGAAGCATCAGAAACTAATCTAGACATCAGATCCTCATTAATATGAACAGGATAACCTAAATTTGGAGAATACGAATCCACTCCACCAGAGCTCACTGCAACTGTGCAAATAGCTTACTAGAAAAAATAAAGATATCATCACACAACAGCAAAAGTAGTGCACAGAAATCCAAAACCCTAAAACCTCAAACCGATATTCGTTGTTAAGAATTTAACAATCAAAATTAGACTTTAAGTAAACAAAACGACCTACGTACTAGAACAATCGAGCGATCGCCATAAATCAAACCCTTCGAAGATTAAAGTTAGGGGAATCAAACTTACAGCTTAGAACTTCACGTATCTCGAAGTGCTCGACCTCCTATTTTCCGGGAACAAAATCACAAAATTTCCGTTGAACTCAGATCAATTGCTCGCCCATAGAAACAAACAAACAGTGATTCAGATAGATAATATACAGCATACTTACGAGTTCTTTAAGCTGGCAAACTTCGCAATTCATGTCGATTGCTGTGTAGAGAAGGTCGATCGTCGTCGCTTTGGCACGAGAACTCAACGTACACAGGAACATCTGTTGAGCGGCGGGTTTATATATAAATCGGGTTACCGGATAGATCGGGTCGGTTTGCGATTATCTGGGCTAGGCTAGGCTCTGCTGAAGAACTCAAAATAATTGCATTATGGATTACTGGATTTCTTTGAGTATTTTTTCTAATAAAATACTATTAAATTAAAATATTATTTAAATTTAAATTTAGATAAAATAATATTATTTAAATTTAATTTAGATAAAATTTGGGAGTGTATTTCTTTTAATGAGTTTGAAAAAAATTTAGTCTGAATTTAGTATTAAATAATATTTGATATTTGGTAACAATAAAAAAAAATATATTTTTTTCGAAAAAACATAATTCAAATAGTAAGACCTTGAATTTTGAGATTAAATCTCAAATCAAATCCAAACAAACTCTCTAGTTGTTTGTTTGATTGTATTTTAGAAGAAATAATAACATTATATAGACAATTATTTTATATATATACAAAGTCAATTAACAAAATATCAAAAATTCTTAAGCATTTTCACTGATTAATAAAATATTATTATTTCTTAATTTACTACATAACCCCAAAGGCTCGAGACGAAGAGAGTATTATTCTTTCAAAACAAACACACCCTATATTAGACTATTAGTCTTTCCGAGTTTTAATTTTATATCGGCAGACTAAACTTATGAATAATCTATTCAAAAGTAAAATATTTTATTCACTCATAATTTTATACTTCTAATTTTAAAAATATATATATATCATTATTATTTTATTTATTCCACTATTTTTATTTTTTTTACTATCTACTTAGAGTGTATTTAACAATTAGTTGTTAACTTATTTGACTCGCTTAGCTGGTTTTACTAGCTGATTCGATTAGTTGCTTGTATTAAAATATTTAGTAAAGTAGCGATTTAATAGCAGCGGTTTACACGAAAAATAACAATCAAGGACATTTTATATTTTATTTTTAAAATATTTAATTGAATTTTTTCGATGGATAGATTTTTTATAATTTTATTATTAATTTTAAAAATTAAAAAAAAAATTAGTAAGATATTTGTTTTTATTATTTTAAAAATATTTTGTAAACAATTAATGTAAGCTTGTTTAAAAATATACTATATTTTTTCATATATAAATATAAAAAAGAACAAAAGTTATTATTATATATATTTTTATTAGATTAAATTTTCATTAGTATATATTTATATTAAATTTATAGTTTTAAATAAATATATTCATTTTTAATAAAAAAAAATACTATGTGATAAAAAAATATTATATAATTGATTCAATAATATTAATATTTTTATATTATTTTTATTTAAAAAATTTTAAAAAATTATAAATAAAATAATTGACATATAAAAAATAATTATTTTAAATTTATAAATATGAATTTATAAGTTATTGGAAGAAAATATATCTAAATAATTAATAAATATTGTAATATAAAAATATATGAATATATGTGAAAGAAATTAATTAATTTTAAGGACAAATAAAGACTAAATAATAAGAAAAATTAAAATGAAAAAACTAATTTGAAACGCGGGTATATACAACGTTTTCAAAATTAGCTTTTTGAACCCAATAAGCTATTTAAAAACGATAATTTACCAAACACCAAAACTAGTTAATTTATTGGTCAACTCAAAAAAATGTTTACCAAACGCGTCATTTCTTAGTAGAATCATTTATTTTTTTACTAATTTTAATATTAGCATATTATTATTTTTAAATTTTATGTTCAATAAAATTCATTAATCTTTTTTAATAGAGGGAATATATATTTGGAGGGTCTTTGACAAATACTCCCTCTGTCCCAAACAATATGCAACATTTATTTTTGGCACAGATTTTTAAGTAGGTAGTATTAAGTAGGATAATTTAAAAATTAGATGATGTGACGGGGAGAGAAATATATATTTTATTTTTTTATTTGGATGATGTGAGAGGATAAAGTGTGGGGGTAGAGATTAAGTATAATTAATTATTTCATATTTTAGAAATATTGCGGGATGTTTGGAACATACAAAAAGGAAATGTTGCAGGGTGTTTGGAACGGATGGAGTAGCTTTTTTAAGAGCTTTTAGCTTATTGAACAACTTCTAATTGTTTGACCGATCAAAAAACTAATTTAGGTGTTTGGTAAATTAGCTTTTCAGAATAATTTTTTGGACAAAAAAAACTAATTTTTGAAAAGCTAACTTACTCACGGTTTTGAAATATTTTTTCTGTAAATTTTTTTTTTATTTTTTATATGCCCTTAAAAATTTATTATGTATTTTACACAAATAAATATATTTTGATTATTTATTAATTATATTAGAATATTTTATTATATTATAGTTTTACTTTTATAAATTTAAAATAATTAATTTTTATATAAAAATTATTTTAATTGTAAAATATATAAATTTATTAAAATCAACATAAAATAGAAAATATAAATATTAATAATTTAATTTTATATTAAAATTACATTGTATAAATTTTATGCTAAAAATAAATTAAATAAATTAAATTTATTGAAAATTATAAATATAGTGAACTAATCGATAATTAACATAATAAATATATACACGAAAAATTTATTAGTTTATATTTTACATCATTTTCAATAAAAAAAAACTATTTATATATTTCAATAAAAATATATTATTTTTAAAATCTAACTATAATAGAAATAAATATTTTTATAACACTTTTACAATTTTCAATAACTAATAACAAAATAATTTCAAACATTCTAAACTCAAAAGAACATAATTGAATATATTATAAAAAAAAATTAGAAATGTCCTCAATTGTCATTTTACGTATAAACAACTAATATCAAACAGTTGTAGCTAATAGCTAACAGCTATCAGCTAATTGCCAAACACGCCATTTATGTAAATATGTACTGAATTTTTATGATATTTATTAGAAAATATGTCAAAATAATTTTGGGGAAAAATACACTAAATAAGTTGCTGTACTCCTTTTATCCCTTGTCTATGTATGTGATTGTTTTTTTGCACGAAATTTTAAAAATATTAATATTATATTGGAGGTGTGGTATGAATAAAGTATACAATACTAAAATAACCTTATTAGTATTGTATGATATAAATGTAATGATATTTTTGTAATATATTGTAAGTTATAAAGGTATTTTTAATGTTGATTGAAAGTACAGTTACTAAAAAAGAAATGAATATTTTGTTACGAGATAAATTAATATAAAAAAATTAATAAATTGTTAAGAGAATAATGAAGTATATTATAATATTAAATTAATTAGTTTTAATATTTCATTATATCGTACTTAATGTATGATATTATATATTTAATTAAATTAATTTATATTTGTTATATATTTTTTAAATGAGTATAATTTACTATAATACAAATGTGTTAAAGTAAAATGAGACAAATTAAAATTAAAATAAAAAAATATGTTAATTATTTTGGGATCCATAATATATATTTTTTAAATAATTTAGTTGTATTATTATGATATAACAATTTAATAATCATATATATTATTCAACTTATAATTATTTTACAAAAAAATTAAAACTAAATTAAAATTTTGTAGAAATTTTTACTTTTGAACAATTTTAAAAATAGTAAAAGTTTGAAAAAAAAATATTTTTGATTTCATTGTAATTATAATAATCAATTTTTGTCCAATTAATTTTTATTTTTTTATTTTATCAATTTTTATCTTATTGAGGATAACTAACCTAAATTGAACATCGTATAAGACTAACTAAACTTCAAAGACAATCGATACAGTCGTGTTTATTTTCTGAATATGACAATATTCTCGGCCATGTCTCGGTCGAAATCATATTCTTTCTCTATTCAAAATGTTTAATATATAAATAAATTATTTTTATGTTAGATTTGTTATTTTGTAATTTTAAATTGAAATAACATTATTCAATATAATTTCATTACAAATATACTTTTTTATCGATGTCTAATTTTTGTGTTAAAATATTTGGACAGAAGTTTAATAAAAGTGTATTTGTTACTTGTTATTTTTTATAGTAAAAAAAATAACAAATAATGTATTTTTTTGCTGAAAAAAAAGAATTTATAATAATCCAAAAAAATTATTATAAATTTGAATAATGAAAGAATATTATTTTTTTCACAAAAAATATCTTAAAATAATATTTAAATAAAATTTCAGATTAATACTTAATTTCAAATCACAACCAAATATATATTATTATTTATATTATTATTCTTGATAAATTAGTAATTAAGGTTTTAAAATGATTTATGCTTTTTCTCAAAAACACCCCTAAAATGCTTTTCAAAAAGTATTTTTAGGGTGTGTTTGTTTTGGGGTTTGGGTTTTGGATTGGAATTCGAATAGTAAAAATTTTGAATTTAAATAGTTGTATAATGTGATATAAATAGGTATTGATGTGATATTTTGAACGTAAAATTGAATTTTAGTATTATATAAAAAATGAAAAATAGGTGTTTGATTTGATGTTTTTGGGAGAAAAAATTGGATGAATAGTTGGATTTAAACACAATCCTCCAAACAAACACACTCTTAGAGTGCAAAACTTGTTTTGTTTTCCTCAAAAGTCAACGCAAACAAAAAATAATACTTCATCCGTTCATAAATTAATATTTTATTTTTATATTTCGGACGTTCAATAATTATTTTTTTTTTATAAACACAAATTTTATTTTTTTTTATCATTTATTCATTTATCACTTTTAATCTCTATCTTATCATAAATAATAAATTTGTCAATTTATATAAAAAATAATTATCTAAAAAGATCTTACAAATATATTTTAGCACAATAGAAAATAAAAGTAATATTTTTTCAAAAATAATTTAGTAAATTATCTTAACAAACCATATGTTCTCAACGAATAATTTATTTTCTTATATATATTTATTAAAAATACTACTCCCTCCGTCCCACATAATTTGTCCATGTTTTCTATTTTCGTCTATCCCACGTAACTTGTCATTGGAAATATAACTATGTACGCATTTTAAATTTTAAATTTTTATAATTTTCTTTATTTTAATTAAATTATTTACTTATCTTAATCTTAGTCTATAATTAATTTTACTAAATAATAATTATTTTTATTAATATACTTCTTAATTATTTACTAATTATATTTTACTTAAATTCTCGTATATACAGTAATAGTCCATATTTTTTGGGAGGGAGGGGGTAATATCAATACTAAACATTTATTTACAAATGTAAATAAAAAAAAACACCAAAAAACAGATAAAAATCTGCACACCCTATCCATCCCAAAACGACGTCGCTCTACTCAAGGTCCTCCATTTGTCCGCATTAGTCACAAAACGACGCCGTCGGCTTTGAAACAACCCTTTTCTTCCCACAACCGCTGTAACTAAAGGCGAATGAACACACATATATATATACACACAATACTACTAATCCCTCCGATCACAGGATATCCCAAAAATATCTCCCGACCCCGCTGGAATTACCAAAACGCCCACCCTCTACCATTCCTGCCTGCCCGAGTCGCCGGGGGCAAAACCGACTATTCACTTCTCCGATCGTCTTCCTTCCCGTCGGGTCAACTGTGTACGGTAACTGCCGGCCGGCCGCCGTCGGGCGGACTGAGTAATGTGGATGAACTGAGTTCCGACCCTCGAAGCCGTCTTAGGTTTACTTTCGTTGGCTCGAATGGATCGGGCAGCGATAACGGTGGGTCCGGGTATGGATATGCCGATCATGCACGATAGCGATCGGTACGACCTCGTTCGCGATATCGGTTCGGGTAATTTTGGCGTGGCTCGATTGATGCGTGATAAGCAGACGAAAGAGCTCGTTGCGGTTAAGTATATTGAGCGAGGGGAGAAGGTTAGTTTTTATTTTGTTTTTTTGTGGTTTTTGCAGTTGGAGTATTGGATTGGATGTGCTTCGGTTTAGCAAGTACTTGTGAATGCTTGTGTTCTTATTGTGAATACACTTGATTTTGAGTTGATTTCACTTGTTTTTATATAATAATGGCTAAATTAAGAAAATTAACATCTGAAACTTTGGAGTATCTAAAGCTTTCTGCTTCAAATAAGGAAACTATTTATGATGAATTTTATTTTGGCTATTCTGCAAAGAGGATTTAGATTTTGAATCAATTGCGTAAACCTATTTTACTGGATGTTATGAATTAGTTTCTTGTTTTAATAAAGCATATCCATTCTTTTGTTCTAAATTCTGAATCTCTTAAATGTTATATGCAAATGTTTTATTGAGGGTTTTATGGTATTAAAGAAGTTTTATGTGGGTGTTCTTTAATGAACTTTTTAGAAAGAACAGAATAATGCATAAGGAAGACATATATGAGTTCATAAACAAGTGAAGGTGAAGCTAGATGAAGTTGACTAATAAATGTATGGCTGATGCCTGTCTATAGTTTTGCACATTGAATTTTTAACTTGACCATAGAAAATCTAATCATAAAAAACATTATAACACCCATTAGATTGGATATTTGATAAGCAAACCGATATGCTAAAAAGGTCATTAGTTCGGCCATCGTGTATCTTACTGTGTTAGAAAGCTCCAAACTAGGCCTTACCTAAACACAGGCACTATACTTTACCCAAATCTGAAATAGTCAAGATTGCTATATGTTTGGACTTTGGAGATAGAATGACCAGATCACTAGACACAAAACAATGAAATCATAGCTGGAAATGACACTTTGTTTATTTTTGGCAAGCGATTAATTGCTTCTTAGCGACTACTACGCTAGTTCTTCTGGACAATGGTTCTTGGAATGGAAAATATAGCCTTTTTGGTGACCGGACCATCTTTTCCTAGGTTCATTCAGATTCTGTATCTTGGGCTTCTCTATTTTGTTTCACAGCTTATATGGAGCTTTTATATCTTCAAAATTTCCCCCAAAAAGTTTCAATGCCGCACCTACTTGGCCCAACCGACAACTTCACTAGGTTTATGTGCTCATGATATTTTCAATCCAATTCAGTTAGGCTTCTGAAACTAGTGAATGGTGTAGAACCTTTTGGCTTATTAAATCTTTTTTCGCATCAATATCGGATTAGGATATAGTTACCTTTTATTATGAAAGACAGTTATTCTTTTGAATAGTTTATGATACTGCTGTAATTCAAAATGATAAAAAGGGATCTGCAAATATTAATTTTCAACTTCTTACATTAATATAAAACTTAGATTATTCATGTAACCGCAGGCTTTTTGAATGCAAGACATTTATTTGTTGTCCATGCAACGAGTTGTCATGGAAATAACTTATAATGAAAATACAGCATTGAACAAACTAATAAACTTGCACGGCGAACAAAGCAAAATATTCCCAAGAACAAGAAACCATAGAACCTCCTAATAGAAGAGTACTAACAAAAATGAAATGAAAATATATTACATGATAAAATAAATAGAAAGCAAAGATAAGTGATTTATGTGGAAAAAATGTGACTCAGGAGAAACAAGACAAAATGTACAAAATATGCTAAAATTAGTCAAGAATGAATTAATGGTAAGTAGACCAATAGAATCTCTCGAGATGCTAGAATGATTCGAGTGTATCTCAAAAGAGTGAAAGCTTGATTAAATGCTTTCTTGTCACTATCTATTAACTGTACAAATCTATTGAAAAACATACATAAAGGATAAAATAGATACATGACAGTTTGCAGTAATGCTAACTAACTTGCTGATTTAGAGATGCTGCACGTCAACATGGGTTGGTGGGATATTGGCCCTTATAAGTGAAGCTGGCAAGTGCAACATTTAGATGTTTTCGTCATTGCTCCCAGTGATAGCATACGTCCTCTGCAAACTTCACGAGCTATGTCTTCAGCACACTCCATATCTGATTTAATGTAATCCGAGTTGCCAAATCTAGCATGGGCATAGTAGATAGATGCATGTTTTTACAGTTAACATATCCGGAGGAAATTTAGCCACTTTTCTTGGTTAAATGAGATTCCTCATTCCATTATCACTCACGAAAATATAAGTTCCTCACCCTTCTGAATTATTAGATTTGTGTCCATTGGGTTAAAGAATAGCAAGTTCAACTTTGTTTCAAATGAGAATTGAACGTTCTCTAAGTTACAACTCCAAACCCAAAGCTAGTTATATTTCATAGCTTGTCAGCCTTCTTAATTTACCCCAACAATGCATTATCAGTTTCTTTGTTAACTATTTCATGTACATGTGAGTTAAATGCGTATTATATCCTTTGATAAACAAAATCAGCAACTGTATTCTGTTAAGTGATAATTATTCAGAAAGGGTCATTGATGTTATAAAAATGTAATCATTGCCAAGTTAATTTGATGTAGAAATTTGTGCCACAAACGACGAAAAAGAACGCTTGAGAAAGAAAAGAGTTCGCCAACCTTAGGTGTGAAATTGTCGTGTATCCTATTGTCCAACTAATGAAAATGACAGCCTGTTGTCATCATCGTCATCACTTTCTCTACCAGCTTCTTCTTTATGATACAAGTTATCTGAAATGAAGTTTCAATCCCGCTAATTTGTATCGCTGTGTTTTTCTCCAATATTCGACCATCTTTCTCCTTCCATTTCTCATCCCAAAATTATTCTCTCTTAAGGCTCTACCAGTGAACTTTGTCTTTGACAAGACGAAATCATTATATATCAACCCTTCTTTCCTGAAAAAAAAAGAAAAAGCCCTTCTTTCCTAAACCACCCTTTCTTTCTTTTGAATTTCTAAGAAGTGGTGACAATGAGCTGTGGCACAGAACAGAGTTCAAATGAGTTAGGTTCTTCTCATGTTGAAGATAGTTCTGGCGTTGTTAATCAGTTAGTGGCTTTGTGGGAAAGAAATGCATCTCCTGGTACTGTACCAGTTGTACATGACAGTGACCGCTATGAGTTTATTAGGAATATTGGATCTGGTATATGTGGGAAAACCCGGCTCATGATGGATAAACAGACTAATAAGCAAGTTGCTATCAAGTACATCGAAAGGGGCAATCGGGTTAGTTGTGATTTGTTTCTATACCATTGGAATTTAGGGAAATTTCAATAACAAATTTTCTTTTCATCTTCTGTCGGATTGAGATCTGGTAGTGGTTTTAAGGAAATATAATCATTATTATCTTACTCTGAAATGTCCGAAAATGCTATATTTTATTTCTGCCGTCAGTGAATGTTTTTTTAGATTCTTCAGGGACCATGTCCTGCCTGGTGACTTTGATTTCATATAGATCTTTTACATCTTCTTTTTTGGTTTATGGACTTGTTGACTGGGAAAACTTATGCTTTGATCTTATTATAATGAATAATTGTGAAATAATTTGATTGCAGATAGATGAAAATGTCAAGAGAGAAATTATTAATCACAGATCTTTGCGGCACCCTAACATTGTTAGATTTAAAGAGGTATGTTACTTATTCTTTCCCCTGACTTGTACACGACTTCTAAAGTAATCACACACCAGTTAATCTCCGATAATTTACTTAGGTGATTCTTACACCTACGCATCTGGCTATTGTGATGGAGTATGCCTCTGGAGGAGAGTTATTCGAGCGCATATGCAATGCAGGACGCTTCAGTGAGGATGAGGTTCTTTGTTTGATCTTATATACATATACGTATTATTTGCTTTGTATGATATGAATGTTGCCTTTTGGTGTACTTATGGTCGTATTTATGCTCATTTATCTGCAGGCTCGTTTCTTTTTTCAACAACTCATATCTGGAGTGAGCTACTGCCATTCAATGGTATCAAGATTCCTATTTATTATGCTTTCAATTGCACAATATCATACTTTAAGTCTAATTAAAATCTGATTTATCCATCTTATGTTTCTTTCCAAGCAAATATGTCATCGAGACTTGAAGTTGGAAAACACTCTCTTGGATGGTAGCCCTGCCCCCAGGTTGAAGATATGTGATTTTGGGTATTCCAAGGTGATCCTTTTAACCGAACCATGTCAGATTTCTTCAACATAGAAATTGACACACGATTATTGCAACCCTTTACTCATTGGCTTAATGCTATCTTAATCTGAAACACCCTTTCCTTTTGCCGCCTATATAAAATGATGGTATTAATTTCTGTTTTTGGTTCTGCAACTGTGCTTTTTACAGTCTTCTTTGCTGCATTCACAACCAAAATCTACAGTAGGAACTCCTGCATATATTGCTCCTGAGGTATTACGTCGGAAAGAATATGATGGCAAGGTAGGCATTTCATTTCTTTCTTAGCAAACATTTACAAATGATCATATATACCTAACCTATTCTTTCTCATGAATTTGACTGAACCTCTAACCTATGTCTTCCTATATACTTATCAGCAAGATATAGCATATTCTCCACCTCGGGCATTGCTCTGAGCTAGTTAATTATTGTCTTCAAGCAAAATATATATATATATATATATTTTCTTGTGTTAGACTATTATTTGCATATTCTATCAGCTGTGCCCTTTCGTTCTTTCATTTCCTCTACGGGCGAAATGTGAATGTTCCTCTCCCCTTGTTTCAGATTGCAGATGTGTGGTCATGTGGGGTTACATTATATGTTATGCTGGTTGGTTCCTATCCATTTGAGGACCCTGCAGAACCAAAGGACTTCCGTAAGACAATCCAAAGAATCCTAAATGTTCAGTACTCCATTCCAGAAACCCATCAAATATCTGAGGACTGTCGGAGTCTAATCTCGAGGATCTTTGTTGCTGACCCTGCACAAGTGAGTGATTCACTTTGAATTGAAATTTATATTTTATTATCAAAGCATCATATCTTTTTATTAAAAGAAATTTTTAGAAAACTTTGTGCATAGGATCTATAAGTGCCTATTCTTATTTTAGCCCCACCAGAAGCTGGTTGCATAAATAGTCCCATAGGTTTAACAGTCAAGATCGATAATAAGAACAGCCAGTGATGTGTAATTAATTATAGGAAAAAATGTAGTTTATGCATGCAAATTGTAAATTTTGGATGAAATTACAATAGAAATTTAGACTGCACAAAAGTGTCCTGTGTTTTCTGTAAGATAGTGAATTCTTATCTGCAAATTTTTATTTAAAATTGCATAGATTTGAGAATCAGTAGTAGGAATTTATGTGTAGGACGACACATTCTCTCGTCTTGTGGGACTAAGAAAATCAAATCCTGGTATTGCACATCTATTTATTTTGTTTTGTTTTTCCTCCGCCTCTGGTCACCTGAGTTTTTTATTTGGTCAGCGCATTACAATACCCGAAATCACAAACCATGCGTGGTTCCTAAAGAACCTTCCCGCGGATCTTGTGGATGAAAAACACCAATTCGAAGAGCCAGAGCAGCCAATGCAGAGCCTGGAGACCATAATGCAGATAATCACGGAAGCAACTATACCTCCCCCGGGTCTGTACAACCTGGACATGGAAATGGACATGATGGATGAAGATATGGAAGACTTCGACTCTGACCTTGATTTTGATGTCGACAGCAGCGGAGAGGTCATTTATGCAATGTGAACAGATATCTGAATTCGACCTTTCAAAAGCACATTGCCAAGAAGTCAAGTCTCTGGTATGTTGTCGTCCATCTGTCGTGTTTATGAGTTTGGGATCGGCATTGTGCATGGTTGTGTGTAACTGTATATTGCGTCTTCGTCTTGGGCTTTTGTTTATCGGTTGCTCCGTGTTCGGCGTTTTCGCCGTTAAATTGTTTGTTGTGACTTTTGTATGAAGAAGGAAGGCAGTGAAGTCGGTCAGTGTATTTGTATTTTGATGGTGTTGTACTTGTATGCAGTGCAGACCTATTTTGTTGGTTTATATTGTGGTGTTTGTTGAACCATGGATATGGAAAAATAATAGTAATAATAATTTATCAGTAGTAGTAGAAGAAGAAGAAGTTCAATTTGGTAAGAATGATATGATAGATCCATATATCTATGTTGTTTGTTATTTAATTTTTTAGTATTGGACTAAAGTTTATGTTAGGCCCAAGTAAAAGTCCGGCCCAAAAAATAAAGATCCGTCTGGATCGGGGTTTTGAACCCGACGTGAATCGAACACGCAACCTTCTGATCTGGAGTCAGACGCGCTACCATTGCGCCACGGATCCTGTTGTTTGTTTTTATCATATTATAAATTTAAATATAATTAATTTTGAAACATTGAGATTTTGTTCCTGGTAGTAGTTAGTATAGCTTTGTTCTTCTCACGCTGTGAACGCTATCGGGAACTGAAACGAGGTACGAAACCCTTCTGCTTCCTTCGTCTTTGCTTCTTTACCTTTCTCGTTTTTTGACTAACAGTTTATGATGGAATTTGGCTTCGCCTTTCTTATTTAATTACGTAGTCTGATGCGGTTGGAATGATACCGCAATTGCGAACTTTTGGCGAAATTAATTGATTTGCCTCTGCATCTTTTTTTTGGCTTCCTGGAACTATGTAATCTGAATTTATTATCCTTATTTCTTCGGCGATAACGCCAGTTCATGCTTTCGAAATGCAGATTGGGTATTTTGGCACGAATGGGTTTCAGCTTTTGATTTTTATTGGCCTGGACTGTTGGTTCTCTTCATTTGTTGTGGTTATTGACTGTCAAGTGCCGTCTGAATGTGATTTTATTTTTCAAAACCCTAAATTTTAAACCCTGAGGCATGGAAGGGACTTAGGTTTCCTTGTGACTGTACTTAGTTATGTGAAATTGGGGCCATTTGGTATCCATCGACATATCTATAGTTCCTTGGAAGATGGCTGTAAATGCAATATTTCATATTTTGGATGATGGAATGAAGAATGCTGATCATTTGTTTTATTCATTTTTAAATTAAGAACAACAATGCAAATTGGAATGGATAGTTTATGATTATTATATATTTTTTATAATCTGTTTCATGTATATATATATGTGATGTGAAATATTATTGTGTTCAGTTCTTGGTGGAGAGGAATTTGAACTTGGAGCTGGAGTATGATTCTAAATGGCTTCTCTTTGAATTCTGGGGCCGTTCATTTACCCTCTCGTCACAGAAAGACATGTAGCTATCGCTCTCAAAGCGCCACACTTTCCCGACAACCCCCATCTTCCAAAAATGTTATCTCTTCCTCCTGGAGAAGTTTGTGGGAATGTCCTTTAGAAGCGAACCTGGGTGGTTCTTCTGGTATGTGCCCTACTATACTTCAATAATTCAATATATCGTAGATAAATGAATGTTTATTGTAGATGGGGCGGATGACTTGTGGCATGGTTTGTAGTCCACGTGGTTCTTGTCATTTATACTTATTAATTCATTTTCCATGGCATGATTTGTTGATGGCGGTCTAATTTTCAGTACCATTTTTATTTTCTGTAATACATCCTTCCAACTTGGCTTCTTGTTGTTATCTTGTTCGTTCGATTGGAAGTGATTGCATTAGCCTACATGCAGTAGGATGACCTTTTGTCGATCATTATTAAATTATTCAACATTGTGCATCTTCCATAATATTAACAGTGACTCCGTTAGGGATTTGTTTTTGTTTAAGGTTCGGTTTTTATCTCGCATTATGCATCTATTTTTATTTATGTAATATATTATAAAAAGGATCAATTTTTCATTGAAAATATCATTTCAAATAATTTTCACTGTTACCAAACCCCAAATTCAAATCCGAACTTTATTAAGAAACACACGCATGGTTGCAAGTAGGAATTGCTTGGAAGTACGACTCATAGTATTAAATTTCTGATTATTATTGCAGGCATCCGGCACGGCCATCTTTCTGCTGCATCGACCCCATCGTTACTAGGCGAGCTAGGTAGCTTGAAACACACCCTACCCACGTCACCCAAGCGGCGTAATTTTGTAGGTCCCGTGCGAGCATCCAAGGATGTCCCGTACAGCTACAGATACCCCGCGATGACAAAAAAGCCAAAATGGTGGTGGAGGACTTTAGCATGCCTCCCATACCTGATGCCGCTCCATGAGACATGGATGTACGCTGAAACGGCGTACCATCTCCACCTATTCTTGGAAGATTTCGAATTTCTCACGTACCCCTTCCTCAGAGCAATTTCAAGATTACCGAGCTGGTTCCTGATGGCCTATTTCTTCGTTGCATACCTTGGAATCGTACGGCGCAAAGAATGGCCGCACTTTTTCAGGTTCCACGTGGTCTCGGGTATGCTGCTGGAGATCGCGCTGCAGGTCATTGGGACTGTCAGCCGTTGGATGCCGTTGGCTGTGTATTGGGGTAAGATTGGTATGCATTTTTGGACGGCCGTCGCCTTTGCTTATTTGTTCACCGTTTTGGAGTGCATTCGATGCGCCCTTGCCGGGATGTACGCCGATGTACCGTTCGTGTGCGACGCTGCTTACATTCAAATTCCGTATGACTAAGGATACGAGGTATGTAGATTGTCCTAAGTTATAATTATGTGTTTTTTTTTTTTTTTTTTGAAAATTTGAGCTGTTGAAACCTACATGTTTTGTTTGAATATTTTGGCTATTTGCTGTTTAGCTTTGTTCGACATTCTACCTGCAGTTTCTATAGTGAGAATTTATTTCAAGCCAAGTTTTGATTAGATAGAGGTTTTGTTTGTTTTGGTTATTTATTTGTGATTTTGATAGTATTTTGGATATTTTTCCTTTTTGGAAAAGAAATACTCCCTCCGGCTTCTAATTGTATGTTCATTTGATCAGTCAAGAGTTTTTAAGAAAAATAGGTAAAAAGTAGAAAATATGGTATTTTTTTAACAAACAAGATGAAATGAGAATAAATTTGAATGACAATAAAAAAAATATTTAGATTGTGTTCTTTTGGGTTGGTTTTATCAATTTTTACTATTTGGATTCTTTTTTTCCTTATAAAATATTAAATCAAATAATTATTTTTCTTTTTATATATTATACTATAAATTTATTTTATCAAACAATTTAAATTTAATTTTTTACTATTCAAAAATTCAAATTCAAATATTTATTGATTACATGGTCGTTCCAAAAGGGTTATGAAAGAGATGGCTTTGCGAATATTTTGTTGGAACTTATCAGCTAAGTCTAATCTTATTCCATTTAATTGACATAAATAAGTCTTGCAAAGCCTATGACGCAACCCTATTTGTAAAAATTTGGTAATTTATTAATTGAGTGATAAAGTTAATTAATAATAAGAGATATATATTAGGATTGTGATATCAGGTTTAGGCGAGAGATATATATCAGGATTGTGATATCAGGTTTAGGTGAACAATCATTATTTTTCATATCTCATCGTGAAAGTAACATCGGATCCAAATCCGACAATGCTAATGAAATCAAGTTATATTTATTAGTTATATATATATTTTTTTATCTCAATTATTTCAAAACTATAGATCTTAGATTTATGGTGCAATAAGTTCCAACAAAAAATATATTTATTAGTGTTGTAATATACAAATATTAGAATTTTTTTTAATTTTAAGTACAATGACATAAAAAAAACAAATAAATAAGTTGTTAAGCGTTGTATTTTGTATTGACTTACTACTTATACGACGAAAAAAATATAAATATATATATATATATATTGAAAATCATACCATAAAAAATTTTGATTGTGTAAACATATTTTGTATTTGAAATACATATTTTTCGTTTTGAATTTGTAATCCAGAATCGGTGAGCTTTTTTCAAGTAAATCTAGTAACTTCAAAATTATACAAATTATGTAGCTAATTCAAATAAAGCTCAAAATTAATAAAATTGAATTGACATGCAAAATAATACTATTATTTCAAAATATTATTTAGAATTAAAAAAAATATTGCCAGTAATCAAGGCCCAATTAGCCCAGTCCATTTGTGGGCCTCGGCCCAGACAAGAAGCCCAATTTAGGGGGCTGTTTGCATCAAATCACAGCCTGGGGTTTGGAAGGGTAGTGCACACGCGCTATGGGGAAATTTGTTAGGATAATGAAAGAGAAAATAGCAAAAATAACAAAACAACATACTATACTTAGGGGCATCATATTTTTTAATATATATATATATATATATATATACTAACCGTCCACAATAAAGTTGAAAAAGAGCTTTCGTGCATATTCGAAAAAAATGGCGATTTTTCGTTTGGATAACCGTCGGATGGAGCTAAAGAAAGAAATTTTCGATTTAATGCCTATAGTTCAATTATAATTTTTTTGATTGTATTTAATTTAATCATAGTAGATTTTCTTCTTAGAGTGTGTTTGGTACAGAGAATTGGCCGCAGAGAAATGATAATGTGTTTCCATTTCTCTTGTTTGTTTCAGACAGAGAAATGGCAAGAGAAATGGAGGTTGAGAAATAAATATTTCTATTTCTCTATTTTTATTTCTCTCCTATATTCAGAGAAATAGAGAGAAATGGTATTCAGTATATATATTTTTATTATTTTTATTTTTTTTATACTATTTAATTTTTATAATTATTTATATTATATTATTTCAGTTTTACAAAAATTATTTTTAATTTATCATTCAAATATTTTATTTTTTACAAAAATTTATACTCAAATATGATCTTACAAAACTTCGTATATAATTTATAATTTTTTGTTTTAAAAAAAGTCACAATAAATATTTTTTCATGATTCTCACTTGCTAAAACTCTCTTTTGTTAGATTAATCATTTATTCTTGTTCGATCCATTCAATTTTATTTTATTTTATTTTATATTTTTTTTTTTTATATTTCTCAACTGAATTCTCTATTCTACCAAACAAGAGAATTAATTCTCATTCTCTTCTCAATTCCCTTTCTCTCCAATTCTATTTTTTACTCTCATTCTGCAATTTCATTCTTTGTACCAAACGCTTAAGTCTGAACGATAGGTAATTTTCTCCCTTTATCTTGAAGGGTTTTACACTATATCTCTTTTATATTTTATTTTCTCATATTATCATTCTTCGTATTCTTGCAAGATGATTGTATTTTTCTATGGATATATATTTTATTTTTGAATTCATGTATTTTTGAAACCAGATAAATATGTTTTTCTTATTTATTTATTTTGTGTAGATGAATATTGTGTCAGCAGAACAAAAAAATTACTTGATTAAGATGGAGAAAACAATTTCGTTTGAAGGTCAAACTTTGTCATGTTTATGGACTTTCGAGTCAACGTCCTATTTATCTAATTAGATGACGAGAAGAAGATATACTCGAAGAGATAGAAGTAGACAAATAAACTGTAAATATGGTTCAAACAATATATAAATATTTTATTATATATTTTTTAAATAATTTTTATTTTTATTGATTAGAGAATAAATATTCTTTTGCCAAATACATCACCACCACCTATTGAAGGCAAGTAATTTTATTATTATTATTATTATACCAGAAATTCTAATCACCATCCTCCCCACTTTATTCATTCCACCTACTTTCTTCCCTACAAAATCCACAACAGCCATCTCTCATTCTCCAATCTTTTATTCTTTCTTTATTATTTTATTTTATTTATATCTATTATTATTTCAATCATAATATATATATTTTTAAATAGCACAGTCATTTTTCTTTCAAAGAAGAAGTCTTCCACCACAAATACCTTGTGAATTTTTATTTTATTTATTTTTTTCTATTATTATTTTAATTATAATATATTTATCAAATTAGAATAATAATTCGTTGCGTTTTCAAATGGTAGGATTATTGATTGGATATATGTAGTTCGATCCAAAATTTACATGTTACAAAGTGTTTAGGTTTATTTTCTTGATCTTTATTTTTCATAAAGATGCGGTTTTCATTGGTTGATTTAATGATGATTGAGCATATGTTTATTCTTATTATACTCTCCGTTCCATAATAAAGTATTAATTTTTCTATTTTAGTCCATCCCATAACAAAATGTTCATTTCTTGTACTATCTACCTAACATTACAAATATCCTTATAACTTATAATGTATTACACAAATGTCATTACCTTTATATCACACCATACTAATAAGGTTATGTTAGTCATTTTTACTTTATTCCTACTACATCTCAATCAAAAAGTAAATGGATACCTAGTTATGAGACGAATGAAATATATATTTATAAATTTATTTAGTTTCGAGTATAATGTTCTAATAATTCATTGTTATTGTTATTTTTTAAAATTATCTATTGTGTTATTATTATTTTCTACTAATATAAAATATTTCACCCTTATTATGCATTTACTATTTTATTTAGTTTCTAAGTATGATTTCTACTAATGGATTTTTTTTTATTCTTATTATATTTATTTACAAATTTATTTACTTTGGAGTATAATATTCTAATACTTTTCATTATTATTGTATATGTATTTTTTAAAATTATCTATTGTGTTATTCTTATTATGCAATAAGTCATCTTCTTCGGACCTATCGAAATCTTGGAGCAACCAAGAAGGAGAGGAGAAATTCAAAGTATCTTCTTGTAGCTGGTCGATCGAAAATGAGCGAGCAAGTGACTATGTATGTCTTTCGATTATTTATATTAGTATATTATCTATATATATTTATATCATTATAAGAATTACATTTACTTTCTGCGACATTATATTTAATATTAAAAATATCATTATACATTTATAATTTTTTTGTACAGATATCCTTCTATTAGTATTATTATAAGACACTGATAGAAGGTGTGGACGGATGAATTGGATCGGCTGCTTAATATGGAGGAGACCCTTCACAAGAGGGTCATTGGGCAGGACGAAGGTTTGAAAGCCATTAGTCATGATGAAAGACGGGTTCCAATGGGTGACACTGGACATTGATGTTATAGTTTTTATCTTCCAAGTATCCAAAAGAATGCCCCTTCCTTTCACAAAACTATTCACTTCCCTCCAGCAGTGATGATGAAGTGCTGTACTGATGTTGATGGGCAAACATAGTTGCAAGATTCTTCTCCCATTAGCGCAGATTAACAAAAACTACCAAATTCAGCACCTCCATCGGATCAACCACTTTCATAGACTTTGCTATAACAAGCATCTAGTTAGTTTGAATTCTAAGTTGATATCTGTACAAGTGGAGTACATCGATGATACATTGGTATCTGTGTTCCCTTATTCCAATAGAAAAAGCTTACCATCTGTTCTAAGAGTTCAAAGGACAGTTTATTGATATGCCCATTGAGTATAAAAGTAACAGCATTCACCATATCCATAGAATCAGATATCAGTGGGCATCTAATATAGCTAAAAATGTGCACAATTCTGATGTAAAGAGTAATAGTAGATGAAACGTCTATAAAGTTGAAACATTAGGGGACTTAACCTCAGCAGGCCCTTCACAGAAGCCATGTCGGGCATTTCGATAATGTCTAGATGCTGAAACCCCAGTATGAATGCAAGGCACTCCAGAAGTAGTGTCAGAGTCAAGGAAAGGATCGTCTTCAGGAGCTACCATCCTCCTCATATTATTAAAGAGACAAATGATCAGTTCAAATAATATGAGGAGGATGGTAGCTCCTGAAGACGATCCTTTCCTTGACTCTGACACTACTTCTGGAGTGCCTCGCATTCATACTGGGGTTTCAGCATCTAGACATTATCGAAATGCCAGACATGGCTTCCG